CAACCTTTATTATTACTTTTTACTTAAAAAAACTTTAAAATTATAATTATGCTGCCTTAAAATTTAGGCTTATATATTATATAATATACCTAGTATTTATTTACCCGCGGGGCGCCCTAGAGTTTTTACTAATTTTAATTACTTTTATTTTTATATAAATAAGGTGTTTTTAACACAGGCGCCTTAATATTTAATATACCTTTATTTTAGCCGCTGTACTGTTATTATATTTATACCTACTTTTAAGTAATAAATTAGGTTTTTTTATAGCTTATTATTTTTTTAATTACCTACGCAACCGCTTTCTTTCCTATAATTATTTAAATAATTTTTTAAATTTACCTAAACTAGTAACTAGTATATTAAACTATAATATTTTTTTCCCTAATTATTAAGGTTTTTTTATAAATTATTATTTTTTAAGGCCTTTATTTATACTATTAAGGTTATTTTTTTATTTCCTGCGTGCTTTAATAAGCCTAGTTCTTGCTTTTTTAGCCTAGCTAATTAATTTTACTAAATAAGTAGTATTTACTTTATATTTTTATTATTTTCTTGCCTTTTTTATTATGTTTTTATTAGCTAAATTAAAATTTAAATACTTAATACTTAATATATATTACCTGCCTACCTCCTAGCTTTTTTTATTAAATATTGCTATATAAACTTATTATAATAAATTTTAATTATTTATACCACTTTTTTAAGTTTAATTATATAATTTAACCTTTTTACTTTACTTACTAAGCTATTAAGCCATAAAAACCTATTTTACTTTATTTTTACTTAAATATAACACCCTACCACTATTTTATTAAATTATTAAATACCTAGGATATTAATATAGCACTTTAAACTAGGTTTATAATAATTAGCCTTGTACTATATTTTTATATTAATTATAATTTTTTACCTTAAATAAATAAGATTTATACTTGTTCTCCGCCTCTAGTTATGCCTTTTTATTAATATTTTTTATTTATATTACTTATTATCTTTACCAGCAATATTTAGCACTAATTAATATTTTTTAATATTTTTTATTAGTAATTTTTAATAATCTCCGCTACTAGTTTATAGCGCTTTTTAATACTTTTTATTACTTTTTTTATAGCTTTTTACTAGTAATCCCTAGCAATTTTTTTATTACTTTTTAATAATCCTTAGTAATTCCTAGTAATCCCTAACACTTTTTAATATTATTTATTACTTTTTAATAATCCCTAGCAATCCCTAGTAATTTTTAATACTTTTTAGTATTATTTAGTAATCCCTAGCGCTTTTTATTAGTAATTTTTACTAACGCTTTTTACCTGCGCTTACTAGTATTTTTTAATAATTACTAGCGCCCTTTAGCACTTTTTAGCAACCCCTAGCGCTTTTTAGTAATTCTAGTATTTTTTAGTAATTTTAGTACTTTTTAGTGTTTTTTAGTAATCCCAGCGCTTTTTAATATTTCTTAGTAATTCTAGTGCTTTTAACACTTTTTAGTAATTTTTAATAAACCCTAGCACCCTTTAGCGCCCTTAAGTATTATTTAGTAATACCTAGTAATTACTAGCGCGCTTTAGTAATCCCTAATACTCCCTAGCACTTTCTAGTGCTCCCTAGTAATACTTAATACTATCTAGTATTTTTTAGTACTTTTTAATAATACTAGCACTTCCCGGCGCTCCCTAATAATATATAATACTTTTTAGTGCTTTCCAGCGCCCCCTAGTGCTACCTAGCGCTTTTTACTAGTAATCCCTAGTAATCCTTAATAATTTGTAGTAATCCCTAGTAATCTATAGTAATTCTTAATAATTTATAGTAATTCCTAGTAATCCCTAGTAATCCCTAGTATTTTTTAGTAATTCCTAGAGCCCTTTAGCACTTTCTAGTAATTTTTAATATTATTTAGTATTTTTTAGCGCTCCCTAGCAATACCTAATATTATTTAGTACTTTTTACTAGCGCTATTTTTAGTAATTCTTAATACTTTTTAGTTTTTTTTAGCACTTTTTTTAGCGCTCTTTTTAGCGCTCTTTAGTAATACCTATTAATTTTTAGTAATTTTTAGCGCTTTTTACTAGTACTTTATATTAATAATTATTAGCACCTTGTAGCATTTTTTAATAATTACTAACACTTTTTAATAACCCTAGTATTTTTTAATAATTATAATACTTTTTAGCGTGTCCTAGCGCTTTCTAGTAATACCTAGCACTTTTTAGCACTTTTTACTAGTACTTTTTACTAATACTTTTTACCAGCACTTTTTTTAGCACTTTATAATAATCTTTAGTAATCCCTAGCGCCCTTTAGCGCCCTTAAGTACTTTTTAATAATACCTAATAATTACTAGCGCGCTCTAGCAATCCCTAATACTTTTTAGTAATATTATTATTATATAATACTTTTTAGTAATATATAAGGCTTTTTAGTACTTTTTTTATTACTCTTCCTATTACTTTTTTTATTACTTTTTACTAGTAATCCCTAATAATTTTTATAGCTTTTTACCAGCGCTTTTTATAGCTCTTTGCCAGTGCTCTTTAGTACTCTTTACTAGTGCTTTTTAATACTTTTTACTAGCGCTTTTTAGTATTCTTTACTAGCGCTTTTTAGCAATCCCTAGCGCCCTTTAATACTTTCTAGCGCTTTTTAATAATCCCCAGCACTTTTTAGTGCTTTTTACTAATAACCCCTAGTAATATTTTTAGCACTTTTTAGTAATTTTTAGTACCCTCCTGCGCTTTTTAATAATACCTAGTAATTTTTAGTAATTTTTAGCACCCTTTTATGCTTTTTTTAATAATTTTTAGTGCTTTAATAATCCCTAGTAATCCCTAGTAATTTTTAGCACCCTTTAGCACTTTTTATTATTAATTTCTAGTAATTTTTTTATTACTATTTAGTAATACTTTTTAGCGCCCTTTAGTAATAATATATAATAATTTTTTTATTAATTTTTTAATAATAATTTTTAGTGTTAATTTTTAGTATTATTTAAAGGTAATTTTTAGCTATAATCTCCCTATTAATTTTCCTGTTAATTTTTTTATTAATTTTACTAGCTATAATTTCTAGCGCTTTCTAGTGCTCCCTAGTACTCTTTAAATATATTATTTAACTATTTTTAGTCCCTAAAAACCTTTAGCGCTTCCTAGTAATCCCTACTAATTTTTAGTAATTTTTATTAATTTCCCCTTGGTAATAATCCCTAGTAATAATACCTAGTATTTTTTAATAATTTTTTTTTTTAAATATTTTTAAGCTTTTTAAACTACTAATATAATACTTTATAATAACTATTATTAGGTTAAATATTAGGTAGGTTTTTATTACTTGGTTATATATATAATCTAAAAACATGTATTTAACCTACTAAATATATATTAATTAAATTAATATATATTAAAGGTATATTAAACCTAATAAATATATATTAGTTTACTTAATATATATTTAATATATATTAAGCGCTTTAAATACATGTTTTTTATATTTAATATATATTATTTATATTTTTTTTTTAAAATATATTATAAATATTAAATATATTTTAGGTAATTTATTTTTTACACGCAAACTTATATTAGCAAAACGTATATATTTTTATTTTTTATATACTTTTTTTTTAATATACTATTAGTGTTATAATTTCTTAAAATATAATAGTATAGCTATATTTGCTAATAATTTGCTATTACAACTATACTATTGCTATACTTAATACCCCCCCTGTGGACTGACGGGTGCTGGAGGATTGCGCCGTTGGCGAAGATCTGGGAGTAGGTCAGTTGCCTTTGGGTTGGTTTCTTCTGACTGGACAACGAGAAGCAGGTACCAGTTTCAAGAGGCACAGAGACCAGCCGTTGTCGTAACCAGTGCTACTTGTAGTCATCTGGCCGGTTTTCCATCTCAGGAACGCGCCGCTGCACTCCTCGACATCGAGGAATGGATAGCGGGGATGGATCATTTCGAAGTACGTCTGGAAGAAGGAAGCACCGTCGCCGATTGGGATTTCGAACATCGCTGGTTGAGTGAGGGGTTGCGCAGCGTCTGGAATGGCATTTGCTCCTCCTGCCGTGCTCAAGATCGGGCTGGAGGCGCTTGCTACCGGTTCTGGCTGGCTGACTGAGAATAGGTTCTCATTTGCCTGCGAGAAATTCATGTCCATTGCCGTATCTCCTGAGAGGGAGATTGATGGTATGTACGAGAGGTCCATAAGATCGGGAAAGCCCTGCACTTGGTGAAAGATATTCACCTGGGCGGCTCCCGTTGAAGTGACGCGGGACTCAGGATGATCTGGGGATTTGGATCGAGAGGTTTGCTGCTCGTGGTGCCGTGGGAGATCTGCTAATTGCTGCTCGAGATTGGTAACATATGAAACAGAGAACAGATCCATGGGCTCATGGCTGGCCGGTATGCATTCTGTGCAGCAGTCAGCATCCACTGCGGATACCCTCCGCACCAAGTTTCGACTTGCCCACTCGCGCCAACCTGCAATTGCGACATGTGCCGACTTCCTGGCCATCGCACCGCTGCTTTCTGGCTCTGCATCGTTGACACGCCTTTGCTTTCTTTGGCCGGGGTCTGGCCTTACCTCGCTGGATGGCCCCTTGCCCTGGCCCTGGATCTGATTGCATAGCCGATCTCTTCAAGCCGTCTGCTCCAATCGATAAGTGGCTAGGATCGCAATGGCCGCTTCCTCCGACACATCACCAAATGATAACGTCGATGAGGATTACGTTGGAGGGAGGATCCGAAAGATCCGAGATGCTTCGGAGACTTTCGGGGATGGGCTGTTAGAGTTGGAGTAATGCGGATGAATTCGGATATTTAACATCCATAATACCAGCATAAAGAATGTATTTCTACTTTGGTTTGAAAGTAGAATACAGGCGGATGTCGTCTCGAAACGAAACCCTAAGTCAGGCGGCGGCGCCGACATCGGATGCAAGGCTATCCATTCAATTATATACAACCAAGTCCAATACCATCCTTTGGGTACTTCAGATAGTCCCCCAAGTAATCACCTGCTCGCGAACTTGCTTAACCAGCATCTCATTGTAGTCATCCGCTCGCCTATTAAACCCCTGCTGAAGACCCCTAACATGCTCCGGCACTTCCTTGCGCTGCGTATACGCACTAGGAATCGGATCCAACATGCGCTCAACCAGCGGGACATAACCCGCCCACGCCTTCTCCTGCACATCCGGATCCTCCACATCCACCCGATCATCGGCCGGGGGTCCGGCGCGGATCTTCGCACTCGCACTCGTCACCCGCACCCTCAGAATCTGCGTCTGCACCAGCTCCGCCGTATTCGGCGGACTGCGCACTTGGTCCCACCGGCCAGGGATGAGCTTATTCGTAATCAGCCGCAGAGCCCACATCTTCTCCGCCTCGTCGGTGACTAGACTCGCGTGCCCGAAGAGGACGGCGGAGCGGTAATTGCAGGAGTGCGTGAAGGCGGACAGCGTGAGGATCAGGCCGTCGACTTTGGCGGCCGAGATGCAGACGGGGAGGCCGGGGAGGCCCGTGGACATGGCGGCTCTGGCGAGATTGCACATCCGGGGGGAGATGTAGCCGTGGATGTAGCAGTCCAGCGGCTCGTCTAGCCCGGCGCTGGGGTGGTCGTGGTTTCCTAGGGCGCCGAGCATGGGGATGATTGTTGGGAAGGGGTCTTCTGGGTCGGGTTGGAAGGAGACGTGGAAGAGGAGGGATTGGTTGATGATGGTGTGGACGGTGTTGAGGTCGTAGTCTGCTCGTTTGTCGGCCAGGCGGCGGACTTTGTTGTGTTTGCCGACTGGGTATTTCATGGTGAGGGATTCTTGTCAAAGAAGAGAAATAATGGGAAGATGATGATGTAGTGTGGTAGTAGGCACTTCTTGTCCGGGCCTGGGCATTCATATATATATCATTTACCCATTTAAATATCGATTCTATGACCGACAACCCCGTCGGCATGTTCGGAGTTGATCCTACGGTAATGATAAAGGCTGTCGCTAACGTCGGACATATCGGAGCATCTGATAAGGGGCTTTTGCTAAAGTCGGACATTTCGGAGTCGACAGCTGAGCGTACGCTCATGGAGTAGTTGAATATGTTGTACTTAGAAGAAAGGAAGTGCAGAAAAGGCGTTACTTTCATAATTTAGATCAATGCCTAGCGTACCCCAGGTAGGTAGATAGGTAGGTATGGTATGGTATCTCCGAAAGTCCTGCTTTTCCAGCCCAGTTGAGCTGGAGATATTTAGCAGATGCCAAACTCGGAATCCTAGGTTACAATCCATACACATTTCCATAAACCTTGCAATACCACCAGCCTCCGCCCAATCAACACTCAAAGCACGTATCGGAATCGAGGGTTCTACTTTGGTCAGCACCGAACACAGATATAGATCGGATTCCAAGCTTACCTCAAATTCCGTGAGGTCTTCCGACTCCTGCTCTCCCGCCGTACCTGAATCAGCAGTGATAGCGGCACTAGCAGCAGCAGCAGCATCCCGTTGCTTGTTCCGCCGGAGTAACAAGAACCGCAGGCACAAGGCCAACACAGCCTGCCCCGAAGAACAGGACAAGATAACCTTGCACCCCGTCTGATATATCGGTGCCTCCTCGGCCAGAAACGCGTGTGGGCCAATGATATTCCCAGCGCAGTATGCCAGGAACACGAGAGCAACCCTGGTAACACGCTTGGTATACCCCCCTAGGTTTGTAGCTGGCATCTGGAGCGCCAGAACCAGGGAGCACACATACGCCCCGACAATGTAGTATCCGAAAAGGACGCCGATTTTCTGCGTCTCGTGGGAGAGCTTCCACATGATGCACACGCCGATAATGGTAGGGAGGAGGTAGATGACCATCACAATGGTGCGACGATTGGGGATGCGCGAGGCGAGGAACGTGCCGGAAAGGGTCCAGAAGATCTGGAATGCGCCGAATGGGATCCCTAGAACAGGTTGATTAGGTAGTCTATCTCTCAAGATTCAAGAAGGTGGAATACCCAGCACAACCGTCATCAGACTATCGCCCGTGAGGCCCTTGATAATAAGTTTGCTGAAACTGGCAATGCCACCATTCATCGTCTCATTCAGCAACATAAACAGGAAAATAATCCACACCTGGGGGTCTGTAAACGCCTCCCGAATCTGGTACCATTTGACTTGGTGGTTTAGGATACCAGTGCGAGCAAGCCGACCACGACCGACGAGCAGCGCCTTGTCCTCGGGTGTGAACAGTCTAGCAGACAAGATATTGTCCGGGAGGAAGATGAGGACTACTACACCCCAGAGGATCGTGATGCCTCCAAGGATAAGGAAAATCGCCCTCCAGACGGCGATCCCGTTGATCTGCCCAATGCCAAAGGTCAACAGGCCGCCTGTGCTATTAGTACGGCATGCTCCATCAGTATCCAGGCAGTGGAGATACGTACCGACCATCCCCCCCAACCCATTACAGGAATAGAAGATGCCCGCACGGAACGGCTATTCGGACCGTGTATACCACATGCCCACGATCATCATGAAACAGTTAGTAATCGGGGCTTCGAAAACACCTAGAAGGAACCGGCAGATTGCGATTCCAGTGAAGTTCTTCGCAGCAGCAGTACCCATCAAAACCGCGCCCTATGAGATGATATTCCCCGCAACCACCTTTGCCATCTTGGTTTTCTGCGCAAGGAGCGTCCATGGGTACTCCGCGGCTAGGTAGGCAAAGTAGAAGATGCTCGCGAGCCAGCTGTACTGGTCGCTTGTTATATTTGTAGACGGGAGCAGGTCGAATACCGCTGAGTATGCGAGTGCGGACTTGTTGATATACTGCAGCATGTACGTGCCTGTTAACAAGGGGAGAAGAACCAGGTCCACTTTGCGGACGAGAGCTTTCTTGCGTGCGGTGTCATTGAGGAAGCGTTGGATATCGTCGTTTGTGAAGCCGTTCTGGCGGAGGAAGACCTCGCCTTGGTCCAGGTTGTGGATGGTCCCTGCCTGGATGTCCTTCTCGGGGGAATGTTCCTCGGTGCGAGGGCTTTTCTCGGCGTCGTCCACTGGACTTGCATGTTTGCTGTTTTGGCGTCTTGGAACATAGAACGATTGGATGTGTTGGGGGATATAACAAAGAAAGGTTGTGTAGGATGCCGGAAGATAATGCTAGGGTAGTCTGGGGAGGTTAAATAGGTCTGTTTATCAATGCAACAGATATATCAGATAACATCCCGAGGTCTCATGCCCAGACAATATCGATAGGTAGTCTCGGACCTACGCGGACATTCAGCATTGACAATCATGAACTGTTGGGCCAAGGAGATTTCCAGGATTTATCTGTATCTCAGGCTCTCTGCATGTGGCGCTTCTCTCCAGATCATTTGCTATTCGAGCCGACAAGCGTGAGCAACATCCAGTGATACATCTACAAAATAGACATTTCCATCCAAGTCTCCGAAAAGTCCGACTGATAGCATGCCTTGACGACGAGTGCAATTAGGAGTAGCACCCTGAGAAAGCCAGGCGTTAGGGTTACTCAATAGCGTATTATCCGGTTGATATCTTCTTTCCAACATCTCCAACGGAGTCCTCGGAGAGCCCTAGATTGCAGGATAAGAAGCCGGCCCTTTCGTCTCGGTACTACTTCTGCCCCCGACATATCATCCTCCCCCTTAGCCCGTCCTCCTTCCGGTATAATCGAAAATAGCCACATCGAACATGGCAGAACCACGCCCCTCCGTCGCCCTCCCTCAAGGCAGAGTCATCGGCATCCAACTCAAGAACGATTTCCCTCAACCCATCGACGCCTTCCTGGGAATCCCCTATGCCCAGCCCCCAGTGGGCGATCTCCGGTTCCGCCCAGCACTCAAAGTCCCCCATGCACCGTCCACTACAATCGACGCCTCCAAATACGGGCCCATCGCCCCCGGAAAGGCCCTCATCCAGACCGGCCCGCAACTTAAACAGAGCGAAGACTGTCTAACAGCAAATGTCTTCCGGCCGAGCAGCCCCAATGGCACCGTCGACAGGGAACATGAAGCCAACAAAGCCCTTCCTGTCGCAATATACATCCACGGCGGTGCGTTCAACCGCGGCTCTGCGGCTTCGCATAATACCTCGTCCATGGTCGCGTGGTTCGCACAGCCGTTTATCGCTGTGAGCTTTGGCTATCGCCTGGGTGCGCTGGGCTTCCTGCCTTCTACCGTCACAAAGAACGAGGGCGCTCTGAATTTGGGATTGCGTGATCAGGTTCTGCTTATGGAGTGGGTGCAGGAGAACATTCCGTTCTTTTGTTCCAAATGCTGTTACGCTCGTTGGCCTGTCTGCGGGGGCTCACTCGGTATCTACATCTTTTCTTTTCTTTTCGTCATCCTCTGTGAGCCTTGCAGAGCTAAAGAAAGCCCCTAGATTGGCCACCACCTTCTCAACTACAGCGAAACCAACCCAAGCAAGCCCCGCTTCCACCGCGTCATCATCGAGTCCGGTGCTCCCACATTCCGCGCTGTCCGCCCCTACAACGCCGCTATCCATGAAGCCCAGTTCAGAGACTTCCTCAAGCAACTCGGGGCGTCCAAACTATCCGAAATCGACATATTCCCCTTCCTCCGCGCCCTCCCTACAGAGACAATCACCTCCGCACAGACCGCCGTCTTCGACAAGTACAACCCCTCCCTCCGCTGGGCCTTCCAACCCGTGATAGACAACCTTAACGATCTCATCCCCCGCGCCCACCTCGAGTCCTGGACCAAAGGCCTGTGTCACATAGTCCCCATCCTAACCGGCTTCACCACAAACGAGGGAACAATGTACGTCGCGAACATCGACTCGCCGTCCGCATTCCAAGCCTTCTGGACGAATCTCCTCCCCGCCCTCTCAAGTCTCGACCTCGACACAGTCGAAACCCTATACCCAGACCCCTCAACGCACCCCACCTCGCCGTAAACCGAAACCAGAACAGCGCACGGCCTAGGCTCGCAGTATAAACGCCTCGAGGCCGCATACGCGCACTACGCCTGCGTCGCACCCGTCCGGCAAACAGCGCACTTCGCGTCGAGCCAGAACCCCGGTGGCATCTGGCTATACCACTGGGCTCTCCCGCGCACCGTTGTGGGGCGCGCAAATCACGGCGATAACATGTTTTACGAGACGTATGATGCGGAGATCACGGGCATATCACCGACGCAGAGGGAGTTGTCTGGTGTGTTGCATGCGTATCTGACGAGCTTCATTGTGGCCGGGGATCCGAATGCTGTTAGAGGGTGGTATGGAGATCGCCCGGTTTGGGGGGTGTATAAGGCGGAGAGGCCAGGGGTGCTGGGGTTTGGGGAGGGAATTGGGGAGTTGGTTGGGGGTGGGAATGAGGGCGCTGTTGCGATGTTCGTGGATGATGCTTGGGCCAGGGAGCAGACGAGGTTTTGGTGGGGAAGGGTCGGGGTGTCGCAGGTTGGTTGAGGATATGGTTAGAGTGGCAGTGGTGGAGTCGCGAGTAGGGCTCCAGCTTCCTCGCCAGCGACGGTTTGCAGGTTCTTTGCAGAGTATCGCCTACTAGCCTTCCAGTAGGGCCACCAGGGTAGACGAGCGGCTTATGGAATCATGGGAAGGCATTAAGTGCTTCTGGCATGAAAAGGACTGTTGACTGAATACGTCTAGGGGAAGAAATAAATTGCAGAGCTTTGGAACAAGGACTGGTGATTCGAATACACCTTAATACAATGTTTTTGAATGATTTCCGCTCCCTTCCCTACTAAACTGTCAGAATCCACCGTTTAGATGACTACCATAGGTCCAGTAATCACAACTTAGCCCTAACAACCCCCTCCAACCTCGCCAGCCTCTCCCCCGTAACAACCATACTCGCTGGAAAGTCCCCCGGCACCTCCTCCCCAACAATCAACTTCGCAAGCACCTGTGCCGACTTAAACGCCCTCACCATGCCAATCCCCTGATACGCACCGCAAACCCCCTGATGCGCCCGTCCAGGCCCAGGCCACTTCCCAATAAACGGATTCCCATCCTGCGTGAACGCCACGCATCCACTCCACGCATGCGTGACCTCTACATCCCCAGTCCCGAAATCGACCAGTCTGGGCACGACAGCACGCAGATGCGTCTGGGGCAGGCCGTCCATGGCCCCGTCATCGGCCCGGCTACGTCGGTATGCTACCCTCTTCGATGCTCGCGACGACAGTGTTGGTCAGAATACCCAGCCCGTTCTCGCGGTCGCGGACTAATTGTGTAAAAACAGCGTGTAAGGCTTGCTATTATTATACTAAAGCTAATTATAATAACATTTATGCTATTAACCTATAGTAATGAAAGTTTTGCAATTGCCAAGGACGGTGTAAGCCAGGAGGGTAAGGTTATGTTAAATGTTTCAGTAGGCGGGGCCTGGGACCTCGGGATCGACTCGGATTTCCCGATTAGGGCTACGGGCGCTTGGAGGAGGCCAGCTTATCTCCAGCACCGCAGTTGGAGACCGGCTCGGCGTCCGACCTCTGTATGACGATGAGGCCCTGATAAGGCCGAGTCAGCCCTCCATCTAGAGGAGAAGCTACCTGCGCTTCGAGATCGATCGAGATCGAGGGGTTCGACTTCCTCCTGGTCAAGAATAAAGAGGAACGTATCCATTCAGGCATTCCATAGCGTCTGTCGCCACCGCACGTACCCGTTTATTGATAAGGATGCGGTGGATGTTGGGAAGAGGAGTGTGCTGAGTTGTGGGTATCATGGTATGACGCTCTCTTTACTTTCCCTTAATGTTCTTGGACGAAGTTGGCTGATAATTAGGGCTATGCAGGCTGGCCATACAACCATGACGGCAAATCCACCAAGGCGCCCAAGTTTGAGGTGAGGGTATGGAGGATTTTCATCGACGCAGTATTGCCTCTTTAGGATCAATACGCATGTTGACAGGAGCGGATTCATGTGGGTGAACTTTTGACCCCCTCTATCCCCTGGGAGAAGCTGAATGGCGGCGCGGACAAACAGCCTTGACTCAACGGCTTCAAGCCAACAAGTACGTCTACCATGGCACCGGGGGGTTATAACTGGAAGATTGTGGGCGAGAACTACAACAATATATGACTACAATAAGCAAGCTTTAGCTAACACCGTATAAGATAGGAGGTGGTAATTCATGTCTGATGGGCTACGTCCAAGCGTGCGTACCCACGACCAACAAAGCGCTTCCAAGTTGTCATCCAGCTCCAAACACAGACTCAGTCAGAACCACGAAAAGCAAGGCATGCAAACCAAGCAAGCTCGCTATCATGCTAGAGTCATCGATTCAACGCCCGAACCAGATTTACCACGAAGCGGCCCATTCCCATCATCCCCACGACAAACACTCCCCTCTCCAGTTCATCACCCACGTCCAACTCCAGACCACAGATCCACCCTGCCCAATCGCAGTCACTCGCCTCAGCAAGATCATTCCCTCCCGCATCCAGAACCAGGCACGTCTGAGGGAAGCCACCAAAGTCCGACGTGCAGTGGAACTGGCACGTCGAGCCCCAGCAGTCGCCTTCGATCGTGAATGTGCGCCCGCCGTGTTGTATGGTAGCGCGGCGAGTCGTCGTCCGGTACGCTCGGTCGAAGCCGGCTTGCTTTGAGAGCTGATGAACAAATGGCTTGTAAAATAGTCCAGTAATCGGCGATATCGGCAATCGAGACTAAACTTCACAGCCAGGGGGCGTTGGACCCGAGTGTACAATCATGTCTCTGAAAACGTGCGGCCGCCCTCCACCAGGTCAAGGCCAGGTACCGCTGGAGCAGGTGTCTGCAATAGCCCAAATAGAGCCGGAGGCCATTGGGTTATGGATGGTAACCTCGAAGCCCCGTCATCGCCTTGAGGTTGTAAAGCGTATAGAGCGCTCAAGAGAGACTCTTTCCACGGTCTTCACTCTGAATTCTTCACGACTGGATATCTCAAGGCCGGGGTTCTCCAATGCCAATAAATCTTGGAGCCTTTCGAACCTTCGGCGCCATTTGTCGTCCTTCAACTTGCGCTTGGAGTCATGCCGATGTTTCCTGCCTCGTTCTTTCCGGCCATCATCTTTGGAGCTGGAGCCATTCTGTCTAGATCTGGACTTGTGCGTCGCCTTCTTCTCACGCCTAAGAATATATTCAACGCGGACCTCTTTCTCTGTAACCGCTTCGAAAGCCTGCGGAGAATGTTCCACTCGTGCCGAGCGTTGGCGATACTCGTCAGTTGCCGTTAGAATCAACCGCTGAGCTGGGGAATTTATATCTTCCAAGTCTGGCATCTTGCCAGTTTCAAGGAACCGTGCAATCCAAGAAGCAGCATCACGATTGTCTTGTCGCTCCGGCAGACTCATGGCTTGTCAAGCTGAAGAAGCCCAGACAGTGTGCCTTGAGGTTCCCTAACAACAACGAAGCTTTGGTGATGGGATCCGACCAATGAGGGTTTAGGACCTTTGTACAGAAAGGAGTACTTGAAGATTTCTAGCTGCGCGAATCTAGGCCTTTATATAGAGCTCGCCTGGATGCCTCAGGCCTCAAGCAAGCCTTCCAACAGCTATCCTAACTAGGAAACAGAGGCCAGTCGGTGTTCTCGGTGGCTACGCCTCCTTCGTCATTTTGAACGGATCTCTGCGCCGACTGGGCCCTGGAGCGACGCCTAGACCCCGGTGGTCGGCGACCAGAGGTCTCAGGTCGTACACGGATCCCTGGGGAGCCGACCCGGCGGGTGGTGAGATTAATATAGCGATTCGTGGTGGTGAGCCTTGCCAAGAAACACGAATATGTCCTTGGTATATATTTGGTATGTCAGGGTTCTACCTACTTTACTGTCATCGAGCTCGCTTCCTGTATATTTATACACAACGCTCAGGCAAGATCCATCAAGCTTAGGGACCACGGAGGACGTCGATCGAATAGATAAGTCCTGTAATATTGTCCAGGTTCCTGATACGCCAATAGGGCCCAAGAACGCATTCCATATCTACAATGAGTTCGAGACCGACTGGCTGCCTTCGGTCTTGGACTTTGCCTTGGCCAAGTTCAAGCCTGAACCTGGAAACGTATACGTCTGCGGCAGGAAAACAAGATCTTGCAGGCATCCGCTCTAACTAGCTTTAACTGTTTTTATTCCCACTTGTTCTAATTCCAAGATACTTGCGGTGTAAAATGTTGTTCTCGTGGGCGCGGGGACGCTGCGGAACTAGGGCTGAGCGGCGTATTCAGGTGCGTATTCCGGCCTCTGGTTACCGAATACGCTGTGGCCAATCACCTCTCTGCTGAGGCTCTGGTTTAAGTTATGCAGATGATTGTGTCCCTGGGCTGGACAATGCCAAGCGTGGCTGAGTTACGCATACTAGGTACGCATACTGCCTCACAACAGGCTCTATACGCAGTAACCAAGACTTCATGTAGAAATCAGGTATATAAAGACCCTGAAAGGCACCTCGATGCCATCATCCAGACCACTTTCCCTCCATCAACTTCGGACCCAACAACCCTAACCCAACCTCCCCACCAAACCAAACCCACCACCATGCTCCTCAACACCCTGTCCACCACAGCGGCCCTTGCCCTCGCCCTCGCCCTCCCCGCAAGCGCCGCTCCAACATCACAAATATCCAAGCGCGCCGCAGCCAACGACCTCAGCCTAACCGCCCAGCTCAAGCTCGCCTCCACGGCCACCGAGCGCTTCGCCCTCCTCCCCAACGACTCAGACTTTATCTTCGACTTCACCACCGCGCAGACCCCCATCGCCACAAGCCAGAACTTCCCCCCGCTCGTCGGCACCGGCCTCTCCTTCAACATGGGCTCACTGCCCGCATGCAGCATGTCCTTCGTGCACCTTCATCCACGGGCAACGGAGCTGTTAACGCTCACATCGGGCCATGTTTTGACGGAGATGATTCCCGAGGCGGGCGTGGTGGATGCCGAGGGGAAGGCGCGGGTCATCAAGACGAGTTTGACGGCGGGGCAGATGACGGTTTTCCCGCAGGGGAGTTTCCATACGCAGGTGAATCCGGAGTGTGAGGTTGCGAATTTCACGGCGGCGTTTAATAGTGAGGAGTTTGCGGTGGGGATGGTTGCGAGGCAGATGTTTGGGTTTGGGGATGATGTTGTTGCGGCGAGTTTTGGGGGGGTCATTGCCGGGGAGGATATTGAGAAGGTTCGACAGGCGATTCCGGAGAGTTTGGCAATTGAGGTTGAGGGGTGTCTGAGCAAGTGTGGGATTGAGAAGAGGTGATGGTGATGAGAAGGGACTGGGGGGTGAGATGGACTCGGTGCTGGGTGGGTGGAGTGGGATGGATTATAGAGGTTGTTCTTGTTTTTCTGTTTGAATGGGTCAAAGACTGGCCTAACTGCTGTGTTGAATGTTTTATTATAGAGCTCCTCTTATTGTTCTGTACGGTCTTACATGTTTTTGGTTCGTTGTTGGAATAGATCGAAGCCTACCGTAGATGCTGCAATTAATTATAGTATTTGATATCATATCATATCTCCCTAGCAGTCCTTTCCAACATGAAACAACAATAGTTATAATACCATTGCTTATCATATACCCCGGCTTCGGGTCTGCAAGGCAGTTCATTAAGTGCGCCACTGCCTACCTCCCCCCGGGCTGTGCTACGCGAAGACCCCAAAGCCAGTCCTCTATCTCACTGCTTATTCTAGACACATTCACCTCCTGAAACAGTACCTAAATGTCAGACGGATATCTCCGACATCATTCCCAGTCCTCCTGTAGCGTATCTCTCGCAATTTACTGCAGGTGACACTCAATCATCCTGACACTTCCACCACCATAGTACGGGCTTAGCCAAGCTCTTTACGAACTGGGCATGGGCTCTCTCGCTCTCATTAGCCATCAGCGCAGCTGCGTGTTCGTAAGCGTAAGCGTATTTGCAATCTTGGACTCCACTAGCCCTAAGTCCGCCGCTGAGCTTTGATCTGGGATCCGGCTCTGAAGTGCGGCATCGAGGGGTTGGGAAAGTATGTACTTCTATAAGATGCTAAGCTTCTGATTTGGAAATCACTCTGCATTTTCATCTTCAAAGTATTGACGTGGTCGCAAGAACTCAGCAACAAACCATGGCGCCTCTTCAGGAAGGACAGTATATGATTCAAACGAGCAGTCAGTCAAGCGCACGGTATGTCCTATCTATGTCTGTACTCCTTACGCTTCACATAAACAGCTGACATGTCCACGAGCAAGGCTCAACCTCCAGCACTACTGGGTCACAGAAAGCCTGGGCTACCTCCTCCACCCATCCATCCCCGTCGCGCCAGATGCAAAGATCGCGGACATCGCAACGGGAACCGGGTATGAATCCGCCCTTCCATTACCCTGGTCCAGCCTCCTTGCTAATGGATCCTGAATGGATACTGCAGGGCATGGCCAGTCTCCTACTCTCTCCACGCAGCCGTTCCATCCAGCGTCCAGATCGACGGCTTCGACGTCACGGACGACATGTTCCCGCCGGCGGACTGGCTGCCGTCGAACGTCAGTCTACGGACATTGGACGTCCTCAAGCCTATACCGGCGGAGCTGAAGGGGGTCTATGATGTCGTGTGCATACGGTATTTCGGCGTCCAGGTTCGGAATAATGACCCCAGCGGGGTGTTGGCGAATTTGGTGGAGATGTTGAGTACGTCTACCCCATTGGAGCACCTGCAACCATCGACTGCGGTGCCGGTGCCATAGGTATTATTCAGGGCGTGGACCAGCGTGCTGACGAGTGCAGAGCCCGGGGGGTATATCCAGTGGGTCGAATCAGATATCTACAGCCAACGCGTCGTGAAGCCGACCTCGTGCACGCTCCCAGAATCAACAGCACTAGAGCGGCATCTAGCTGTTTGGAGACGGTACCTTGACGCCTCGGGGTTACGTTATGAGTACACTTCCACCCTCCCCGCTTCTTCCCCTTCCCCTTCCCCAATCGTACCTACTAACCAATCCATATGCTATAGCTGGCTTGCAGCCCTCCCAACGCACTGCATTCGCCACGGCATGTCCGAAGCACACATCTACACGCCACCTTCGACCCCCGCGCTCCGATTCACACTGACTACCGCCGTGCTGGGCGCGTGGGAGGAGCTGAGCTATAACCTGGACAAAGACAAGGAGCCGGATGAATTCTTGGGGAGTGGAAGGGAGCTCAGGGAGAAGATTGGGGCGTTTTGGAGGGAGGTTGAGGCTGGGGCGGCGCTGGAGCAGAGGTTTTTTGTTACGGTTGCGAGGAAGTAGATCTATACCTATGCAGGTGGCTTCATTGAAAGGCGGATTGGGATTTGCAGGGCAGGGCAGGCCTGGCGGGTGCTGTGCTGGCTTTGTTTGTCGACGATTGTAGCTGGTTTATCCATGCGCTAAGCACCTAGTTGCCCGAGGAATTTATATGAGTTTGAACTACCTATCACAGGACCTGGCTATGGTTATTCAGGATCCCAGGATAGGAAAGGACGAAGAATATTGATTGAGCCATATCCAATGCCTGAAACAACCCTCGGACTGGGAGGCGGTTACAGCTGACTTACGTTTCCCTATCATCTCCCAGTGCCCCAGCTTATAGGCAACCCCGAACCGACCTTATTTTTCCCAAACGCCATACCCCCCGGCACCTCCTTCCACTGATACGTCTCCCTATCCAGCAACTCCTCACACTCCCTCCACCCCTTCCGTATAATCTCCGCCTTATCCGTACCCCTCGGCTCAATAACCGCCCCAAACGGCGCTGGCTGGACCGCAATCCCACCCACCAAATCATCAATATCAGGCGTTACAGGCTTCCCATCTGCACCAAGCGTCTTCTCGAAAGTAAACGCCCACAGAAGCCCGGAGATAGCAAGGAACATCGACCGCTCGGCAATGTGCATCCCCTGGCAGAGCCGCCGCCCGGTGCCGAAAACAAAGTTCCCGCGTTTGCTGACGTCAGGGTCCATGGCTGCTTCGAACTCGGAGAGGGTGTCGTTTACGAAGCGGGCTGGGTCGAATGCGCGCGGGTTGGGATGGCGGTTTGAGTCCATTTGCAGGGCCCAGACGTTCGTGATGATCGTGGAGCCCGCTGGGATGCGGTAGCCCATGTAGCTGTCTTCTTGGATGGCGCAGTGCGGTGTCCCCAGGATGACGGTGGGCATCCAGCGTAGCGTCTCTTTCACGCAGGCGCGGATGTACGGCATGTCGGGGGCGTCGTCCATTGTTGGGAGGCGGGCTGGGCCTACGACGCGGTCGATCTCTTCCTGGCCTTTGGCTTGGACGTCCGGGGAGACGACCATTGCCAGGACGAAGGCGGAGAGCATCGATGCGGTTGTGTCGGAGCCGGCTTCGAGGAGGGACCCGCTGATGTAGCCGGCTTGGGCGTCGGAGAACTGCTCGACTTCTTGGGCTTTGAGGAGGTCGACGCAGAAGTTTGGCTACATGTATGTTAGTTTGGTATAAGACTTTGTCGGACTGTTTACCTTTGCTGTCCCAGCCAGAATTTCCCGTTTCGCATCCATCCACAGATCCGTGTACAGTTTCCTTTCTACCCTGTGTAGCTCCTGGGCGTATCGATAGCTTGGCAGCAGGAACTTTGGGAGCTTCCGTAGCACTGGAAAAAGGTCTAAGATCTGGGCGCTGGCATTGCCGACTACTTCACCCCATGATTCGAAGCACTTTTCGACGTAAGCAATCTATCTCCAACACTGGCACAAAGAGAATTAACCGACCGTTATAAGCTGCTGCAACTTTGGATGGTGAATACTCTGCGCACGGAACCCATAAATGATCTGCGTCGTCAACGAGAAAGAGTAGCGCCGCAGATGCTTGACAAACTCATTCGGTTGTTCCAAGAACCCCAGCAGCATCTGCTGTCTTTCAAGCATTTGGTAGGGCACATAGGCCTTGGCCGCTCGGATGTTGAGGATCCCATGGATGATCTTGTGCATCATTCGCCATAACGGGCCGTATGGCTGTCTAGCATTAGCGAAGCCAAGTAGAGGGCTACAGGTACTTACCATCGTAACCAGTCGCAGTCCACCACTGGCAATCTCATGGCCGATAAATATCTCTGGTCTCGAGGAGTAATTCGCGCCGCGCTTATCCAGAAGATCCTTGACTGCGACGTCGCTGGAGAGAACGATGTAGGTCTTTGTGCCGAGCACGAGCGAGTAGATCGGGCTGCTGGAGTTAGAGACGGTCATATAGAGGCTCACTGATTGATAAGCGCACCCGTATTCTTCAGCCCATTTTTTGAATTGTTGATGGGGATATTTTGATGGCATCTATCCGCAAGTCAGTTAGTCAAGCATTCTGGAGGGTTTGGATGGCCCGACGCACCAGATGCAAGTTGCCGATTATTGGCAGCGTTGGTGGGCCAGGGGGGTAGTCTGCCGGCCGTCGGCCTACATTGCGCAAGGTGATGACAAGATAAATGAAGACTGCGGTTGTGGCCGCAATAATAGAGACGAGAGAAGGGTCTGTCATGGTTGATCACGAAGAAGGCAGGAGAATTCGAGTGAAAACGGACAGATAGATTGTTGTTTTAGCCAGCCGGTGATTCGCAGAGGCTACTGCACGCTAGAGTAACAGTTTGACTGATAACGGGCGAGCTAGCTGGAGCGATATTGGAGCTGCCTACGCTAGATCTGACTCCCTTGGCCCGTTGACCATCTGGGCAGAAGGTGGAAATGTCGGGGGATGTCCGAAGCCCGTGCCTCCACAGTCGCATCCGAGATCCTTGCAACGTGGCGCGGAATATAAAGCAATTCTTCATGAAGGAGGGTTCTCGTGACATGAATTGAGCAATGCATGGGCGGAAAAGCAGGCGCGTGTCCTGGCATGTCTTCTCCTCAACCATTCCACTCCCTCATTGCCCCAGCCATCCATATATGAACCTCTTCCCTTTGCTGCAGGGATAATAACCCCACAGGAAGCCTTGAGCAATTGAACACAGCGCGTGTACAAGGATCTAGGATTGAGCGGGTTTTTCAACGGTCCTTCGGGCGAATGAGTGGCCATGGCTTTGCTTGACAGGCGACGGTTCCTCCACTAGGGCGGTTATCCCGCGATCTATGCCTGCCGGCTCATCCTTCGGCTCGTTCCATCGCTCAAAATGTGGGTAAACGGCTCATTAATACACAAGAGCGCCGTTTAGGAAGGAGTCTCGTTGTCTTGGCGTTTGAGAGATGTTGCTCGTCAAGGCCGAGATCATATCAAGCCTAGAAGGAAGGATGGATGCTGGCCGTACCTGGTTAGGCTCCTGGCCAGTACCGCTGCGCCGCCATTTGCGTTGAAATTGTTCATATTCACCTATAACTCCAGGAATCCATCTCACTCTTCCACTCAGCTTCAGTCCAATGTCCCCAGAAGTCCGCTCCTTTCCCCGGGCGTTCTGTTGCGGCAGGTCAACGACGAGGAAATGAGGTTCCTGCATATGGTGGCTGCAGTAGCTCTGGGTGCCAGTGTCCTTGCCTTTGCCCAAGATGTCTCGCTAGGTCTGCCGCAATGTGCTGTAAGTGTCCTGTTGGACTTTTCTTTTCTTTTCGCTTTACTACAGGAGGACCTTAACGAAATGGAGCCTCTGTAGGCGAAGTGCATGTCGAATGCGCTGCCATTGTCTTCCTGCTCTCCAAGAGATGCCGAATGCATGTGCGCGGACGAAACGTTGCTCAGCCAGGTTACCACATGCGTTGCAGCCGGTTGCGATGCAGCAGACTCTCTCAGTATGTACCTCACAACACAATATTGAGTTCCTCCGAGAAACTGAGCTTTTCTCCTAGGGACAAAAAATGCGACAAATACCATGTGCGGCATATCACCACGGGATGGCACAACCACTATTCTTGTGGTCCTCGGCATCTTCTCCTTTCTCACCGTTCTGGGTGTCTCGGTTCGACTGTGGCACAATGTCCTGAGACATGGGTTCAGTGTCGCTGATTCCTTTATTCTGATGGCTTTCGTATGCTCCGTCTTTTTCTGGCTCAAGTCTCAAGTGCTCGAACTAACTTTGCTTGAAGCTTCTGGCAGTGGGCCAGATCGTTGCCATAGCGTTGAGTGAGTATCCGATTCTCTCACACTCTAGCCACCAAAGGCTCCGCGCAAACTGACCGTCTGGCCAGTGGTTCGAGGCGGCATGGGAAAGGACTTATGGGCGGTTGATCCAAACAATATCAACAATGTCCTCATGGTAAGATAACCAACATTCCATTTTTTCTTGCTTAAGCAGCCTCTGATATGCTTCAGATCTTCCTGGTCTTCTCCTGCTTCTACGTCAGCGTCCTCACATTCACCAAGCTCTCCTTCCTGATGTTCTTCCGCCAAATATTCGTGTCCGAGACATTCCATCGGTTGACAATTGCATTGGGCGTTGCGTCCATCTGCCAGGGTGTTGGGTTCGTGCCGGCCGTGATTTTTCAGTGTACCCCGGTCTCGTATGCCTGGACGAACTGGGATGGAGAGCACGTTGGGAAATGCACAAACTTCAACGCCACGGTGTGGGCGATGGCTGGATCAAACACGTTGCTGGATATTCTGATCATTGCGCTGCCTATACCGTGGCTGGTTAGGCTGTCACTAGACATGAGAAAGAAGCTGCAGATGGTGGTATTGTTCAGCATGGGGTTCTTGTATGGTGTCCTTCTCCTTGCGCACGATGTCGATAACCAACCTTCAGGGCCCAAGTATTACCATCGTAAGCCTCGTCCGACTATACTCTCTAGTCAAAGTCGCGAAGACGTCGAATTTCAGCTGTGAGTGCTTACCTCCCTCATCCCTTCGCCCTCCTAACTCGAGCAGACGACTACTACCCCGTAATCTACTGGACGGTCATCGAAGTCGACACATGCATAATAATCGCGTGCCTGCCAGCCGTGCGTCAGGCCCTGGGCCGCCTCAGCCCGCAGCTCTTCGGCAGCAGCGACGGTCCATCGAACTACACATCCGGCACTCGCCCCAGATCACATAAACCGTCTCTCTCGCGTCGCCGTGCTCGGGGGTCAATATCAGCGCTAGAGTCAAAGTCATATAATGAGCGGAATATCAACAAGACGACTTCGCTGACGGTTTCTTATGCGAAGCGGCCGAATGACGAGAGTATGGATAATGTCCCACTCGTTGAGATTGGGTCTGCGAGTGATGTTTTGGGGTATTCGAGGCGGCATAGCCGGATGTGACGATTGCAAGGCTGGTTGATTATCAGTTTGCACGCGGCTCTTTGGAGGCTCAGTAGTAGATCTGCGAGGAACAGCGGGGCACCCTATTGAGTTGGTTCTTGCTGAACCCAAGATTCATACCCGGTGTCGACTAGGCGTAGATTATACGCTGTGCATGTCTGGTCCAACCAAAGCCATTGCCTTCACAATTGTGACAATCTTCCACAATCCCCCTGAGATCATTCTCTTCACGGTGACCACTCTACTCAGGAATGTGGTGGACATCATTCCTACCACTCATAGACAAAAAGAGGCCTTGCACTGTCTGTCGGCGATAAGGTATTTAGCTAAGCCAGATACACAACAAAAGATATACAGGCACACTCCAGTCGGCTGGATGCGTATTAGAGAATCTTCAGATGCTGCTGGTTGTGGTTGTCCGCTTGCAATTGTTCCTCACGCACTATTCACTCCTAAATCAATGTACGTTATCATGTACATATCTTGGCCTCACCAACGTTCAAAGAATATAGAGATGGAATAAAGACCAACCTTGACAATCCATCCGCGCTCTCTCGCTTGCCCGTTCTTGATGTTGGACACTAAGCCCAAGTACAGAATAGCGCCTGGTTTGGGGGTGCCGGGGATGGACAAGAACTCGGCGGAGCAGTTAGGACCGCTCCAGTGAGGGCCATCGAGCTCCATGCTTAGGCAGCTCGGTAGCGATATATCAATCTAGTCGGACGTTTCCTAGTTCAAGGCGCTGTTCGAACCTAGGATTTCGGGCTTTCGAACAGGTGGTGCTGGGGCACTTCACGCATGCGGGGAGGCCATAGTATCACGCCGGGGTGGTTTCGGGGGAATGGGAGTATTCGCATGTACACGGCTCGGATATAATGTCGGGCGTTTGAACGCATGCCGTGTTGGATAGTGTGGATCCTGCGTCTTGATACCTACCTCGTGACGGCGACATGGGCCTCGAACTAGAGAACGTGTAGTTGGTACTGATTGATTGGGAAAGAGTGTTGTGCTGTGTGATGGGATGGGGGAGAAATTCCAGAGCTGGGAAATTCATCGCACGAAACCTGGGCCATTGGTTATTGGTTTGGATTGCACGTATGCTAGGTTGGCAGGGTAGTCCGGGAACTCAGGAACATTAGGCAGGAATGAAACTGGATTTCATGACGTGAAACTCGAAACTAGTGGGATTCCCAAGGTAGAATATGTATATCGTAGTATCGTACTCCCATTCCACGGGCACGTGGAATACCTCTCCTCTCGCTCATTAACGTAGACTTTAGACAACGCGCTTAACCTGTTTATCCAAAACAATGTCAGTAACCCGCCCATCAAACACCACAAGCAAATTCGAGTTCACTCACCTCAAAGAATCTCTTCAACCACCAAACCTGGAAAACACCTTCCCCAATAAGCACCGCCAGCTGGAAGATACTCCACCACTTGACACGGGCATTTGTGCTCTCCGCGGTGTTGCGGTGTACGCGCTCACGGACAACAATGTACGACTGCTCATCCTTGACCTGGGCCAGGTTCTCCAAAAGCTTGCGGACCTCCGTCTCCAGCGGATCCTGCGCCATTTCGGATTCGGGAACGTAAACGATGCCGTGGACGTTAAACGAGACTTCCTTGGAGTTCGAGGTCCAGCCCTCGTTGCTGAAGCAGTAGACGTATTTGCCGTCGAGGTGTGCGGTGAACGAGTAGTCTTCGGAGCTGATGGCTTGCTTGTAGTATTGGCGGTTGGATTGGGGGTCTTCAACCTATAGGACAGAAAATATAATGTCAGTGACTATCCATGCAAATGATAGATCAATTGAACGAGTCCGGGGTGGAATTGAGGCCATTGTCAAGCCATGTCGGCGAGGGGTTCAACATACCCAGAAGTCAATCTCGAGATTTCCGCTCCCACCAAACTCCCGGTCGCCGACCTGGAACGAAACGGTCATCTTGTCATCCTTGTGCAAGCTCTCGTGGAAGCATTCTCGTGAGTGGGCGCGGAGCTGGATGTTGTGTGCGGCGGCGGCGGTGATCCAGCTAAGGCCAAGGAGGAGCGAGGCTGCGGAGAAACGCATGGCTGCGATGGCTCTCTGTTTTTTAGGCAGAGTATCGACGGAAATTATTGAGGTCCAGGAAGTGGTCGAGCTGCCCCGGCGTGGAGTTGTTTTGTGGTGGGATGGTAGTTGTCTACTCGTGATTGACGCGCAAGGTGGTCTCTCCCGTCACTCTAGAAATTCAAGGCGCTCGGACCACCTCACCTACGGCTCGCCGCTCTACAACTGCGGTGGTCAGCATTCCATCTATCGGGGGTTGATTTTACACGACAGATGTTACGGCTTTTTGTCTCTACGAAAGCTGTAAATCTATCTGCAATCCTAGAGGCTGCTTTATTGGTGCCCCACAAATGCCTCCTACACAGTGGACATCCAGGCACCTATATGAGCTACAAAAGACTTATAGGCATCTATACAGCTGACAGCATCCTCTAGACCAATACCTACGTACCAATTCTTCCAGAAGTCCTTTCATCTAGGCGTAGACCGAGCAATTGACCCGGTCGAGGTCTAGCCAGACTGTACTCAATTCGGAAGTAGCGATGGCTTAGCCCTTCCCATCATGACAAGATACATTTCCACTGCGCCTGGATGACTCCTCGTTCGAAGGCTATCTAGGAACGATCTCGTCAATCTCAGTTCTTCTTGGCCTGACATTCGGGCCTATCATGATGCCGGTTCTCGTGTCCAATGGAAAACAGTACCGGATGCCGCTTCTCCCAGGGAATGTCCGCGAGAGGCCTGCATACGCCGTCAGAAATGTGCACGCTGACCGCTATGAGGTAATAACCCTTTAAAGCCAGAGGCAGGCCGCGGTCCTGGTTACTTACCTATATCTTCAGGATCTTCCTATCACACGTCCACGGCGACAACGCGCATATCCCGCAATGCGTAGCGCACTTGGAGCCACCCGTAGGCCGCTAAACTCATATCATCACTCCATGGCCGTCATTCCGAGCACAACTCAAGGCTGCCTCCGGTGGTCCTCTGAAGATGACAAGGCGCTCCGGCAATTGAAAGCGTCGAACGTCTCATGGAAACGTATATCAACCGTGATGGACGGCAGACCAATCGCGGAACTCAAGGAGCGCTGGCTCGATATTCGGGATGGCAGGCATAGAGTCCACGAAGCGTACGATCTGAACGACTTGTACGAGAACGATGACGATGACTGGTATTTTGAGGAAGATTATGACGAAGATTATGGCAGAGAGAGTCGTCATGTGTCGTTCAGTCCGTCGCTCGATGAAGAGGTGAGTACCGGCGATTTCCCGTGCATCCTAGGCAAGATGGAACCATTGACGTCAGTAGACTGATGACTCGGACTATGTCCCTTCCAAGCGGTCGAGGACGAAGAAAGTTTATTATCTCGACGATGAGTTCACCCTCGACGAGGTACTCCTTCTCCACCGAATTGCAGCAGATTGGGAACGGGACCGGTTGGAAACAATTTGTAGTCGGTTCAATAGTAAAACCGGCCGCCATATTACCCGAAGGCAAGCAAGGTCTGTCCTTGATGAGTAGAGAAGTGAGAGGTGGGAGTGTCAAGTTGGAGGGCAGTGTTGGACCCTGGAGGCTCAAGATAGGATCGCATGGTCCATTCGCTTCATTGTATTCTTAGTTCGCCCACATCTTTAATCAATGAGAAAGTATCAGTACCTGAAGCTGGCAAGACGATTGAGAAAATCATTGAGTCCAGGCCTGTTTACAAGCTGATGGTGAATCCAAGAATAGAGCAGGGTTATAGGGATCGCTAGAGTGGGGCAGGAGAAGACCCTTGAGTGGTGTGCCTGATTAATCCTGGCCTTATGGGGTATGGTCGGTTTCAGGAGTTCCCAGGGACCTCCCAGGGTTCAATCTCCATCTGCCAACGTTCGATTGTTTCTTCGGCATCACTTCCTTTGAATCCAGTCACTCCTTACTCTTGTTGGTGTCGTATCACTCATTTTAGTTGTGTTTGCTTGGATTGTTTCCTGAGCCGAACAGCCTGCGGAACATTCCTCATTCTTGACAGTAAATAAAACCGGAGACAATTCAATTCTTCTCGACAATCACCGAGATCGAGCTCTCTTCAACTCTTCCTTTCGTTCTTTCCATACCCGTCAAAGATATATCAAAATGCGTGTCGCCGGAGTCATTGCTCTATTGGCGGCGGCCATGCCGGCTCTCGCTGAACGCGGAACATTCGGACTTGCTCTGGGCAATCAGAACCCGGACTCATCCTGCAAAACGACCGATGACTACAAGAAAGACTTCGATGCGATCAAGCACCTGACGACCCTCGTCCGTACCTACTCCGCCAGCAACTGCGACACCGCCAAGAACATCGTGCCGGCTGCAAAGGCGAAGGGCTTCAAGGTTGTGCTGGGTGTCTGGTATTTTCCCTGTTCGATTAGGACCATTTCTGGTGCTAACGTCTGTTTCTTCTCAGGCCCGACTACGATGAGTCCTTCAACCAAGATTTCGAAGCCCTGAAGAAGTCCGTTCCCGGAAACGAAGACGTCATCCACGCGATCACCGTCGGTTCCGAGTGTCTCTACCGCGGAGACTTGATTGATGCCCCGAAGCTCCTGAAGAGGATCAACCAGGTCAAGAAGGAGTTCGATGGTGTTGAGGTCGGTACCGTGGACAGCTGGAACAAGTTTGCCGACGGTACTGCGGACCCTCTCATCACCGGAGGCGTTACCTACTTGTAAGCCCCCACAGACAGAGTCGTGGCCCTTCCATCTTGCATTGCTAATTTGCTCAAGCATGGCGAACGGCTTTGCGTACTGGCAGGGCCAGCCTATTGAGAATGCCACCGCTACCTACTTCGATGACATGGCGCAGGCCAAGGCCCACATCGAGCAGGTTGCCGGTGACAATGCGAAGAACATCCGCTTCGGCAACGGCGAGAGCGGCTGGCCTACCGGTGAGTTTCCCGTTTCTAGGCGCTGAGTTCCTACTGACTGTTCAAGATGGCGGATCCGACTACGGCGCTGCCAAGGCCAGCACCGACTCCGCTGAGAAATACTACAAGAATGCTGTCTGTGCTATGCTCACCTGGGGTATCGACGTCTTCTACTTTGAGGCCTTTGATGAGAGCTGGAAGCCCGACAGCAAGGGCGACAACGGCGAGGTCAAGGACGAGAAGCACTGGGGTCTCTTTACCGACGACCGCAAGGCCAAGTTCGACATGACGTGCCCGAACTAGTTTTGCATTGATTTAAGAGTCGGAATACGTCGGATCTGCGCTTCTGTATCTGAAAATTATATCACATCTTATCACATAAACACGGAATATATTTATTTTCCAAATCACGTTCGAGTGCACCGTGCTTTGAATAGACGCGAACAGTCGCCTTGAAGAATAGTTACATCATATGAGGCCATAGTGCATGAGTTATAGCCTCCGACCGTGGGTTAGTCGAAGTATGGTAACGACTAAGCGGGAACCGTGGTTCATAGCGCACTTTTACCCCTGAGTAGCCGACACGAACCACGTTGTTTGGTTGAAGTCAATGTTGATGGGTTTAGCAATTTGCAGGCATTCAGGGGCTTCGGATCATGCTTGTGGCTCAATGATAATGTTCTCAAGAGTCTGATACGCTTCGACGTCCATCTCTCTATCTTTCTCAAGTACGGAGTAATCGATGATATGATCGCGTCTGACCTGCACCTCTTACATGGCGGTGAGTTGGCGAAGCAGCAAGCACAAGGGTCCGCAGCCTCGGCGTACGGAGTACAACTGCAGAGAGTTAGACTCGAATTTACGTCAATTAACATTGTTTACTAGCGATCTCCTAACCTGCTATACGTAGTATAGTAGCCAATGATCTTCGTCACCCCGAAGCTCCTACGGAGCCGGTGGCCAGCTAACTGCTACTAGTTGAAATAAAGGGCCTCTGTTTAGGGCGCTTGAAGTAATTACGTACGGTAAAATACTGCTTTGCTTGCTCAGATTGCCCGTGGAAATTGTGACATGGCCCAACCCCGATAGGCAACCCGGCAAAATAACCTTCCTTGAAAGCCAACTCCCCTAGTGTCAGTCGATTCTTCGTTTCTTCCATCGTTCAACCTCGATCCGGCTGTCCTTCGCGTATGCGCCATGTCCAAGTCCTTCGCATACCCTAGGTTTCTGTGATCTGTTGTTCATCATCTCTGTTGCCGTCCCCTCCCCCTGAAGAGTCCCCTCGCTCCATTTACGGGGTTGTTCCGCCAAATCGCCGCGACTCGCCCGGAACACGACTCCTACGAACAGCTCCGCATCGGCGTCTGCGTTTGCGTTTGAGGTTGTCAGAAGGTCCCGCGATAAACGATCGACGAGCTGAAAGACACTGGCGATTTGAGTTCCATGCTTCAACATTCTGGACAATAAGGAGAGCAGCAAGCAAGTGCTTGCTGCAAGAGTCGACACGGAAGGTCGGTCACTTTTTCAGCTACATTTCCACCAGCATACGAGAGGACCCCGCGTTCCTACCAGGCTTGATTGTCAAAGCTCCTAGCTGATCTTTTGTTTTTCCAGATCTAGATCAAACCGTGTCTTCCGCCAATTCGGCGCTTTCTCCCCCACCGCCGCATTCCTCAAACCCATCTGGCGTCCGTGACAGTTCACTGCTGTCGGCCCCGCTGCAATCGCCCTTCCCATCTCCAGGTGCGTCGAGTCGCTCGACCGCTGGATCACCTGGCCGGCCAACCTCTCCTGGGAACCGCAGCGTCTCCTTCAACGAACCGTCGACCCTACCCGTCCTACCAAGATACCGTGGTGCTTTGGACTCGTCTACCACTTCCCCGGAGGATAAGAAAGCGGAAAGCAGTGTATACTACACCACAGCTTGGGGGTCGCCGTATGCCGCACCCAGTCCGCGAACGGTCTCGTGGTCATTAAGTCAAAAAGACGCTGGTGTTGATCGCGACTCGGGAGATAGCTCGCCAATCTCCATACAATTCGGGCTCGAGCCGAACAGACACGTGAATCCGTTCGAAGGTCCAACCATTGAGGTCAGTGGTAGCCTTGATCGTTCTCCAGAGAGCAGACGAGGGAAGTCAATACAGGATTTCACGCAGGATTGGATCAATCAGTACCTTTCTGGTCAGCAAAGAACCGAGCGAAGCAACTGGTTAAGCGACGATTCCGGCAGCGAAGCCCCATCGTTCATTACGGCCGCGAATCACTTCGCAGACGACGCTTCTGACGACTGGCTTGGATTGGAACAGGACTCTCGGGACCAGGATTTGCTCAAAACCCCAACTCTAGCCGACTTTGTCAACCGGAGATCTGCTGCCAAGGCAGGGCCGCTCCGCAAGATCAAGGAGTCCCTTCACAGGAGAACAGATACTCTCCGACAGGAGGATTTCTGGGGGTTCGCATACGACAAAGAGCAGCCAAACGCCATGGCCGACACAAAAGAGACGCAGCCTGCTGGGGTAGAACACAAGCTTCTTCCGCCAGACGAGAAGCCGCTCCCACCGCCTCCGGTAGAAGAAAAGGAATCGACGCCGACGATTGACACGCCGGTAATACCCGTTGAAGCAAGCGTCACCACGGCGCAGCTAGCTGAAGAAAAGCCGTTGCCGCGAAGACAGAAGAAGAAGATACCCTGGCGCGGCAAAGGTTGTGTTATCGACCTTCCCCTTTACGACAAAAGAGGTACAGAAGAGTCTGGATACCGCCTCTTGACCGCCGAAGATGTCAGACGGGGCTTGCAGCAATGGGAGGAGCTAGGCTACGATGTTCGAGGCTTCAACGTTAGCGCGCCAGAGGATCCCTTCAACTTTGAGCTCGGAGGTGCCAGTCGCCCGCTTTACCCCGATGCAGGCGATCTGAAGGACGAACAGAATCCTGGCAACTACAACGTTAGCTTTCCGAACAAGGCGCTCTGGGATGAGTATGTTAACCACCTGCAAGAAGAGAAGCTCCGGGCCCTGGGTGTGTTTGGAGGCGATGAAGAAATCCAACCTTCTCCATCACCTGCTACACTAAACCCTATGACGCCCTTTCCAGGTCTCGTTGCATCTCCGCCAATCCCATCTGCATCAGCTGCTAGCAACCCTCTGTCAATGCATCATCCTTTCTCTCCGCAACTCACACAGGGGGGTAATATGAGCAATGGGATCGCCTCTTTGGCGTCACCGGCATCTCAGTTTGGTATGCAAACGCCCTTCTACGGTGTCGACCAAGGTATCATGCCAGGATTTCTTCCCTTCCAGCCGACGCCGCCCGCGCAAGGCTCACTCACACCTCAGAGCTTCATCAACTTGCGTCAAAGTGGTCCTACATCAACTATTCCAGGCACTCTGTCCAGTCTTACCTCTATGCTGTCACCTGTTTCTCCAATGAACGATACAAATGCTTTCCATCCCGGATTTGGCGACCACGTGGGACAACAGAAAGACGTCTTCAATGACCAATTTCACCACCTGGCGCAAGATGACTATGCTGAGGATCAACTCCGGCCGCTGCGAACCCCTCCGCCAAACCCGGACAACTTCCATGCGTCTACGGTCGAGATTGCCCAGCCTACTCCTCGTGGTCACAGCCGTGGTCATAATCTTAGTGAAACACTTCAGCGCGGTATCGACCAGGTCACGCCGGATTACCATCTGGAGGATTCTATCGACAGAGAGCTTGATGATGGTGACTACGATCCAATGCATCACAGCCTTGGTGCGCCCGGCCTGCTGAACTCTAGATGGGCTCTGCCTGAAACCAACGCGCCTCAACATATGGCTCAGCATCTGAACCACTTTTACGGAGATGTTTATAACGCCGAGGTTGCTCATGACGGCTCAGATATCGACACCAACCCAAGCTTATCTGGGACGCCCCGCCGTAATGGATCGCTCGCCCACCAGTTTCCGTGGCATGAGCCAAAACCCAGTAACGGGTCTTTTGTTGGTGGACACCGTTCGAAACTGTCAACGTCGAGTCTCAACGTTCAGGCAAAGGAGTTCGCACCAACCGGTCAAGCTGCCCCGCAATCGTTACCGTTCCAGCAGCAAGATGCTTTCCAATTTCCTACGTTGGAGCACTCCGTGTTTACCTTTGGCGCTGAACAACCTGCTGGGCGGCTCAACGTTGCTGCTCCTACATTTACTCCTGGCCAGACTGACAATATCTTCCACGGCAGCCAGGACAGTCAGTCCCGTGAATTCAAGTTCTCTGCCCCGTCTGCTGCTGCGTTGAACGTCGCTGCGCCTGATTTCAGTCCCGGTAGGACCAAGATCTTTGACGATATCGACTTCGCGGAAATTTCCAAGTCTGCCAAGAAATCAAAGGCCATCCCGATTGTCAGACCAGATGAAGTGAAGGAAGACGAGCAGGATAAGTCGGAAGTCAAAGAATCAAGCGATTCTCGTGGTCGCCCATATCCTACTGATCGACATAAGCGTGCTCGACGCGTCGGCGGAAGTGACGAAGGCGAGGCCCGGTTCAGCATATCGAACCCGCTGGGCGAGGCCAGTAACTTTCAGCCTCAGCATACACCAACCGCTTCTTATGCGCCTGCCGAGGGTAAGGAAAACGCTCTTCCTGAGCAGGAATCAAAACCCGTCGTTTCCCAGAACAATCCCATTGAACGTTGGGATACACCCGCCAGTGAAGCTTCCACCTGGGCTCCTTCCGAGGCTAAGGTCAATGTGGCCGGGCCAAATGAGATACAACATAAGAGCCCTGAAGTGGTTGCTGAAGATAGGCCTGACCCTGAGGTCTCGAAGGAACAGCACGAGCCAGCCAGGGAAGTCGAGCCTGTTCAGTTCGGCCAGAAGAGCGCTCTCTCAGGTTCAGCAAAGCCATTCAGTTTCAAGCCCTCCATCGCTGAATTCGTGCCATTTAATGCTGAGCCGCCAGCGCCTCCTCCAAAGGACACGCCACCCAGGGCAAACAAGGGCCTGATGGCTTCCCGCTTCGCTGCTGCAAGCCCACCGGCGTCACCACCTGCACGGCAGTTATCCACGGAGCTGTCGGCTTCCGCTAATGTCAATGTGAAGGATGATCAGCCGGAGGATATCCCTGAAGCAGAAGAGGATCGTGCGCACATCGAGGAAGACCAAGACTCTCTTGATGAAGATCAGCTCAATGCCATCATGGATCAGCTCAATGAGGATTCTGAGGTCGGTGTCGAACGCATCAGCACTCCCCAGCCCGCTAGCCACCTGCCAGAGCCAGTTCCAGCGCCATCGAAAGAGAAACGCCATGATCATGCGAACAACAGGAGTGAACCACCGAGCCCTAGCCCTGGAAGAGGTGCAATATCTCATACTCTCAATGTGCCTAGACTTGATTTCGATGCACAGTCCCAGTTCACAGCCACTCCTACCAAGGGTGTAGTCTCCAACATCCACTCGCCTGTCCGACAGCTCTTAAGCCGGAATGACCATATTAGCGACTGGGACGATGTGATTTCTTCAGGAGAAGACATCAAGTTGGAAAACCGCAGCAAATTCTTTGATCGCCGTATCAATGAACTTCTCGGATCCGCAATCGATGAGCGCCTTTACCCTCTCGAGAACGCGCTTGGATCAATCCAGGACTCACTTGCAGCTTTGGCTTCTGCTCCTACCCAAGCTCCATTGGCTCTGCGAAGTACATCTGCTGAAGTTATGGATAGTGACGCCGACGACGAAGACGAATATGAGTACGAGGAGAATGCATCCTACAGGGCGAGGTCACCAATTCACCGTAGAGAGCGTAAGCTCGAGAAGCTTAGGAACGTTTTTCTGGAGGCACTGGCAGCCCATGAGCCTCAGCCTGCTCCTGCTCCTGCTCCGGAACAGCCTGCCATGGAAGAACTTCAACAGCTTCGCAGTACCGTCGCTGAGCTGCACGCGATGACGGCCCAGAAACTGTCGCAAGACCCGACCGCCGGCCTGCGCGAAATGATTCAGGAAGTTGTTGCCGCTCAAATCAACTCTCGCTCGCGGTCGGATGCGGAAGAGATCGGAGCCGACAGTCTCATGCTCCAAATCAACAGCTTGAAGGAGATGCTGAGAGGCGCTGATGAGCGAACCGAAGCTGAGTATAGGAAACGAAGACATGCGCAGGACACCATTGCCCAGCTCCAGCGCCTGCTTAAGGATGCTGAAGACGAAGCTGCCCGTCACAGTGCGGCTGCCGAATCTGCTGAAGCACGATTACTGCAATTCCAGGAAGAGAAGATGCCGTACTATGAGAGCTTCCAGCAGAGAGCTGTTATGCTCGAAAAGGAACGCGAAAGCACCAGGCTGACGCTTGATGAGCTCTCTTCCAAGAACATTACACTCCAGGGCACGCTCGACGAGTACCGCTTCATGACCGATAGCGCGAAGCGGGAAACCGAGGAAGCCAATGCTCGCCTGGAAGAGGCCAAGGCCGAGAACCACCAACTGCGCAACACCGTTGCCAACATGAAGGTTCGCATCGAAGACGGTCTCCACATCCGCCAGAATCTCAGCGGAAAGATGGATCAGCTTCAAGATCAACTGGCTGTCGTTACTGGAGAAATCGCCCGTGATCAAGCCTCTTGGCGACGCAAGGAAGAAGAGATGAACGCCAGGTACAACGAACTACGGGCATCCCACAATCGGGAGACGAAGTTGCGTGAAAAGCTCGAAACTGAAGTTGCGACGCTGGAAGAGCAGGAGCGTGAGGCCGCGAAGCTCAAGTTCATCTTCGGACAATCGCAACAGGAGAATGAACGCCTTGAGGAGTTTGTCAATGAGTTGAGGCAGAAGAACCAGGAGCTGGATGTGAAAGCTGCTCGATTCGAGCGCGAGTTTAACGAGGCCCGCGAGAGCAGTAGAGTTGAGATTCAGCGTACCAGAGCCTCGATGGAGACGGAGATTGAGGCTGCCACCACCCAAGTCAACATTGTCCGTGCCGAGCTGGAGGCCCAAATCACCCGTCTGGAGACTCAATTGGACAATGTCAAACTCGACAGTGACACTGCACGAGAGCGCTACGAAATGCTCCTTGAGGAAGCGCATGAAACAAAGGCTGCTGCTGTGGCTAGTGCTATCCAATCCAAGGAAGACTCTTTGGAAGATCAGCGGCAACAGCATGAACGTGTTCTCAACGACCTCCGCGAACGTCACGCTCGCATCATGCATAACTCTTCTGAGGATAAAACGCGGACGGAGAACCATTACTTTGAGAAGCTGCAGTTCTCGGAAGACAAGATCAGGCACCTCCAAGAGCGAATTGTACACCTCGAAGAGAAGCTCGAAATCACCCAGTCGGCTGCTCGTGCCGCTGCCGAGGCTGCGCAATCGGCCAAATCTGCAGGACCGACTGCGCCTTCACACTCCAGCTCTCCTTCGCTGCCATTCAACCAGGGCTCGTCGGTGCCTGAGAAGATCTCGCCCCAGGCTCTCCGAGAGTCGATCTTGGTCCTGCAGGACCAACTGCAGCAACGTGAAACACGCATCGACGAGCTTGAAGCCGAACTCTCCGCTGTCGACAAAGATGCCCCCACCAAGATCAAGGAGCGCGATACAGAGATTACTTGGCTGCGTGAACTTCTCGGTGTCCGTCTTGATGACCTTCAAGACATCATCAACACATTGTCAAAGCCCTCGTTCAACAAGGATTCCGTTCGCGATGCCGCTATTCGTTTAAAGGCAAATCTTCAAATGCAGCAGCAGGAGAAGGAGAGGGCCGTAAACGGCCAGAGCTTCCCAAGCCTACCCTCTCTATCCGAACTGACTGCTTCTCCGCGTGCCCTACCTCTCGCGGCGGCTGCAGCATGGGGCAACTGGCGCAAGGGCAGAGAAAATGCGAACTCTGAGCAGACACCCTCAAAGCCAAGTCCCGCGACATCTTTCCTCTCCGGACTCCTGACCCCTCCCAGCTCCAACGCCCGACAGAATGGCCCCAACAACAGTGCGGCAGCTGGCCCGAGCTGGAGACGGCCATCAGAAAGCCGGTCGCTCAAAGGCATCGACACTACACCCAGGCCACTATCCTCGCGTGCGGCCGGCAAAATGCCAGAGCCACCAAGCACCCCTCCGCTCCTGCGCCAGTCAAGCTATGACCACGACGCGGAGCCTACCGACTATGTGGAGGCGGAGTCCCAGGAGGAGTCCCCGGCGGAATCCCCGGTGGAATCACCCCTCGAAGAAGACGAGAGCACCGCTGACGGATTCGTCTCGGCCTCTCCCCGGGAGATGGCCGATGGCCCCTTCGGCCCACAAATAGCATGATACAGATAGACTGTTTATAATCCCCTTTCCTTTGTTCATTTGATCGTCTCCAAAACTGTGTTAATATGGCGCGTCGTCTTGCTTCAAGTTGGTTCTTCCCAGCTAGTTACATATTTTCTTGTATCTAATACTGGTGGTGCGAGAGAGCTTACTTCCTCCACTCTCGCCTACTTCTTGTTATTTATCGTGCTCTTTACTCGTGATATTTACACCAGATACCATTTGTTGATTCTGATTTTCGCGCCTCTCTGTATACTGTTTGGCTTCTTTCTTCTCTCCAAGACAGACAAATCTCTTTAATCTAACCTAGCTAGGTGCTTACTTACCTTTGTCGCTCACTCAGATCTCTTAGAATTTACTTTCTGTCTTCTTTTCAAGCTAGGATCCTTGTTTAGATGAGACTGGATACTGTGGACTCTCTTCTTTCTTCCAGCCACTTAAGACTCGCTCTTTTTTCATTTGGACTATCGTCGCGTAGATGGTATTTCGAGACGCTTTGAGCAGGCTGGTTGGAGCAGCTAGAGTTCTTTATTGCATGATTTATCGATTTTGATCGCTCACTTGAATAGACACTGTTGTGGATATATATTTTGAGCTATCTTATAAAATCACTCACAAATTGTCCGAACCAGCGGCACCAAAATTCAAATTTTTGTCTACTAGAGGCCTAGTGTGGTGACGGCCGATAAATAAGTATAGCTACAAAGAATCTCGTGGATAAAATCATCTCCTGCATGTTATCCAAATCCGCGCCCTTCATTGAGGGTAGGTACATTGGTATATATACAAGATAGCTGTACATGGATATCTTGAGATCTAATCTAAAATGCTGGCGAAAGAAATATTTCGTTCCTTCTCTTTTTCTCCAGGTCTGTTCGTTTGCATACTGAAATCGAGCCTGAGGACTTCCTTGCAATACATCTGGCTAATACGGCCTGTCATCTTCCTCCGGATGTTGCAGGCTGTTTCCTCCTGTCTTTGGGGTGCCCTAAAAGACGGCCACCGCCCCAAAGCAAAGCGCAGTGCATGCACGCCACTGGTGACCACGCCCTCGCTTGGAGCTCGGGCCGCTAGACCAAAGGTCGCGATGCTATCTTATTTGTATGCAGGTCGATGTCGTTTGCCTGGTCGTCAGATCTCATGAGGGCCGCCTAGTTGTACCAAGTGTCCAAATCTGCTGTAAATAGGTGGAGCAGATAGGCAAAGCTCGTGCATGCTATGCAGCGTAAGGCGAACATTCAAATATGGCTAGGCGTGCTTGTCTAGCGAGCGCGTTCAAGGGTATCGTCTTTTGCTCTATTTGAGAATCAGTACCCGGACGCGTCGTGTCTTTCGGCTCGCGGTGTGAATGTGGTTGACTCGGCGCAAATAGTTCATCATATAACAATATGCTTCTCGCGCTGGTAGAGATCCTTCAGGAGTTTCAGCTGGTTAACTCCCATGCTCTGACGCGGCATTTGGGCCGGCAATTCAACAATCGCCTTCCTCATCAACGCCAACCCAATATGTCCAAAGAAGCCGACGATCCTCTCAGCCGAAGACCGCAGCATAGCAGAAAGCAGCGTAATATGAGTTTCCTGCATATCCGCAACAGGGATATTAAGGATCTTATGCATAGCGGACCAGTAAAGCGTATTGGGGAATGGGTTTTTGCGCGCAGTCTTGCCGAAGTTCCGCAATGTCAACGCAGCAAATCCAGCACCCAGTGCAGTCATGCGGTCTAAGTGCGTTTGTTCGCTGACGAAGGGCCCATCGGCACCACCATCGCGCCACCATCCCAACGCTTTTCTACCGGATTCGGTCTTTTCGTTCCCGTAAAAGCCCCAGAGCGCGGGGCATACAACGTGATATTTGGCCCAGAGGATGTCAACCATGTGCACGCCCTTGTAGACGAAGGCGTCCATGGAGAAGATTTGGGCGGCGATGATGCCGATTGGTTCAGCGTGGCCTTGATTGATAGAGGCTTCTGTTATGAGGGAGGAGATTAGGGACTTCGCGAGAATGTTGAGGCCGTAGATTAGGAGGGCCGGGACTTTGTTGTCATCGGAGTTGGCGATGTTTTCGGGTGGGAAGGCAATGAATTGGCGGACGTCGACGGAGGGTTCGGCTATTGAGGCGGCCTTTTCGAGATTGGCGCGGATTTCTTGGGTCTGGGAGAGAAAATATAGTCAGTTTTTGTATTGGATGAAAGGGCTGTTTTGGCGCGAACCTGAGTTTTGTTTACGCCCTTTCCTTCACGTAGTTGGCCAACGCATTTCTTGATCGAGCGGCGCAGGTCTCCCATGTTTTGTTTGATGGTAGGGTTTGCTTTGCCTTGATCTCGAAGAAACTGGCGGAACTTCTTCAGGTGCTGATGCAGTTCGACAAAGCGTTGGTGAGTTTTAATTTCTTCTTCCGACAGCCGGGCACCACCGAGTTGTTTCTGACGCGCTGCGAGCTGCTTCTGAGCCGCCTCTTCTTCCTTCAACCGTGCAGCTTCCTGTTCGACCTTCAGGGCTTCTGCCTCACGCTTCTTTTTTTCCTCTTCCGCTTGTTCCTTCTCCTTGCGCTCCTTTTCCTCCCGCTCCAACCGTTTCTGCATTTCGATCTCCGCGGCCGCCTTGCGTTTCGCCTCTTCTGCAGCTTTCAACGCGGCCTCACGTTCCGCTTTCATCTTTGCGAGTTCCTGATCCCTCCGCAATTTTTCAGCCTTCTCGCGTTCTATCCGTTCCGCCTCTTTGCGGGCTTCTTCCAGCTTGCGACGGTGCTCTTCCTCCACCGCGCGTTGGTGGGCTTTCAGTGTCTCTTCGGCTTCCTCCAAGACTTGCTCATGGCGAGCGGCGACCTTGTCGAGTGCTGCATTGTGCTGAGCTTCCAGTTCGCTGTCTGCTCTGTCAAGCTTCTCGTAGAAGGATCGTCGCTCGTATGCTTTGACCTTTTTCAGCTCTGAGTTGTGAACGCGTAATTGCTCCAAATCTCGGGTCAGGTCAAGCATCAGCTGCCTAGACGGGCTGTCCGGTTGCGAAGGGTAACTGGATCGTCCCATCTTCACGGTTGTACTTTGGTTGTGGTTGAGATTCGCGCAGACTGAGGGTTGAAGAAACCTCGATCTTCTAGTATGGGGAGCTTTCTAGTGACAGAGAATAGACGCGCAATGAATCATAATCTGAGGCAAGGAAAGGAACTCCTGTTCACAGTTTCTGCGCGTCCTGTCCGAGGAAAACGAAGGCCGAGGGTAGTGGGACGGGCAATTACGCGGTCGTTACCGGCTGGGAATTTCGACTCATCGGACGATTATTCAAAATGCATTTGAGCGAGATCTTCGTAAAGTGAACGAGGGCAATCCGAAAGAATGAATTGAGCGGCCTGGTACGACGTCGATGCCGAGCATATAGGGCCTACCTCATGGGACTTCCTAGAAACGAGCGAATCAGCGACAGAGCCAATGCGTTTCGAACAGCAACTCAACAAGCTCACCCTTTGTTTCGGGCTTCGTGAAAGAGATCGGGCTCTTTTTATAAAAGAATGAAAGCGACCGGCCGAGATATACAGCGCGGTACGGTATTTTGGGACGCGCTCCGTTTTTTGTTCCGGCGGACTCGACCAGCACCGGCACGTGATTAGTCAGAAGAGCTAGAGTGGTCTCTCTGGGCGGCCCGACAGCCTGTCCAGCGAGAGATGCCGCTGATGATCCTCGGCGCCCGTGCCGCTTTCTGGGGTCGTCCAGGTTCCTTGGTCCCGACGGGGCTCTTTACATCATGACGGCCATCATAAGATCTCGCTTTTGAACTGGCCGTTGCAATTGCTCTTGTGTCAATTAAGCCTTGGAAAGGCTGGACTAGGATCCGACGAAGCCATCACTACTCCGTTGATTCCTCCAAAGCCGGGAGCCTCTCAAAGCGAGACGAACCTCTGTCTCAGGTTGAAGGGGACCCCGTCTGTCCAGAGCTTTGGTGGGTCTGTGAACCACTCAGAAGACCGAGTCCTTCGGCAAACTGACCGTGGTTTCTTCAGGGAACAATCACTCTCGAGACACGAGACCAACACTCACGTCGCCGGAGTCCGAAGGTTTAAGAGACAAGGAACGGTGCTGTACGCCATACCGCTTGGTCCATCCGCGGTCTCGTCCATTCATGTGCGGAGAGCCTAGAATCCCGGAGCGCAAGCTCTTCGGCTGTTGATACGGGGCTGAATCGCCTCCCGAGGATCCTACGCTAAGCACCTTACTTGCAGTGCTTGCACGGCCAGTTCTCTATCCTGCAGGATAGGTACATGAACAGTCTTCATTAGGAACTCGTTTTCCGGGAAATGGTATCGAATCGCGTGGTACCGATACGTTCGGCCCATCGAGCTGTCAACTCCAGCTCGTGATCGCGAACCAGAACCTTTTGGGACCAAAGAGCGGTACCAAGGAGCGGTACCTTCGGGTTAGTGACATTTAAACTTCTTGCTCAGTCAGTGCTCGTCAAGCTTTGACAAAAAGGGTCTTGTCGTAATCCCAGTTGCTGGGGCATATCAGGGTAGGTTTGAGAAGTTGACGAATCCAGATATCAGCCTCTTGGCCTGCATTATCTGCTAGGAATCCCGGGGTAGCTAGATGGAGCGTTTAAGTAGAATGATGATGGCAATACTGAGCTCTGCCCTGCGTGATTTGTTCATATTGTAGTCATCATTAAGTAGACCGTATGAGACCGTCCCTGTCCACTGATTTGCTCTCCTGAAGAACTACGAGGGCGACTAACTAATTCACTCTTCCTTTTCTCCCCCAGCTCCATCTTCCCCATTTCTTTTTCTTCTCTTCTCTCTTCTCTCATCCTCTCTTATCTTCGCTTCTCTCTTCTCCCTGTCTCTCTCTGTCCTCGCCCACTCCCTCCTTTGATCTACCCCTCCTTCTTTGCTCCATCCCCCACTCTTCCAGTATTGGGCCATTCCTTCAACTCCCGCCAACAGAATCGTGTTATTCTTATCAATTCGCCATTCTCTTTCTGCGTGCTCAGATCCTCTGCTGCATCTGACGCACTGAAAGACTACGGAAATTATCGTTAAGGCTCGTTTCCAAGAAAAGGCGCCAACTCAACAGCTCTCCTTCGCAGCCTGAGTTGCCCCCCTTTTCTGGTCCTCTCTCTGGCTCCAACCGTTAGTAGTGGGACTCGGGTTCCTCCTTGCAATTCCGACGTCACAGAATTCGTACAATTCCTGTCAAGGCAAAAAAGGGGGAAACGCTCCTCAACCCAAGAAAAAAAAGTCTGCTAGAACACTCTTGGTTGAGGTTTCGAGGTTTCCTTGTTGCGGTGGAGATCGCTTGGATGGCACTCTGGGGCAACCGATAGCTCCCACCCGCTTACTCTACGCAGTCGAGAGTTCCCCTCTCCTCTTCACAGCTCTTCTAACCTCATCCTCTCCTTCGGTCTTTGCCGTCCTAATTCTGCAGAGGTCCTGCCTCTGTGCTTACTTCTGTGTGTATACGTCTTTTTGTCTTTTTTTGCCTGCTTTTCCGCTTCTACACAACGGTCGTTGCCGCCCACTTTTCCTCTCGAGTGCGAAGTCGACTCCGTGCAAAAGGGGAAGAGACCACTGTCTGTCGACAACCAACCCAAAAGACGACTTCAAAACGTTATACTATAAATTTATATCGAATCAAGCGACCGCTCTGAAGGTATGTGCCCCCGGACTATCAGCATACCTTGACCGAGCCTTCGGCGGCTCTCCTTCCTTCATCCCGCTTTCCTCTGTGCCTTCCTATTCTGTCCTTGCACTGTTTTGCCTTCACACTCGCGGGGCAATCGCAGCCTACCGCTGGAAAATGCCACCGTTCGCCTGTTTACCTTCCCCTCGAAATGCCTGGTGTTTGCCTCCAGCTCTTCTACCCAACTCACCTTCCTACCTATCCCGCAGTAACTAACTCGCCCCTCTCGTTATACAGCATACTTCAGACACCTTTCTTTGTCGCAAACGAACCGGTCGGCCTCGCCTGTCGATAAAGCCCAGCGATTGTCAGCCCAAGTCTTTCGACGCTCTCTCATCGCTCGGCATTCTACACTCACGACGCTCCCTTTTTCATTGCGAAGATGGACCAGCAGAACCAATCTGGGGTCCCCGGACCAGCTGGTCGAAAGCTGCATATCGCTCACAGACGGAGCCCATCTGAGCTTACCCCTCTTATGAGTATGTCTTGACCGCGCCTTCCAGCTCGCCGCTTTCTTCCAACGGTGAATTGCTAACAATGGATTATACAGTGGAACAACTGGCGATCCAGCAGCAAATCGAGCTGCTTCAGCAGCAACAACAGCAGATTGCAGCCACGCACCAGCAGTATGTCAATATGGGCCTATTGCAACCGCAGCAGATTGGCCAGGCTTCGGGTTTCACGCCTTCTCTCCAGGGTGGCGGTGCGGCCATAGGCGGAGTCTCTCAGCAACAGCTCGGTGCCTTCCAATTCCCTGGGGTTGCGCAACAACAGCAGCTTGGAATCCCCGGAAACGCTTCGAATCAGCATTCCCACCGCCGTAATCAATCGGCCCTTCCGGGCTTCGGCATGGGTGGCCCTCCTCCAGCTCCATCCTCGGGGGCTTCTGGCTATTCGGACTACAACCAACAACAGCAGGGCAATTTCCAAAAGAATGATAACGGCGGTCATGGTCGCGGCCGTGGAGGCCCTCCCGGCGGTGGTCACCAGCGACGCCATTCTCTTGCTCTTCCGGAGGCCAAAAAGGCCGCAGAGCTCGCTCAGCAGAAACGCGCGGCATCTGGGTTCCAGTTCCCTGCCCCCTCCGGTGACTCGTCTGAGGGCCCTTCTACCTCCGACGACAAACCATCTACCCCAAACACAGCACAGTCGGCGCAAGGATTAGGCCTCCACCGCGCCGGTAACATCAGAGCGAGTGCTCATGGCCGCAGTCAGTCTATGGCTGTTGGTGGAAATCGTGGCTCCCTGTCTGGTCGTGGCCCGGGTGGTTTCCAGTTCCCTGCCAATGATGGTTCCGCTGGTCCTGAGAACCAACGCCGTGGAAGCCAAGCTTCCCACGCTCGGACACCATCCAGGAATTTCGACGGTAACTGGCGCCAGCCTAACAACCAAGCTCAAGCCCAGGATCAGTCAAAGGGCCTCGGCCAGCAGAACTCTGGGTTCCAACCTGGACATCGTGCACGCGCGTCAATGAACCAGTCGATTGGCTCGATTGGCTCATTCCAATACCCCGGCCAGCCTCAGTTGATTCAACTGCCCCAAGGCCAGGTCGTCATGGCCCCCCCTCAGATGTTCGGCGGAGCTCAACAGTTGAACCCCCTGCAACTAGCCCAGCTCCAAGCTCTGCAACAGGGTGGGCAGCTGAACGGTCAGGGCTTAGGTGGTCTCCAGGCTAGTCAACACGCTCCCCAGCCGCTATCTGCTCAGCAAACCCAACAACAACAGCAGCAGCAGAGGAAAACTCTGTTCACGCCTTACCTTCCCCAGGCCAACCTTCCTGCGCTCTTGAGCAATGGTCAACTTGTCTCAGGTATTCTCAGAGTGAACAAGAAGAACCGTTCCGATGCCTACGTTACCACGCCAGACTTGGATGCCGACATTTTCATCTGCGGTAGTAAGGATCGAAACCGTGCTCTTGAAGGCGATTTCGTGGCTATTGAACTTCTCGATGTTGATGAAGTCTGGTCCCAGAAGCGGGAGAAGGAAGAAAAGAAGAAACGCAAGGACATCACCGATGCCAGGTCTGGTAGCAATGCTGGAACAGACAAGATGTCCCGTTCTGACTCGACTGGAGACCGCCAAGAGATTGGACCTGACGGTAGCATTCGCCGCCGGGGCAGTCTCCGACAGCGTCCGACTCAGAAGAAGAACGACGATGTCGAGGTTGAGGGCCAGAGCCTGCTCCTGGTTGAAGAAGATGAAATCAGTGATGAGCAGAAACCACTTTATGCTGGCCACGTCGTCGCCGTCATTGAACGTATCGCTGGCCAGATGTTTTCTGGTACACTTGGCCTCCTCCGCCCTAGCAGCCAAGCAACGAAGGAGAAGCAGGAAGCTGAGAGGCTTGCAAGGGATGGCGCCCATGGCCGCCAACAAGATAGACAGCAGGACAAGCCCAAGATCGTTTGGTTCAAGCCTACCGACAAGCGTGTTCCCTTAATTGCAATCCCCACTGAGCAAGCTCCGCGCGATTTTGTCGAGAAGCATCAAGATTACGCCAATCGCATCTTCGTCGCATGCATCAAGAGATGGCCCATCACCTCGCTGCATCCCTTTGGTACTTTGGTCGAACAATTGGGTGAGATGGGTGACTTGAAGGTTGAAACCGAGGCGCTCCTCCGCGACAACAACTTTGGCTCCGATGAGTTCACTGACGCCGTCTTGAAGAGCATTGGCTGGGAAAACTGGTCGATCGCTAGTGAAGGCGATCTGTCTTCCCGTCGGGACTTCCGCCAGGAAACTACATTTACTGTTGAGCCGAGCGGAACCAATGAGCTCGATAACGCCTACCACTTCAAGACTCTGCCGGACGGGAAGGTAGAGATTGGCATCCACGTCACCGATATCGCTCACTTCGTCAAAGCCAATTCGCTGGTTGATCGAGAGGCGAAGAAACGTGGTACTGCCGTCTATCTTGTTGATCGTCTGGTGAAACTGCTACCCCCGCGTATCGCGACTGAACTATGCGCTTTGCTCCCAGGTGAGGAGCGCTTGACAGTCAGTGTCGTATTCAAGGCCAACCCCGAAACGGGAGCCGTTGACGACGATGTTTGGATCGGCAAGAGTATCATCAAGAGTGTTGGTAGACTGAGTTACGATGAGGCTGAATCCGTGATCAAGGGATCATCCAATGCTCCATTGGCAGGTGTTCCAGTTGATACCATTCGTGGACTACAGGTAAGGAACTTTTATCATGTGTTTGACATCTCGGTTCTTTTAGGCTAACTATAAGCAGCGCACCGCCTCTAAGTTCCGCGAAGCGAGACTTGGAAATCGGGTTTCCCAGATTCCTCCTCTACGCCTACTCCATTCCCTGGACGACGAGAATGTGCCGGTGGAGAGCAACATTTTCGACTCTTCGGCCGTTCGTGAGCTTGTGGAGGAACTGAGCTTCAAAGCGAACTTCCTTGTTGCCCGCAAGCTGCTTGCAGCTCTCCCCGACAAAGCTTTCCTTCGCCGTCAGCAGTCACCTAACCCTCGTCGTCTCCACTCATTTGTCGACCGCATGAACAGACTCGGGTTTGGGCTCGACGAGTCCAGCAGTGGAAGCTTGCAGAGTAGTCTTTGCAAGGTTCAAGACGATGATCTGCGCAAGGGAATGGAGACAATTTTCGTGAAGTCCATGCAGCGTGCGAAGTACTATGTTGCGGGCACCGTCCAGGACGAACTGCGTCCTCACTATACCCTCAACCTACCCGTCTACACTCATTTCACTAACCCATTGCGCCGCTATGCTGATGTTGTCGTCCATCGCCAACTCGAGGCTGCATTATCTGATGGCGCTATCGAGTTCACGGATGACATTGAATCCCTCAGCAAGACCGCAGATATCTGCAACAACAAGAAGGATTCTGCGCACAATGCCCAGGAGCAGAGCGTTCACATTGAAGCTTGTCGCAGTATGGACAAACTCCGCCAAGAAATTGGTGGTGACCTTATCAGCGAAGGTATTGTGCTTTGTGTCTACGAGTCCGCATTTGATGTTCTCATTCCCGAGTATGGTTTCGAGAAACGTGTTCACTGCGACCAGCTACCCTTGAAGAAGGCAGAGTATCGCAAGGAGTCTCGTGTCCTGGAACTCTACTGGGAGAAGGGCGTGCCTTCGTCAGCCTATATCCCGGAGGATGAACGTCCTAAGCCGGCCAACTCTCGTGCTGCCCAGGCCGCAGCAGCCGCAAGAGAGGCCGAAGCCGCTCGTGAACGGGCCAGGGAAAGAGAGGAAGCTCTGAGAAAGCAGACCGAGACCGGAACAATGTCCGCTGACGATGTTGATGCTCTGTTCGACGATGATGATGACGTCTCCGAGGTTACGGAAATGGCAGCTGGCGTCTCGTTGAACTCCGCAGACCGCTCAACTCAGAGCATGCCGCCGTCGCCCACTCGCAACGGTCATTTGCCCCAAGGTCCTCAGCGCACGCTTTCGGACCCCAAGATTGCCACCAACACCGCCGATGCCCCTGAGGCTAAGCTTACTAACAAGGAGAAGTACCTCCGCCTCTTCAAGCTTCGGGAAGAGGGAGGCGAGTACATCCAAGACGTGACGGAGATGACTCGCGTACCCATCATTCTGAAGACCGATCTGAGCAAGAGTCCTCCGTAAGTGGCGCCCTCGTTTCTTTTCTACCCGCTCTCGACTAACGCTTTGCCTTCTAGTTGTCTCACCATCAGGTCTGTCAACCCCTACGCACTGTAGAGGGTTCGCTATTTTTACCCCTGCCACCACCGACGCGCTTAAATCAAAGAGTCTTTATATGCTTCGCCGTCCTTTGGGTTTCGCCTGTTGTTGATTCAGGCAGAAAAGCCACCTGTGTTATCGCTGGCCGTGGCTGTGTCCAGCTTGTGTTATTTTGTTAATTTGTCTAGCGTACTCTTGTCTGTTTTTTTTTTTTTGCTTTATAATATTGGGACCTGTCAGGTCGATATGATGGTCCGGTTGTCTTGATATATTGACGCCTACAAACAGGCTCGGTCGAAACTTGAGTCCCCAGTTAGGGATACGCTTGCATAGGTTAGCTATCTTTATCGAGAGGCTGCAATACACACTTCCTAATTGGAGCTTTCTTTCGATTGATCGCACATCTATTCCAAAAGTCAAGCCATCAGATGATGATTGTTAAGGACGCAACTCGTTGTAGTGTCCTGGCGATACCCTGCTCTCGCTCGCCTCGGTTTAAGCAGACGGATGCTCGATGGTAGTCTCAATTTTTACTAATTTTCACTACATACGAAACATTCTGAACAGCGAGGATAAGCCAAAACCGATGCTCCCAAGCCCGATGCTTCCAGCAGAAAGAATGCACCACGAAACCAATAAAAATCAAGTCCAGGGCACCCTCGTAACGCCATTATGCTTTGGGCTTCGTATCTAGGGTAAGCAGAACTGCTAACCAGCATAGTCAACCGATCCAATCAACCTGAGACCCCATTTCCTGAGAACAAAACAAGACGGAACTCCCCTTCCAGAATCATAATAAAAGCTGTACCAAAAATCATGTATTGAACTTATCTCTCAAAGCCGACGAATACCAATGCGTGGCTTTGCCTTCTTAGGTCCTAGCCCGGAAACTTTGCGGATGCCGGAGGCGGGCTTTTTCAGGAGTGTCGGGTTTGAAGAGGATGAGGAGGATGTAGAGGAAAGAGTAGCAAGGGGATGGGTGACTGGGGGTTCGAGATCGAGGTCGAGGTCGAGATCCTTGAGAGGAGTTTGAAAAGAAGATGATGATGAATTATGTATAGAAGGACGTAGGTTCAACACTTCCGGGGCATCTTCGTAAATTTGTAAGTCGAAACCGATTCCTAGGCTGTCTTCGCGTAGCTGCCTGGGATTAACGCCCCGGTTGTGAAGGGAAAGTTTTGGTGATTTTCGCTGCGGAGAGGAATCGCGGTTCTGAAGATCACGAGCAGGTGTCGAGTTTGCTGCGATGTTGCGCTCCGACGCGGTCATCATGCCGTCGGATGTGTCCATTTCTTCCGGCTCCAGGTCTATGTCCATAGCTGATGCTGTGAGCACAGAGAGCGGGCGTTTCCCGTGGGCGTTTTTCCTGGGGCTCAGCGGTGGGGCAAGTTTAACGGGTGATGGGGAGAGGGCTGGGTCGTTTTCTTTGGAGGCGCAGGCAGGGTTCTCGTTTTCGTCGTCGGAAAGAAAATCGTAGTGTTGGTCTGGTGTTTCGTGGCGTGGCCGGGTGTTCTCCGAATCCCGGGGCTGAGCTACTCGGGCAGATTTCTTCTTCATTGTAACGGTTTGTACTCTTGTTCCCTTTCGGGAGCGTAGGCTGCTTGACGTCTCTTCCTGTTGTTCCGGGACTGTTGTTCCTGAATCCTCCCCTCGCATCTTTGCCTCCATTACTTCGTTCCGCGCATCATCCGGTACAGGGGCGTGTATTGATGTCATCAGCTTGGCTTGTCGGGCAAAGGCATCGTAATTCTCCTGAAGCAAAGCACCAGCCGTCGAGTTCAGCGCCGAGTCAGGGTTCGGATAGATGAGCAGGCATGAAATCGTCTAGAGCAGCACGGCAAACGGTCAGAAAAGCCCGGCTATGAATCCCGGCGCGCACTTACAACCAAAACATCCTTCAGCGTCAACGTCGACTTCCAATCCCTCTTCAGTGTATCCACGCATACTGCGCCCGTCAACTCCTCCACGTTTGGATGCCATATCCGCGTCCTGAACGTAGCTTTCGGTGGACTCTTAGGGTAGTCTTCCGGTAGCTTCAGGTGTAATCGCCACAGGCCTTGAGAGTATGGTGTGCCCTGCGGGCCGGCCAACAGGATCGTGAGCTGTGTGATGTCGTCCGACTGCGCGTCTTCAGGGGGAAAGAGGTAGTTTGGAGGGAGCTCTTCATGCAGCGCTGCATGATCTGCTGCGAGGCGGCGCAGTTTCGATGGCTAATTAGGTAAAGCATTAGCGCTTAGCAGGGGTTAATTAGAACCAGGAATTCTCACCATTGTGTTTGTTCTTCAATATATAGATCTCCAAGAGGTCCGTCAACCCACGTTATGAAGTATATTGTATGCTTGCGATACTTCCAGTGTCTCGGTAGCCGGCTTCCTCGTACAACTTCGGTATCCGCAATAATTGCCGCTTGTTTCAAATCGATCCAATAATATTTCTCGTATACCAAGAATTACGATACCAGAAAGCGATTGGTGTCGATCCAGAAGTTCAGATTGGAATTGTTCCGGGCGTTGCTCAGTCCGACCGCCGGTTTGTTATGATGAGTTGTTAGACAGCCCAGCAACCGCTAGCGCGTGCGAGCTGTGCGCGCGTTTCTTCACGTGACTTTCGCGCAACGCGTTTTAGGAAATGTAATTGAATAGCTGGAGCCCTCATGATCTACGGAGTACATTGCTTACATCTAACTTCTTGAGCGCTTGAACTACAGATAGGTCGTGTCGACTTAGATCAAAATTATTTTGGTATTAAAGATCTATATGCGCCGTGGTCCTAATTTTATCGCCGGCAAACATCAACAGTATCGAAGAGAAAGGCTTCCAAACAGTAATACAAAGCACTCCGTAGAGTGAGAGCGTGCAAATCCATAACAATATCCATATTCCTCATTACATAAATCCAATTCCCTTGCAAGTTATCATTTTCAGATGACCTGACCTTGGGTAGCAGGCTTCCATTGTCAGCTTAGATGAAAGCGACGAAAGCAGCACCAGCCAGACCAAGACCGAAAAGCGGGTTGGCAGTGGGAAGAGCAAAAGCCCCGTTGTCGGAGTTGGTCTCCTCGGCGTCCTGGTTGTCGGAGGTTGATGTGGCGGTCTCTGTCCTTGTGGAAGTTGAGGACCGGGTGGAAGTTGAGGTGGAGCGGGTGCTGGTAGAGGAGGTAGGGCTAGGAGAGCTCGTGAAGCCAGAAGAGGAGACGATCACAGGGGATGACTGTTCGGGGGTGGACCCAGTAGGGATGAGTGGCTGGGAGGTAGTAGGGCCAGTGGTTTCCGTAGCAGAGTCGACATCAGCTGAGGTTGTATCAATGGTAGTGGTGGCGTCGGTGGCAGTAGCTGTGTCGATGGCAGTTGTGTCCATGTCAGTTGTATCAACAGGAGTTGTCTCAATGGAGACGTCGGTGGCAGTCTCAGTAGCCGTCTCAGCAATTGATGTCTCGGTGGCAGTGGCCTCAGAGTCCTATAGGACAGGGTTAGTTCGTAGTCTAACTGTACACAGACGAGGGTTCAAGACTTACCGAAGGCTCAGAAGAGAGCTGGGCAGCGGCGAGAGCCGAGAAGGCGAGGAGGATGATAGAGGCACGCATTTTGATATTATAAAGCGAGTGTGGTGGCTGGATGCTAGAGTGTTTCGATGGCTAGGAAGGACGAAGCCAACAAGCAAACAGTGATATCAGGTGGTATGGAGAGTGTAAGAACCATCCATGAAACCGGGGAAGGAGGGCGAATTTATATTCACCTCCTGTAGGACAGGCCATTACGCAGGTGACAGGCGCAAGCCGCGAACACCAGCGGAGCCACTGTGAGCCTGCACGAAAATAGTAAACAGGTGCATACTGCAAAACAAGCACCAGCGCCGTCGAGCGGCCGAGCCAGGCCAGGCTAGCAGTGATCGATCATCACTCATCAGCCCTGCCTGCAATTCATCTCCTAGTCTAGTGACAATCTCCACAGGAACTGAGGGGATGAAGGATGAATCTCAGACGGGACCCGCTTCTGGTATGATCCAGCGATTTCCATCCTTGAATCTTATTGCTCAAGGCGAAAAAAAGAGTCTGGACTGCGCGATCTGAGTGGCTGATGCACGGTTTGAGCCCTGGCAGGCAGCGCAGGAGGCTGGGCTGTACAGCCACTGTAACAGTTCGGAATACGAACATGAGATCGAACTGCAAGCAGCATATTCTTAGCAACAAATATCAGCAGAGGGAATTCGTATGCGATCTTACCACTCATGTCAGATGCTGTGAGCACCACTTCGTGTTCAGCTGAGCAGAGGGCGAGAGAGTGAGAGGTTGGAAGGTTGCCAATGCCGCGGGGGTTTGCGTATGCTTCTTCTATTTTTGGGTGGCTTCGCGTCGCATGCTGTCTGGACAAGCAAATACCGAGACTGCTTTGCCTCTTAGGCCGCAACTACGGAGTATTGCCTGTGCAATGCATATTGACCTTCCTTTTCCATATTTTTGCTTTTTTTATCCGTTCTGCGAGTGTCCCATGTCTCAGTTCTGACTCTTCTGAGTCGGCATAGTCCGCTCGTTGTTTTCGCTGAGTCGCTTCGTGTACGGTGGACAAAGTACGAAACTGCCATTGGCCAACTTGACTATGATCGACCCCGTTCAGCCTCAAAGGATTTAACCACTCGGAGTACACTAGTTTCTCTTGCGTAAAGATCTTGCGAGTCTTCTAGTCATATGAAGATTGTAGACCGCTCCCAAAAACGAGGTTCATCGGGGACCGGTTTCCTCCAACTCAGAGGGCAGCGGGAAGCAGGAAGGCAGTCCATGCAGACACTTGTTTCTCCAAGATTGGAATGTTATGTTTCATGTATACGTAGTGCCTTGCTATCCCGAGACAACTTGGTCTAGGCCCCGGAACAAGATGCCTACACTTACTGTAAGGTACAGCAAAGGGGCAGCCAAGGTCGGCCTTGAACGGTCCTTCAATAAGGCATTACTTGTTGTACTTCTGCTCGTGGCTCTTGCAGCTTCAATATTGGGGCTTTCGCATGCAAGGGACTTTGGTAAGAGTTTTACAGAAATCATAGGCCAGGCTGGCAGCAATCTCACTTCGTATTACTGCAGGACAGGGAGTGGGGAGAGCTCTACTGTCAAATATGATTGACTGGGATGCAAATGTGGCTTGTTTCGTGCGTGATCATTGCCCAATCAACTTGCCCCCTTCAGACAGCTTGGTGGCAGATACGCAGCAGCAGCAATCTGGAGAGCTCCTTGAGAATGGCTGGGAGACACTTCCTAAATGTACCGGGCCGATTGGCTTGGTGCGCAGCGTTCGAAATCTAGAGAGCTCTTTGAGGATGGCTGGGAGACACTTCCCAAATGTAACGGGCCGATTGGCTTGGTGCGCAGCGTTCGAAATCTAGAGAGCTCCTTGAGGATGGCTGGGAGACACTTCCCAAATGTAACGGGCCGATTCAATTGTTGTGTGACTGTCGGGCTCCGGCGAGGATGCCCATACTAGCTTAGCTGGTGAGAACGGTGCTTCAAGCTTAGGCATGGGCTCGAGCGTCATTGAAATCCTTCTCTCTTTGAGTATACCAGGGTGCGCACGGTACCTTACAGTTAGGGAGGTCGCTGCTGCTCGACCTCGTCCTTGACGTTTCGCAAACAGCAAAGTCTCGGGTCCAGATGCACCTCACTATCTGACGCAGAGATGAACGACGGGTGGAAGATGCGAAGCGCAGCGAAAGTGTGGAAAGGTTATGGGACATAGATTTCCGCTTCAAATTCGATACGCTCAGCGCCCTATATACCGGTGATTGTCGCCAAACCCTTCTATCCAAACCAGGACCTCAGCTCAACCCTTCAGCGGAGCATCAGCGCCGCTTCGCATCCAGTCCGCGAACTCCTTTCTCTTCGCCTGTGGTGCCAATCAGTCAAGGCTTCCTACCAGGGATAACCTGCGAGCTTCGAAGTCCGCTATGTACTCACCTTCACGTCCCAGAAGCTGTACCTCTCCTCCAACCTCGCATACGGATTCCTCGTGTCACCCTCCCTCTCAACCTCCTTAGCCCACTCACTCCAACTTACAGGCTTCAGCTTCTCCGCGCCGAAAACTAGCCCTGTCGAGACAATAATGAGCGAAACGAGGGCCTCAATGACGATGTCTTGCGGAAGGGCCGTAGAGGACGAGGATAGGTGGACGTTGCTGTAGAGGACTGTATGCTCATGTGCGGAGTAACCACTATATATCATGGTTCAGTAAGCATTTATCCAATCATTGAGAAATTGGTCTCAAACTGCTGGTGTGGTAAAAGGTAACGTACGCATGAGCGAGCAGGACAAGCCCAAAGACTGTAATGAGGCGCGTTATGAAGCCCATTGTGATTTCTGCAACCGCAAAGCCGATACAACGTAGTTTGATCTTGTTGGGCCTGGAAAACTTCGCTGGCGCGGTCGATTTATATTCACGTTGGTCGTCTGTCTGTCCCCAAATGAAGCTTGGGGCTCATTAGACTAAGCTGCTTTAGAGATAGTCACGTGACTCGCTCAAGACATCAAACAATTTGATCCGGACGAGAAGAGAAGACATCTTACGATCGAGTTTGCCTCTGCGTGTAATTTTGGGAGTATTCATTCGTCTCCGCATCTTCAGCAGGTGCTGAGAAATGACGATATCATGCAATAGGCTCCAACATCATGGATAAATATTTTTGTTACTGTCCGCGCGCATGGGCCTAACATGGAGGGTTGAATCGAGGCATTCGCTAAGAGGTCTAGACTTAAGAGACACGAAACTACAGGAGAAGCGCACTGAAAGATAAAACAGATAGTTGTTGGGTATAATGTTGTTGATTTTAGTTCATAAGATAACCAGTTGTGCCCTGGTCTCGTCCTAGGCATTCAAGTTCATGACAAAATATTTTCCTCGATACCAGCAACGTCATCATCACTCAATTGATATTCATTAAAAATGGTCATTTCAATTACAGCTTCTGCATAGCAGCCTAGTGAGGGATTAGCATCGTATGTACCGTGCGATGGAATGTACACTTACAACATCGGTGGACTGGACGTGGTCCTCGTCCTCCTCAATCTGGGCCTGGAGCTCATCGATGGAGATCTTCTCATCCTCGACAACCAGGTTGATCTGGAGCTTCTTGATACCGAAACCAACAGCGACGAGCTTGGAGGCACCCCAGACGAGACCGTCCTTCTCGATAGCACGGACGTTCTCCTCCATCTGCTTGAGGTCGGTCTCATCATCTAAATTCATGTTAGCACCCAACGAGCCCAAAAAAAAGAAACCTAGGTGCGGGCACTTACCCCAAGGCTTGACTTCCATGGTGACAATGGACTTAGCGGCGGGCTTGGGGCCCTTAGCCTCCTTCTTCTTCTTGTACGCAGCGAGATTCTCGGCGTGCTTCTTGGCAACTTCCTCGTCCTCTTCCTCATCGTCGGAGCCGAAGAGGTCGTCCATCTCGTCCTCATCAGCGGCGGGCTTGTCCTTGGGGTTGGTGGGGAGCTCAGCACCCTCGGGGCCGTAGGCAGTGAACTCCTTGGAGGCGTCACCAGGCAGGCTGCCGAACTCAGCCTCGTAGGAGGCAATGTGCTTGTACCAACGGGCAACGTTGGGGTACTTCTCAGCGTCAGGGGCGCTGGAGAAGGCCTTGAAGGTCACGACATCGGCCTGGGAGGGAGAGGTGCTTTAAAGAACGAGTCAGTCGGATTCAGCGAAGCAAAAGTAGGCTGATGGCAAAGAAAAAAAGCAGACAGAAACAAGACTGAGTCTTCCCAGAGATCAGAAACGCGATTGCTCGCAATTGTTGTGTAGTCATACGGCGGGGTCTTAAGCCGCCTCATCAACACGGACCAATTGATTTTCATCATACAGGAAAGGAAGCTCGCAGAGAATAGGGTAGCGGAGGCATGGTAGCAGGCCATGAAATCTGAGGGGTGGTAGCTTACCCAACAACGTAGCTGCGAGAGCCAAAGAAAGTGTTGGCAACTGAGGGGTAAACGGATTAGCGACTGAAAATGGGATGAAAGTAAACACTCGAGGACATACTGGTGAGGCCAGCGTCAGAAACAAAGTCGGTGAAACCCATTGTGAAATATGTGTAGTTATGAAGAGGGAAGAGTGTGGTGTAGGGAGAGGAAGAGAATAAAAGAGGGAGAAGAATAGGAGGGGAAAGGTGTTCTGAAGTAATTTTCGCCTGGCCCCAGTCGTGAAAATTTGGCGGCACAAAGCTGCACGTGATCTGGAGGATGATGGAGCTTGGCTGCCCAGCGGGTTCCCTGGATTTGAGCTTCCGCCACTCATCTCGCTCTTCGCGGCCACGGTGGAGCTTTCGAGAAGGCTCGCGATGATTTCAATGGCCGGCTAGATAAAGGCCTCTATCGGCTCCGTTGCGATGTCGAATTGAAAGGGAGACAAACTTAACGCTCTAGCATTATATTACACCAAACGTACTCTCCGCTATCATGGCGTCGAGGCTGCAGCTTAGCCGCACTCGGTTGCTGCGACCATCAACCTTTACACCATCAAACAGACTATTGCGACCATGCCCAACACCTCTACGGCTCGTCCCTCGCGCACGGTTACCCTCCACCTTAACCAATAATGCCGCTCGTGTATCTTGCTCAGGTGTTCGAAACTATGCGAGTGGACGACCGCACCCTCCAGGTGGAACGCATCGGATGAACTTGGGTGGCGAGCCGGAGAAGGCGGCGTTGGAACAGTACGGTGTTGACCTTACGGCTAAAGCCAAGGCAGGCAAGCTGGACCCGGTTATCGGAAGGGACGCAGAGATCCATCGGACAATTCAAGTTCTATCCCGACGTACCAAGAACAACCCTGTTCTCATCGGAGCTGCTGGTACTGGAAAAACAGCTGTTCTCGAAGGTCTGGCGCAAAGAATTGTGCAAGGCGATGTTCCCGAGAGCATCAAAGGCAAGCGTGTTATTGCTCTTGACCTTGGATCGCTTATTGCTGGAGCCAAGTTCAGGGGTGATTTCGAAGAGCGACTGAAGTCTGTCCTCAAAGAGGTCGAGGAAGCTCAAGGCGGCGTCATTCTGTTCATTGACGAGCTTCACACTCTGCTTGGGCTAGGGAAAGCAGAGGGCAGTATCGATGCTAGCAACTTGTTAAAACCAGCACTTTCTCGAGGAGAACTTCAATGCTGCGGTGCTACCACGTTGAACGAATACCGAATGATCGAAAAAGACGTTGCTTTGGCACGCAGGTTCCAGCCTATTCAAGTCGGCGAGCCTTCGGTCGCCGCCACCATCTCGATCTTACGTGGTATCAAGGAAAAATACGAAGTCCACCACGGTGTGCGTATCACGGATGGTGCCTTGGTTGCCGCTGCAACCTACAGCAACCGGTATATTACCGACCGATTCCTGCCTGATAAGGCCATCGACCTAGTGGACGAAGCCGCCTCTGCTCTGCGGCTGCAACAGGAGTCCAAGCCGGATGTTATTCGGGAGTTGGACCGTGATATCACCACTATCCAAATCGAGCTTGAGTCTCTTCGCAAGGAAACGGATATCAGCAGCCGCGAGAGGCGTGAAAAGCTCCAGCAAGACTTGGCAGCCAAACAGGAGGAATCCAGAAAACTGACAGAGGTCTGGGAAAAGGAGAAGGCGGAAATTGAGAACCTCAAGCGCACAAAAGAGGAGTTAGAACGCGCACGCTTTGAACTAGCGCAGGCTCAGAGAGAAGGCAACTTTGCTAAGGCAGGAGAGCTACGGTATTCTAGGATCCCGGCCCTCGAGGAGAAGCTGCCGAAGGAAGGCGAAGAGCAAAAAGATTCGCAGACAAATCTTATCCACGATTCGGTTACCCCTGATGACATTGGTGCAGTTGTCTCTCGGACAACCGGCATTCCGGTCAGCAAGCTGATGGCCGGAGAGGTCGAAAAGCTGATACATATGGAAGATACCCTTCGAAAGTCCGTTCGTGGCCAAGACGAAGCGCTCTCCGCTGTCGCAAACGCGGTCCGCATGCAGAGAGCCGGATTGAGTGGTGAAAACCGGCCGCTAGCGTCGTTCATGTTCCTTGGACCTACCGGCGTTGGTAAGACCGAGCTATGCAAGAAGATGGCCGAATTTCTGTTCTCGACGGAAACTGCCGTTGTACGATTTGACATGAGCGAATTCCAAGAGAAGCACACCATCAGTCGCTTAATCGGATCTCCTGCGGGATATGTTGGTTATGATGACGCTGGTCAACTCACTGAAGCTGTCAGACGGAAGCCGTATGCTGTTCTCCTGTTTGATGAGTTCGAGAAAGCTCACCGAGATATCTCCGCCCTCCTACTTCAGGTTCTAGATGAAGGCTTCCTCACAGATGCACAGGGTCACAAAGTCGATTTTCGGAACACTCTCATTGTTCTTACATCCAATCTCGGAGCCGATATCTTAATTGGCGCTGATCCCATCCATTCCTCCAAGGTCTCGACAGACGGGGAGATCGCGCCAGAAGTCAAAAAGGCCGTCATGGATGTCGTCCAAGAAGCCTATCCGCCTGAGTTCCTCAACCGTATTGACGAGTTTATCACATTCAAGAGGCTTTCACGGGGGGCTTTGAGGGACATCGTTGATATCAGAATCAAAGAGCTGCAGGGAAGACTGGATGACCGACGCATGACCCTTCAAGTTGAAGACGAGATCAAGGACTGGCTCTGCGAAAAGGGCTACGATCCCAAATTTGGTGCTCGGCCGCTAAACCGCTTAATAGCGAAAGAGATTGGCAACCGGTTGGCCGACAAGATCATCCGTGGTGAGATTACCTCCGGGCAGACGGCTCGTGTTGCATTTAATTCAAACAAGGATGGGCTTGAGGTTACGACTGTTACCGAGAATGAACCACAGGCTTAATCTGGTTTCTACGTTTCCTTGTTGACTTGGGAAATTCGACCTTGTCTGTGGATTTGGTTTACGATATGCCTGTTTTGAGTCAGCTTTTGGCTTTTGTACATATTTGTATTATAACTTCCCCCCTCCTGTAAATATGGTGGTGACAAATATCACTCGACTTCAATGTTAATGATTTATGAATAGCTAGTATATGTCCCATGTGATCAAAAGGTGTAGCAACAGGGCGCCTCTGGTCCCAACCTTCCGCAAACCATCTATCACCGAAACGGCAATCATCTTCTCATTCCAAGGGTTCCTAGCTCATTCATGACGTCCACTGAGCACTTGGCTTGTGAGCCTAACCATTGAGTCAATGGCTTCAGCCTCCAGGCGACGAAGCTCGTATCGCTCTCGTGCTTTAGGAAGCGGTCCACCGAATGCTTCATATTCCACTCAAGACCGCGCTTCGTCTGTATATGCTCCTTCAATCGGCTCGCAACGCACCCCGGCGCCAAGACAAGTTCTATCTGATAGTGTGTTTGATCATGGAGGGGATACCGGTTCCATTGGACAGTCTGCAGAGGATGACATTGATCAAATCATAGCCGCCATCGATCTGAAGGAGGCCGGGACGCTTGGGTGTTCTTACTATTCCGCTCAGGAGAAGAAACTATACCTAATGGAAGACATACGGCACTCTAACACGGAAATTATTGATACATGCACGTTTCGTCCCCGCGGCGCATCACCTAGCTAACTTATCTTCCAGTGGTCCTTCAAATCAAGCCTACGGTTCTCCTCACATCAACTCGGGTTGATCATCTCAATCGCGAAGGACAGGCCCAAAATGACGAGAATGGTGAGAGAGGGACGGACCGGTAGAATGTTGGACGTCGATACTCACTAATCTATCACCTAGGTGCCCGACCATACCTCCCATATCAGCTCGATGTGCGACCATCCCAAGAGTTCAATCCTTCGAATGCGAAGAACAAGTTAATTGCGTTGGAAGTATCGTCTAAACATGAGGAGCGCTTCAAATTCCTTGTGCCACATAGCGGACTCGTCGACACAGATCAGCTGGACGCCGAGAATTTGGATTTCACATTGGAAGAAGGCAGACATTTACACATGGCCAGCTTCCTCGACGTGGAGAACAAGGTAACGCTCGGTTGCTCTGGTGCCGTTCTGACCTACCTGCAACGACGGAGATCTTCCGACATGGTGGCTGGCGGCACAGACACGGGGCTATATCAAGTGACCTCTTTCGAGATGTCCAGTCTGAGTGGAACGATGTGGGTTTGATCTATAGCTACTCCTCGGCGCAGGCTAACTCATACTTCCCCAGGTTCGTCAACGCAAGAACATTAATGGCACTCCAAATCATTGAATCCGAGTCTCATCCCAGCATGGTTAATCAAGGGCCGGGGAGAAGGTCCTGTTCTTCCAAGGAGGGACTCTCTGTATATGGCTTATTCCAGCGCTTTGCATGCACTCCGCAGGGAAAGCAAGGTCTACGGCAGATCTTTCTTCGGCCTTCTATACAACTCGATATAATCCACGAGCGTCATGCCTTCATTAGCGTATACCTCCAGGCTGACAACTATAATCCTATGAACAAAATGGTGAAGGCCCTAAAGCATATCAAGAATCTCCGGCCGGTTATGATCAACCTTCAGAAGGGAATTAGCACTGGAAGCGGAAAGGTAGCGGGGTTCAAGGCAACGGTTTGGGCTACATTGTTAGCAGTATGCCACATAATGGCCCTCAAAGTGGATTCGGCTAACTTGGCAGTTTGCGTTCTACGGCATTGACGTGCATGATGCTCTAAAGGAAACTGCCGGCGGACATGGGCTGGCTCTATATAATAAGGCAAGCATTAGACTCAATAACAATCTAAGATGATACTTACGTTGTTGCAGGCTCTTCGTGCCCTCGAAGCAGCTCAATTATACACCGTTGGAAGAATGATCCAGGAGATCGTGGGTAACCTCAGTACCATCGAAAACATTACTGACATACATTAGGTTGACATCGACAGCTCTGATGAGCAAGGAAGAGCAGTCGTCAAATCAGGACTGGATAGAGATCTCGATAGAATGAAAGACAGTTACGACGGCCTGAACAGTTTGCTGAAACAAGTTGCCATAGAAATAGCGACGACTATACCGGCAAGCTTTGACATTGACGTGAACGTCATCTACTTCCCACAGCTGGGCTTCAATATAGCGATACCTCTAACCAACGCTGGCGAGGCAGCATATAACGGCGCCGACGAGGGTTGGGAGCTCATTTTCATCACAGAAAATCGAGCATATTTTAAGGACTTCCGAATGAGAGAGATGGATGAGAAACTTGGGGATATATATGGACTGATCTGCGGTGGGTAAACCCCCTCCCTTGGTTGCTTCTGACTATAAGTGCTGACGATGTATGGATCTCAGAGAAGGAGATCGAGATAGTCTATGACCTGGCGCAGCGTGTCCTTCAGTACGAAAAGGTCCTTATAGAAGCATCTGATGTTTGTGGGAAGATTGACAGGTAGGATCCCTGAGGCTCTGTTTTAGGATTCGAGCTAAGAGCATACAGCTTCCTGGCGATGGCCCAAGCAGTGACCTGCTACAACCTGGTCCGCCCGAGGATGGTGGCGGACAATCTAATCAAGATCAAAGGAGGCCGGTAAGAGAATACACCAAGCAGGCTCTACTAGTTCTTACTCTTCCAAGTCATCTGCTACAGGAGATGACCGTATCCTCCTATGTCCCGAATGACACCTTCTTGGTAGGAGGCAGACTAGAGGAGCAAACGACCGACCATTCCCAGCACGCTCCGGAGGCTCTGCGAACGGGATCGAGCCCAAGCATGCTACTACTGACAGGTCCAAACTATTCGGGAAAGAGCGTGTATATGAAACAAGTGAGGAGTTCAACCTGCTGCGTCAAAGCCCTAACTAATCGGCCTGAGGTTGCTTTGATAGTATATCTAGCACAGACAGGAAGGTAATCGGCTGTAGTTACTCACAGCGATAAACTTCCCGCTAATTATTCGCAGCTTCGTTCCTGCAGAAAGCGCTGAGATTGGCGTGGTCGACAAAATCCTAGTCAAGTCGAATTCCCAAGATAGTGTCTCTCAGGTATCATCACGTCAACGAATTAAGACCTGGAATTCCAGAATCTGACCTGTCATCAGATTCAGAGCACCTTTATGAATGACTTGCAACAAATATCTTTTGATCTAAAACACCTAACGGGCCGGAGCCTCCTCCTAATCGACGAATTCGGCAAGGGGACCAGCGAACATGGTACGTCTAGTCACTCACCAAAGTCTCGACAACGTAAGAGCTAACCAGCCCGGCATACATAGACGGCATCGGACTAGCGTCCGGAGTTCTCGAACACCTTCTTAGCCTCGAAGACGCGCCAAAGGTCATCGCCGCCACACACTTCCACGAGATTCTCGAAAATGAGTTCCTCCGCATCAGGCCCCGGCTGCAGTTAGGGCACATGGAAGTGCGGGTCTGCGAGGAGTCCCGCGAGGCTGATGATCAGATTACGTACCTTTACAAGTTCGTTCTAGCCTCCAACTCAGATGCGACATAAGAGATATTGATTTAGGTGTATAGTTTCCGCTTAGGCCGGAGCACGAAGAGCTTCGGCACGATGTACGTTCTTTCTCTCTCCTTCGTCATAGAGGCGCACGCGGTAACCTGACAAAAACAGCTGCGCCGCGCTGAACGGAATCAACCAAGCCATTGTCGATCGCGCAAACGAGCTCGTGACACTTTCTGCTCGTGGGGAGAACTTGATCGCGGCGTGCACGACGCTGTCTGCGGATGAAATGAAGGCGCTGCAGGATGCGGTAAGACAGATCAGCCCCTTCCTTCCGGTTTTGTGCATCGTTGCAAGTAAAGTGGGAAGCTAATTGCGTATCTCGGGCTGAAGGATGAAGTAGCGAGGAGGTTTTTGATGTTGGACTTTTCGGATACTTGTGAAGGGAAGGATGTCCGGAAAATGCTGGAGGGACTGTTTGATGAGGTGGGTGAGGTGCCGGAAAATATATCTCTGGAAACTGGTTCGGAGGATTAAGTGTGATTTCGAGCTTCCGTGTCTTGCTCCTGCTTCTAGTTTTCAGGCGAAATATAGATATAAGCAGATGATTGATAGCGGTTATGTATTACAGAGAGAGCAGATTTGATAAGAGAAGGGCAGAAGGTTGTATCATGAAGTCCTATATACACAAGAAACCCATTTTAAACACACCACTCGAACGCCTGGTAATGATATCCAAGGATAGCCAGAAAATACAGGAACCAGAAGTGACACGATGAACTAGAGCTTAGTACTCTTGACCAAGTTCTTCTTGATGCCAGTAAGTTCACCAGCATACCCACCGCGGCCCTCGCCGCCCTTGTAGACCTGGCGGACACTACCAAGCTTCTTTTTCTTATCCTCGAAGCGCATCCTCTTCTTGACACGCGGGTTGCGATTGAGCTTGTTACGCTTCGGCGCAAGACCCTTATTCTTCTCGATTTGATACGTGATGGCACGTTTTCCGTCGGGACCAATCTCTTCCTGGATCTCGACGTGGCCTCCCTCACGGGCGGCGGCTGCCTGAGCCTCCGCGAAGGCCTTCTTATCAGCCTTGCGCTTGTTGGTGCGGGCTGCGACCATGTCGTAGTAGTCATCATCGTCTGAGCCGTCGTTGTCACCCTTCCTGAGCTCGTGAGCGACTCGTCGGTCTTCGTCGTCACTATCGCCACCGAGCTGCTCAGCGCCTTGTGCCTGTGATCTACCGCGCTTCTCAGCCTCTGCGTTCAAGCGAGCCTGGCGATCACGCAGGCGTTCGCGGTAAGGAATATCCGCATCACCACCCGCATCACGACCAGCCGCAGTGCGCTTGTTGGACTTCTGGGCGATCTGAGAGGTGTAAAAGCGAAGAGAGCGCTTCTGTTTGGCCTTCTCTTCGGCTTCTTTGGCGGTAAGAGCATCCTCGTCACCGAAGTCGGAGTCGTCATCCTTTGTCGGGGCCTTTGCCTTCTGGCTAGTACGTTTCCGGGTGGGCTCCGAAACGAGTTTCGATAAGCCGGCGAGGTTGGCTTCGGTCTCTTCGAGTCTCTTCGCTCTTCGAGCCTCGGCTTCCGCCCTAGCGGCTTCAGCGGCGCGTTGTGCTTTGGAGAGCTTCTTCCTCTTCTCCTTGGGTGTCTTGACTTCTGTTGCGTCGACTTCGGGAACATCGACATCCATGTCACTCTCAATGTCTTCCTCAACGTCTTTCCGAGGTGTAGCCTCAGCTTCAGTAATGTCCTTGACGGTTTCCCAGAGCTTCCGGAACTTGACGAGTGAATTCATGACTGGGTGTGATCGTAATTGAGCGGGAGATAATGTTGTGAGGTTGTCGGAGGAGTCGTTGGCAGAGGTTAGGAGCATAAAGTACATGCTGATTGCCCCCAGATAAGCTGATAGAGCGCGGTGTTTGATTACGGCAACGGGGGCACGATCCACATCGTCTTCTGTAACAATAGGACTGGCGGTCTTGACTGCGTTTGTGAGCTCGTTGTACGTGGGTTGAAGGTCGACGAAGTCCTTGGCCAAAGGCTCGAACTCGGGGTATCTTGACTTCAATATCTTCAACTTCTCCTCGGTGCTCATGTCATCTGTAACCTCCAGCTGTGGCAGAACCTCGGTCACCGCGCCAGAGTCGTCCTTCGCTTCGTCTTTGCCGGACTCGGCCCATTCTGTCTCGTCGAAACCAAAGTCCTCCTCGTTGATCTCCTGCAGATGCTTCTGTTGGAGCCTCTTCGCCTCTTCCTCTTCTTCCAGGGCGTCAGCTTCCGTTTCAATCTGATCCGCATTGTAGAAATCCTTCTTGGAGGAGCCCCAGGCGGCAAGGCCCTCTTCCTCGTCTTCAGACCCAGAATCTCCACCTCGCTTCTTCTTGGATTTCGAGGTAAGTTGCTCTAGTTCGTCCTCATCGTCGTCATATTCGGCCTCGTCCATATCGTCATCCTCCAGGTCTTCGTCTTCGTCGACGGACTCGTAGCCCAGGATCTCCTCGTCCGATAGTTGAAGCGCTTCCTCTGAACAGTACAAAGTTGATTAGACTCTCGCATTGATAAAAGATCATGGGCATAGCATACCATCCTCTGCGACTTTGCGCCGTCTCTTCGCCTCCGGCGCTTCGTCTAGCAAGATCTGGTCCCGACCGGCTTGAAATTCATCCTCGGAATCGTCGAATCTCTCCTCGATATCGAATTTGTACGTTTCTTCTTTATTGGTCTTGTTGCCCGCTGGGCGACCGCCGGCCTTTCTCTTTTTACCCATTGCTGATTTGAATGATTGCGATAAAGTCTGTTTGAGCGTCGGCTTAAGGCCGAAAAATTGATAAATCCCCAATAAATTTTTGGACGGGACCCTCACCGCCCTCAAGCTCTACGCCGCAAAAAAAGAAGCGGATCACATGCCTTTGATACTTGATACGTCTCGTTACAGCTGAAAGTACCAGATCCTGGTTTTGTGTAATGTATTACCGTACATCCCGGTAACAGTTATCTCCGATATGCAGGAGCTTGGTGACGGCCGGTTCCTTCTCTATCCTGTCCGACAAGATTCAAGAAGGAAGTCGCGACAGAGCCACGACACGCAACAATCCCCTCCTCCTTTTATTATTCCCTTCTCTTCCCTTCTCCTTTCTCCTTTCTTCCTCATGCATCCATCCTTACCCTCTATCCTTTACGACGCTTCTCCCACGGCCTTGGGGATTTCAGCTGTCTTCGGTGCACTCTTCTTCTATACACTCGTCAAGATGTTCGGCTTCGGTGGTGAGAATCAGTTCGTTGTGGAGGGTCGGGTGAGTTCCCGCTCGATTTGGCGTCTGGTTCTTCAGTCCGAGCAGTGCTGACAAGTTGACTTTGCAGACGGTGGTGATTACCGGCGGCTCAGAGGGTATGGGCAAGGCAGTGGCCTGCCAGCTCGCCGAGAAAGGAGCCAATGTTGTCATCGTCGCTCGCACGCTTCAGAAGCTCGAGGAAGCCATGGAAGCCATCAAGGTACGTTCACGTGGCAGCCTTTTGAGTGCAACTTGCTGATGCCTCTACCAGGCCTCCGCTACCAACGGTCCCAAGCAGAGGTTCCACTACATCAGTGCCGACCTCACCAAACCCGAGGAATGCGAACGCATCATGACCGAAGTCACCGAGTGGAACGACGGCATGCCTCCTGATATTGTTTGGTGCTGCGCTGGATACTGCACTCCTGGATACTTCGTCGAGACATCCGTCCAGACCCTCAAGGACCAAATGGATACAGTTTACTGGACTGCGGCAAACACAGCACATGCGATCCTGCGGAAGTGGCTTGTTCCCATCAACCCCAGTCACCAGCGGCCATTGCCTCGCCGACACCTCATCTTCACCTGTTCCACCCTCGCCTTCGTTCCCATTGCAGGGTATGCTCCATACTCTCCCGCCAAGGCTGCCATGCGTGCCCTTTCGGATACCTTGAGCCAGGAGATTGAGGTATACAACGGATCTCGAGCCTCCAAAGAGCGAGCCCGAGCTACCCCAGCCGACGTCCGGATCCACACAGTGTTCCCCATGGGCATTCTCAGCCCTGGTTTCGATAATGAGCAACAGGTTAAGCCCGCCCTCACAAAGCAGCTCGAGTCTGCCGACAAGCCTCAGACTCCCAAGGAAGTTGCCCGGATCGCCATAGAAGCCATTGAGCGCGGTGAATACCTCATCACCACCATGTTCGTCGGCAACGTGATGAAGGGCGCTGCGCTCGGACCTAGCCCGAGAAACTCTTGGTTCCGCGATACGTGCACCGGCTGGTTCAGCAACCTGCTATTCTTGTCTGTTGTTCCCGACCTTAGGAAGCAGGCGTTCAACTGGGGACAAAAGAATGGTGTTCCCACCTCGCCGTCGGGTTAGACTTGGCTTCGCTGAACTGAATTCATGAAAAAAGCTGTTCCATTCATTGTCCGGTGTACGGCTTAGATACCCTCGAGTGCCCTTCTTTGTTCATCCTTATGACTCTTGTACATCCTTACCTAATACCTTACTAGCCCTAAGAATAGGCAGCCACAACAATGAAGTGACTACTCTGTTCTCAATAGCTTCCATGCTCTCGATAATCCTTCTCCTGTGTGTATCGTCCTGGTAAATCCTCCGTGGATCGTTATGGTAGCATCGCCTAAGATTGCCAGGGATCTGATATTTCAACCTATAATAGACCTAATCGTTCTTGTTTCATCCGTAGCATTGTGGCTCGCTCCTAGTACCAGCAATGAAACTACGGTTCCTATTGTGACGTCGTTCCAGATTCTATTGTTTATATTTCGGGGTCTCTGAGCTTTGTTGATACGTCTAAAGAGGGCTTTCTTTCAAGTATCCGACCTACATCGATGTCCATAAATAAAGAATCTGTCCGTCAAGATGTTGAACTTTCTAACTCAATCATATACTTTTATCCGCACGATGGATTTTCTTACCGTATTTGCCGTCCTCCCTACCGTGTCTGATTATAGCACCAGACTTAACGTGCTATTTTTCTACATGTCATGGGCCACTCTTAAGATGGCGCATACTGCCATGTGGCTTGAGCTTTCTGGCACTGTGCTAGTGCGCGTATTCTTCTACTTCCTCCCGTCAATTATCTTCTTCGTATTCGACGTCGCCGCGCCGGGCATAGCAGCTTCGTTCAAAAAGCAGGGCGAAGCTGGCCTACCCACCGGAAGCAAAAGTTCCTGGCCTACATCAAGAGAAGCCAAGATTGCAGGATGGGCGGTTGCCAATTTTGTGTTGGGCCTCAGCGCGCAATGGATGGTGGAGGGGGTTCTTAGCAAAACCACCCGGGGGCCTGCAGTCAAAGCGACGCTCAGCGTTCCATTGCCCTGGACTATGACAGGTCAGCTTTTCTGGGGTTTCCTCATCAGAGAGGTAAGTGCTGCCGCAAGTGGGACAACTAGCCCATTCATTAGAATTAGACAAACTCACGCCTTTTCTCTTGTATATAGATCCTCAGTTACGCCATCCACCGCTGGGGGCTACACTACAAGGACTCCATCTTTCCCTGGCTTGTCGAGTGCCACAAGAGCTGGTACCATGACCTCACCAATACTTTCCCGCTAACAGCCCACTACGACCATCCCTTCATTTACCTGCTCTCCACATGGCTTCCCATGTATCTTCCCGTTTGCATCCTGGGCTTCCACACCGTCACCTTCCTGCTATACACGTTGCTCATCTCGCTTGAGGAAGTATTCGTCTTCTGCGGATACTGCAAGTTGCCGAGTTTCCTTTTATCTATGGCGGCGCGCCATGCCGAGTCGCACCTTGCCGATGGCAAAGCGTATTTTGGGCGCTGGGGTTATATCGATCTCCTTTTGGGGACTTTGGGTAATGGTGAAAAGGCCAAGAAAAGGAAGTGAGGAATGAGGGCTTCTTTTCGGTGGGTTGAAAGTTTGGTGGATTCGTGCAGAGTGTTGTTGTTTGCATTTATTTTTTGGTCGATTGATCTTCGGACTTTTGCTGCGTTGGCGTTTGGCGGGTGATATCGTGTATAAATGAGTACCCGGGTAGCCTGTGGAAAGTCCGCTTTTGGTGCTTGGTGATATTGAATGACCATGTTTCAAAGTCCCGTGTCGGATAGATAAGCGAAGTAGATATCATATGACGTTGACCGTTGTATGAAGCTTTTCGATTGAGGAACCTAAGAGTAATAGAACACCAACTAAGGAGGAGAGAACGGCTTCATCCGAGCCTGGAACTTGACCTGGAGATTGAGAAAAAGAGTATCATACTAAACATATAATAACTCCCAGCTATCTTTTTTTAGAAGACACGTAACAGCTGGAAAGGGTGATCATGAATTTTTTTCTTTTTCTGCTCACACGGCTCATTAGACAAGAGTGCAAACCAGCCACGCTCGGAGAAACCTGTCTGCCAGAATATAAACACAACCGACAAGGGGTATTTCCGAATTCGCCGTAATCCTGACAAAAACGGGTCCTCCGGTGTCGATTTACATATTTCACCAGCCGTTCCTCCTGCGTTGCGAAAATTGCACCTCTCCGTGCGGAGAAGCGCCAATTTGCATCTAGCCGCCCCTCACATATTCCTCCTACCGAACCCGCGGCCGCCGCGTCGCACACGTCTACCACTTCATCTCGTGGGGCTTGTCGCCGTTGCGCAGGCTGAAGGTGGCGGCAAGGTAGCTGGCGAGGAAAGCCTCCTTCTTGACGCTGGCCAGGATAGACTGGTCAACGGCCTTCTGGTCGCTGGCACGAGCGCTAGCAACAACCTTCTTCTGTTGGTAGCATCAATGTCAGTAATCTGATCTGAATAGCGGACATTGACCGCGCAGTGCTTCAAATGCCCCTTTGTCCCGCCGGTATCGGATCACGTACCTCGGCCTTCTCTCCCTGCTGGAAGAAAGCCTCCTCGGTCTTCTTCTCGTTCTTCTTCTCCTTGGTGAAGTAGCCGGGGGCGGAAACCTTCTCGATGGTCTGGGCGTCAACACCGCTGATGTCGAGGCGGGTGCTGGTGGCGATGACGTAGCGGGAGTTCACCCGTCGGAGGGGGACACCGTTGATCTTGAAGGGGCCGGTAACGAGGAGAACACCCTGGTCGAGGTGCTTGAGGAGGACAACGCGCTTGCCACGGAAACGACCGGCGAGGAGGATGAGGACGGTACCGGGCTGGAGGCTCTCCCTGAGCTTGGTGGGACGGATAGCCTTGCGGACCTGAACGAAACAAAATAGCATGTCAGAAAGCTGATCCCATAGCGTTCCCTTTTCTCGCGGTGTCTTGAATGTCCGGAGGATGCGGTTCTCCTATCATTTTCATGTTCGTTTGATAATTCCCGGTCCACCACTTGTCGCCGAGCCCGTTTGACGCGGCGCAACTGTCGCATTCCTCCACACAAAACCGCATCCTCCATTCGTTCCGACAATTGCATTCGTAGCTGCACGGGGTGTACTGACTTTCTTGGGCTGCGACTCGTCATCAACAGGGTACCATTTCTGGGCCTTCTGAGACGGCACAAGCCTCTGGGCCTTTCCAAACTGCTTCGTCGTGCCAACGTCCGACATTTTGGCTGCTGATGACGAAGAGGACCTGAAAAGAAAGTAGGGGGTGGTTGTCGACGGCGGGTGGTTGTTGAGATTGGTGTGTGACGGGCAACTCACCTGTCCAAAGGCGGAGTGGTGAGGTTTGTGGGAACGCAAGCCCTATCAGTTAGCCGAAAGGCGCTAGTGCGGATTTGGCTCCTACTGATACGGGCCGCCACTTGGCCTCAGGCATTCAAAGTACGGGCTTCCGCAGCGACCACAAGCGCAAGTGCTCCAAAGCTTCCCCGAGCCAAACACTCCCGCGACCTGGACTCTGGAGCTTCGTTCCGGGCTGACGTATCTTCCTCAAGCTTGTTCCTTCAACCACCCCAACAATAAAGGTGGTCTTAGATCATTACCATCAGCAAAGACTTAGAGAAAACTTCCTTTTTCTATATAAAACTTCATTTGCCGCGCGACCATGTCTATAACACCGATCATCACTTTCAAAGCGGGCATCTGTGACCTTGAGGTGAGTCTTGCCCACGCGCGAATATATGGCCTTTCTCAACGTATGTCGCTAACTTCAAGCGTATAATTACTAGACTCAGTCATCAAGTACCCAGGCCAAACCTCAGCAGACACCCGGTTACCTCTACCTCTATTCCGAAGATGAACTGATTCACTTCTGCTGGCGCCCCAGGAGCGCTCCTCACACAGAACCTGAGCTGGATTTGGTGATGGTCCCTTCCGATGCGACATTTACACCCTATCGCCCAGATGGAAAGCCTACAAACGGCCGAATTTACGCTCTCAAATTCTCCTCAAGCTCTCAGCGGTATCTCTTCTGGCTTCAATCCAAATCCCAGCATGATGAAGCCGATCCAACTTTCTGGAGCGCAAGGGACCTCAAGCTGGGTTCGATTGTCAACAAGCTTCTTCAAGGCGAAGAGTTCGATGTAGAGAGGGAGATTGCAACTATCCCGCGAGGTCCATCCAACGGTGATGACGATGAAACAATGGAGGATGTTGAAGGTGTGGACCATGACCCAAACCATCCTCGCGGAGGTAGCGGTGGTGGTGCAGGACCGGATGCCACCGGGGGAGATGTGAGAGAGGAGGGACAGGAATCGAGAGAGGGCGGGGCAGATGGCGGAAGAGCGTAAGTTAGGTACATATGTCGATGATTTTATTGCGGGTACCATATCTTCCGCTCGTGCTTCATGCCGTGGGAGTAGACCTACCCTTCACAATATGATTTTTGCCATCTACCTGTGTTCAAAGTCTGTAAACTGACCGGGCGATTCCCTGATAGGGCTGCCATTGACTCCGATGCTTCAGCTGTGGTGCAGAACTTCCTAAGATCATTTGGAGGAAACCAGTCCCAACAAGCCGAGCAACCATTTACTACATTGCAAGACCTCTTGCCTCCTTCGACCACGCTACCTTTTCTGGACACACTGGATGCCGAAGGCGTTGACAACCTCCTGAAATTCTTGCCCCAAGAGCTTCTCATCCTCGCGCTGCAGATGGAAGGCCAGTCGACTGCCCAAAGCCACCCCGAAACTGCACAAGACGTTCTAAGCGCCCTCAATCTCTCGCAGAAGAAGAGTATTCTCAGGAAAGTCCTACATTCGCCTCAATTTACCCAGAGTCTCGCAAGTTTGACCGTGGCCGTCAGGGATGGAGGATTACCAAGTATCAGCGAAGCTTTGAACATTCCCGTTGAGAATGGTGGATTTATGCGTCGGGGAGGTGTTCCGCTTGGAGGCGCCGACGCCATGAAGGCGTTTATTGAAGGCGTTCGGAATCACGTCAAGGACTCGACACAAGGGAGCCGGATGGAGACCGACTAATTTTGATTTTGGGTCGTTTGTAACTGGCAGCCAGGCAGGCTTGCATCTATCCACTTCTGTTCTAGAGGAGCAAAAACGCGGGCGGCGGCGTTGCGGCGACCTTTGTTATTTTTAGGCCTTGGCGTGGAGCTATTACCAGGCAGCACAGTTCACGCAAAAAGCAACGCGTTCCTGACTGTAGGGCAGAGGATGGCCCTATGGTAGATGCAAGCAAAATCTGTAATCGTATAGAAATAACAATTTAGTCAAACGTTTGTTGTTAATCCGAGGCAAAACAGTAGTGGGTAATCTAGCTGAGGAACAAGAATAGAATCACCGCGAGACAAGCGTCGGATTACCGCCGCTCGGCCATACAGATTCAACATCCCGCCAACAAGCCCCATTTTGGCCGCTGCTGGCTCAAGCTAGAGGATCATCGCGAGAATCCGGAGAAGACACCTCACCTGCGCCGAATTCTAATCTTTGGTTTTTTGACCTTTTTTTTATCTCGCGTTTGCGTTTGCGTTTGCTATCCCTTTCCTACACTCGGCTCTCGTTTCTCGTGCCTGACCTCCAACTGCGACACCTCCGTTTCCCACTACGTACGGCGTATCGAATTCACTCTTCGACTTCTCCCTCAGCGCGGCAGCTTGCGATGTCTGCAGGCTAGTCAATCGATCCTGCCCAGCATGGCGTCGAGTAGCCATGATCGCGGCTCTAGCGACGAGAATGATATTGCCGAGCATTCAATCCCCTTACAAGACCTCTCCGGGCCGCAAGAACGAGGACGAGCGCAAGGCAGGGTGGGAAGCCGGCTATTCTCAGGACGTTCTTTGACCGAGAGGGGACGGCCCTATGAACGATTGTCGGAGGATTCGCCTGTTGATCATGGAGGTCGAACTACGGATTCGCGTTCTACTGATGGCGCAAACCAATTCAACGTCGAAGATCCGGGAGCATTCGCGGCAGCAATGTCGTCGGTTGGTCTTGGATTCGAACCCTCTGGATTTCAGCATTTACCACCGAGCGCGTCGTCTTTAACACGACATGCCCGGGTTGAATCAGAGTCCGACATGGACTTGGTCCATATTGATAGCGTCGACCCCCACGAAGCCGAACACTACCTCACTCCTTCCGAGACCTATCCTGATACAACTCCTTTAACGAGCATCCGACATGTACAACCCATCAGCGGTGCGTCAATCACCCCCAGCGGCTCACGGGATCCATCAAATGCACCTTCTGTTCGCTTTGATGACAGTCACATGGGGTCGCGCTTGGGGGATGATTTGCATAATATGGAGAGTGGTTACAGTGGAAGACGCCGCGCGGAGAGCGTGTCGAAAGACGGGGGACGTTCGCTGTCACCTTCTGTTTCCGGGTCGGCACTGATGCGCGCAAGTTCGATGATGAAGTCCGTCTCCCAACGTGTCGTGAACTTGAGTAACGAGCCGGAAGTGGTAGAGCGGTCTCTCTCAAGAGACTCCCATAAAAGCTCCCGCATGGAAGCTCCGCCCTCACTGCCTTCTCTTACAGACTATGCGCACGATGCGCCGTCTACCTCTTCGTTCAATGAACAAAGCTCCAGGGAGAAATCAGTGGACAGCAAAGCATGGAAAGATCTGAGCAATCCCCTGAGAGGGAAGGCTCTTGGGCTCCTTGGCCCGGATAATGCGATTAGAATGTGGTTGTGTGATGTTCTCGTACATTCATTTACGGAGCCATTCATCTTGGTCGTCATCATCATCCAGACCATTCTTCTAACTATCGAATCAGCGCAGTCGGAATGGTCTCAGCCACGCCGAGAATACTGGGGCATGGACCGCATGGACTATCCTTATCTCGTTATCTTCATCATCTACACCGTCGAGCTTATTGCCAAAATTTTAGTTTCCGGACTGTTCTTTAATCCAGTGGAATACAGTACAATAGATCGGTCAAAAGGCATTAGGACGGCGCTGATGGAGAAGGGGAAGAACCTCATAACACCACAACGACAATTCTCCACGAGGAAATCATCTGCGCACCCAGAAACCCAGCAGGCGTCAATTCTACGAACGTTCACGGGCGGATTGAATCAGATAGAGCAGCAGCTAGCCGACGACCCGCTCCAGAAGCGCCGTGTCCGGCTTGCTCATCGGGCTTTTCTCCGGCACTCCTTCAACCGACTGGACTTTGTCGCAGTGGTTGCATATTGGATAAGCTTCGCTTTAGCCATGGGGGGCATCGAGTATACACGCCAGCTCTACGTTTTCCGGATGCTGAGCTGTCTGCGTACGCTACGTCTTCTAGCGCTAACTAGTGGAACCTCGGTACGTTATCACAGGGTAGCACGGTGGCTCAACTGATTACTGATTTGAACAAAGGTCATCCTTCGGAGCTTGAAGAAAGCTGCTCCTTTGCTGGTTCACGTTGCTTTTCTGATCGGATTCTTTTGGCTCTTGTTCGCAATAGTGGGCACCCAAAGTTTCAAATCGAGCTTCAATAGAACCTGCCAGTGGGTTGGAACGGACTATGGCGAGGACAACTTCACCATGAATGATCCATTTGGCTCACTTCAATTCTGCGGTGGTTGGCTTGATGAAACAGGCACCCAGAAACCATGGGTTTACTCAGACGGTTGGGAAAGCGACTCAGAACCCAAAGGGTATATTTGCCCTCAGGGTTCCGTATGCCTTTCAGGGGCCAATCCCTACAACAATACCATGAGTTTCGATGACATCCTGCAATCGCTCGAGCTCGTATTCGTGATAATGAGCTCGAATACGTTCACGGATCTTCTCTACTACACCACGGAGAGCGATTACCTTGTAGCTGCCCTCTTCTATGCGTGCGGCTTTGTCATCCTGAGTCTATGGATGGTGAACTTGTTGGTTGCTGTCATTACCCACTCATTCCAAGTCATTCGTGAAGAAAGCAAGCGAAGCGCCTTTGCGTCCCAGAAACTTGAAGCAAACGAGGAGGAGGGTGAGTCCTCCCGCAGAGTCAGTACGTTGAAGCGCATCTATGACGCGACGTACTGGTTTTGGATTGCCGTTATCGTTTTCGACCTTATTATGCAAGCCCAGAGGAGCTCTATTATGAGCGATGCCCGAGCCGAGCTTATTAACAATTGCGAGATTGTCGTTACGGTTGCCTTACTCGGCGAGATCATACTGCGATTCATATCTGATTGGCGCAGATTCCACCAGAGTCGCCGCAACTGGGCCGATTTGGGGCTTGCGGTTATCACCTGCATCATTCAAGTACCTGCTATCAGCAACTCGAAGCGCGCATATGATGTTCTTACTCTCTTTCAGATTCTTCGAGTTTATCGCGTTGTTCTAGCGTTTGCCGTCACAAGGAACTTGATCACGCTTGTGTTCCGCAATGCCGTCGGTCTATTGAACCTGATCCTCTTCGTGTTCTTGATCACGTTTCTTGCCTCTATATTCGCAACACAGCTGTTCCGCAGTCAGATTCCACGAGAAGATAATGATGGGGGTACGATCGCTATCACTTTCTCTGACCTATACAACTCATTCCTTGGAATGTATATCATTCTCTCCAGTGAGAATTGGACTGAGACCCTCTACAATGTCACCTCGTTCACATACGACTATGGCACAGCCTGGATCTCGGCATCATTTGTGATCTTGTGGTTTATTGTGGCCAATTTTATCATTCTGAATATGTTTATTGCAGTCATTCAGGAGAGTTTCGACGTGTCTGAGGACGAGAAGCGACTTCATCAGGTACGGGCATTTTTGGAACAAAAGCAAGTCAGCGGCGCATCTCAAGGAAACTTGTCTCTTTCTAAGATCTTCAAATTCGGCCGCGGTTCGGGTCGTTTCAAAGACCCGCTTGATCATGGCCCTGCAGCACTGGATATGCTCCTGAAGGACGCAGTTGTGCGTGAGTTCCTAGATGAGGAGATGCCAGAAAACCAACCCCGCGAGGGCCCTTCAATGGACAGGGCTACAACTACCGCAGAAGGGCTCGTAGAACCTGGCGTATTTTCGCGCATCTGGACGTCGATCACATCGTCAGTCTTGCGGCGAGAACCTAATCCATTTTATGCCAAGTTGAAGATCTCGCGGGCTTACGAAGAATTGGGCCCTCAAGAAATGGCTCGCGAGGTGGTCTCGGCAGAGCAACAAAGGAAACGAGAGCAGCGAGAATACCTGATACGCCACCCCAAATACAACACGTCCTTGTTTCTGTTCAAGCCGGATAACCCGGTTCGAAGACTTTGCCAACAAGTCGTCGGACCAGGACGTGGGTCTCAGCGCGTGGAGGGTGTTGACCCATATAAACCCGTTTGGTACACCTTTACTGCTCTGGTTTATGCAGCTATCGTGGCAATGGTTATCCTCGCTTGCATCACCACTCCAATCTATCAGGCTGTCAATTTCCAAACAAACAGAGACTGGTTCACATACACCGATCTAGGCTTCTCCATTTTGTTCTCCATAGAAGCGCTCATCAAGGTGATTGCTGATGGATTCTTCTGGACGCCTAATGCGTACTTTCGAAGCTCATGGGGCTTCATTGACGGGATTGTTTTAATCACCCTTTGGATTAATGTGTTGAGTGCGTTGACTTCGGAGCGCGGTGTTTCTAGGGCTATCGGGGCGTTCAAGGCGTTGAGGGCGTTGAGGCTGCTCAACTTCAGTGACAGCGCCAAAAACACTTTCCACTCCGTTATTATTGTCGGAGGGTGGAAAGTCATTGCTGTAAGTTGTTTGCCGTCCTTCCATTGTCTCTATACTGACTATTGTCAAGGCTGCCTTGGTCTCGATGAGTTTCTTGATCCCATTCGCCATCTACGGAGTCACATTGTTCAATGGACAACTGGTTGAATGCAATGACGACGGAATAACGGGAAGCTTGGATGCCTGTGTCGGCGAATATATGAGCGCGCCGTTTAATTGGGACGTTTTGGCACCTCGAGTTGCCTCAAACCCCTACTATGACTTCGACAATTTTGGAGATTCTCTGTTCATTCTTTTCCAGATTGTCTCTCAAGAAGGTTGGACAGCGGTTCAGTCCAGCGTGATGAGTATTACAGGTAGCGGACAGCAACCAGAGTCGTTTGCAGCTCCAGAAAACGGGCTATTCTTCATAGTGTTCAACTTGCTCGGTGCCGTCTTTGTCTTGACGCTCTTCACATCTGTGTTCATGCGCAACTACACGGAGCAAACTGGAGTTGCTTTCCTAACGGCTGAGCAGCGATCTTGGCTTGAATTGAGGAAACTACTCAGACAAGTATCCCCGTCCAAGCGGAGGTCCGCCGAGAAAAGCACGACCTGGAAGCAGTGGGCTTACCGTAAAGCCTACAAGAAGCATGGTCGCTGGGCGAAATTCGTTACCTGCATTCTTGTGCTTCACCTTATACTGCTGTTTATCGAATTTTACCCCGAGGACAAGGTTTGGAGCAAGATTCGGGACGCCATCTTCTTCTCGTTCAACTTTATCTACGTTGCCAATGTCCTCCTGCGTATGGCTGGACTGGGCTGGCACCGCTTCAGTACAAGCTCATGGGACATGTACGCCCTGCTCGTTGTTCCTAGTACTATCGTCACATCCATTTTGAACTTCACGTCATACGAGCGACGAAAGACTATTGAGGTGCTGAACAAGTTATTCCTTGTGGCCATCACATTGCTGCTCATTCCTCGCAACAATCAGCTCGATCAACTGTTCAAGACTGCAGCGGCCAGTTTAACGTCAATTGGCAACCTACTGGCGACTTGGTTTGTTTTGTTCCTCGTTTACGCCATCGCGATGAACCAGGCCTTCGGCCTCACGAAGTTTGGTGACAATGAATCCGGTAACATAAATTTCAGAGATATCCCAAGGGCACTGATTTTGCTTTTCCGGACGAGCTGCGGTGAGGGATGGAACGAGCTCATGGAAGATTTTGCAATGATGGAGCCACCGATGTGTAGTGACCACGACGGGTTCTTTAACAATGACTGCGGGAGCAAGGGCTGGGCTCGAGCGCTGTTCATTTCGTGGAACATCATCAGCATGTACATTTTCGTTTCTCTATTTGTCTCGCTGATCTTCGAGAGTTTCTCCTACGTCTACCAGCGAAGCAGCGGTCTATATGTGATAAGTCGCGAAGAACTCCGTCGCTTCAAGCAGGCATGGGCTGAGTTCGACCCGGAGGGCACGGGTTACATCACCAAGGAGCAGTTCCCACGGCTTTTGAGGGTAAGTGAGCGAAGCAACGTTCAATCAGCATAGAGCTAACATCTGGCAGGAACTGACGGGTATATTCGAAGTGCGCATATACCAGGGTGATTTCATGGTCCCGCGCATCCTTGATGAATGCAAGGTCGACAAGCGGGACTCGCTCCTAGCGCACCGGAGAGTTTTTGAGGGAGTTGACCTCGACAAGCTTGCCAGAATCATTCGCAAGATCCCGGTTAATACCGTCAGGGAACGGCGAAAGCGGCTCAACGAGCTCTTCGAAGAAGTTCTTGTATCTGCAGACCCGACACACGGCATTACGTTCCACTCGTGTCTCATGATCCTCGCACATTACAACGTGATCACCGACAGCAAAAGTCTCAGACTCGAGGAGTTCTTGCGACGCCGCGCAAAACTGCAGCGCGTAGAGGAGGCAGTCCGTCGCAACACAGTTATCGGGTTCTTCAAAACCCTCACTGCTGCTCGGGAGTTCAGAAGAGCGATCGAGCACAAGAGATCCGCTAGGATGACCTTCGTGCCTCAATTCAACGTGCCTGAGATCTACGTGGACGACGAACCGCAAAATCTGGTTGACCGACAGTCTGAAGAGGACCCACGGGGGTCGGCGCGCAACAGCGGGGCGGAACCCTCAATGCTCTCACCCACATCGACGGGTCGCGGAGAAGCTGGACCGCCACAGCTGCCGCGGATCAACACAAATGTTGGCGGTCGGTTGGACTCCGGAGCTAGCTCGCCATCGGAATGGTCGAATGTCAGTATTTCCTTATCGCCAAACCGGGAGCGAGCGCACACAACTAGTTCATATGATCCGCCATCGGCAGGGGCATCGGCAACATCTGAGCATTCGCGCCACAACAGCACGATGGCGGTACAAGATGTGATGCAGTCCCTAGGCGATTCTGCGTGGGGTGAGAGTATCCGACGCAGTTTCACGCAGCGACGGCCAAGGGACGAGACATAAATAACGCGCCGCTGAAATGAAATGAAACAAGCGATGATACCACGAGCTCTCGACTACCGACGGTTGGAGCATGATGCCTCATACTCTATACAGATTTTCTATGTTGTACTTTAGACAATGGTTGGTTGGGCTTATGCAACCTGAATTCCTGATGTTTCCCTAGATTTGGTTTATTTGCTTTCAGACTTCAGGTTCTTTTGTGAATATTTGCCTTGGATGCATAGCAATGGCGCGCTGGAGTACTTATCTATTATCTAGACAAGCAAATTTTATCTATTATTGTCTAAGCCCATGCTCTACTCCTGGTCATCCCTTGCTTTGGTCTATCGCGCTTAGAAACCTTGTAGAAAGTGCTGGCTACCGAATGCGGAAGCTGATTTCATCCCCGGGACCGCCTCACCCCGTCTTCGTCTCCTCACGGAGTACATAACTTCTGCTTTCATCTATCAACTTGCATCTCAAAGGAATAAACGCGTAGCTCTCGTCATGTCATGGAATCCTTTTTTCTGTCCTTCTCCCTGCGTGGAACTACCGTCTACTAGACCGGGCGTGCCTTGCCGAAGCTGAGCCTGTCATGGATACCTAATCCGTGCCCTTTGAAACCCTTGTCCCTCAGCAGGGCGATCTTAAATACTCCCCCAATCACTTTCTTTTCGACACTCGAATCTGCTACGTTGGTTGCCTCTCCGAAGCGTTGGCCGTGGTCCTTGCTAATCTGACAGACACGGCGCCTTGTTTCAACCCGTACCTACTCTTATACTCCGAGTTTCACAATCATCGTCCTTCTGACCTTTCGTGCATAACACTCTTGGGTTTTTTTTTTCTTCCCTCAGCTAGAACGTGGAGTCGCTACAAAACTCCATTTCCACGTATGCGGGGCATCGGTCTTTGAGCGACTGCGATACGAGAATTACGAGCTGGAGCAACATATATTGTGATCTATCATCTACTGAAACCGCGCCCATCCAACCATCCACGCAAACAGTCGGAGAAGAACACGCGCTGCTACAGCATCACTCTCACTTATCCCAAATCAATATGCGCTCAAATCAATCTTCAACGCCGAGCCTTTCGCTCGCATTGACTTCCTTCAAGCCACACAATGGAGAGATTACAAACCACCAGAACACCAGCGACAACGAATACTACTCACCAACCTCGCCATCATCACCGACCAGTCTACTCAGCTCGTCGACGACGGTCACAAGCACTAGCTATACATTCTCCTCATCACCAAACTCTCCATCACTATCTGCTGTTCAACCTCAACACGTCCGCAGTCCCCGTTTGATATCCGAGAAACTGAAGATTAGCCACAACCAAAGCACGGAATCAAAATCAAGCACAGTGACAGCGACGGTCCTCCGCCGCCGCCCCTCCAACATCGACATCCTTCTGCAGCAAGAACACACTCGGGCGTCCATCAACGAAATTGAGCGGAAGGGACTGGATCTCCTGGAACCGCGTCCCGTGGATCTGGAACCCATCGGTCCCGTCGGGATTAACGCTCGGGGCGTACAGTTGCAGCCTATTGTTACACGGGACCGGCTTCCGACCCAGAGTCCTATTAATAATCACGGTATTGACAACGAAAACGATGGCGGGCACGGCGACGACAGGAATCAGATAGATGGCGCGGCGCAGGCGGAGGGAATGAACACGCACTCGCAGCCGCGGTTTGTGATGGGTGGGATATTTGAGGTTATGGAGGGAAGAGGGTAGAGCTCTGCTCTTCAGCTCTAATCCATAAAATTTCTATTCGATTCTACCTTGGTTGATTGGTCATGGTCATGAACTTTGATTATTGATATGGAGTCGGTCGATTTGTACGCGGGGAACAAGGATCGTTATAGCAGGGGTTAAGGCGTACGGCATAGCGACTTAGTACTAGGGAATTCCGGGCTTGTCATTCTTTGGACTTGGTTCAGATACACTTCTTAGATAGATTAAGTATTCATCACTTAGGTGGTTGGTTTCTACAATTGCACACAACATATTTAGTGTAACCTTCTCCTACTATGCATTGAAGAGATCCAATCATTATCAATCAAACTTAGTAATCAGCAGCCGGACATGAAGCCCTACCTAGGTATGTCGACTGTGTCCAAGTTCCATTAATATTGGACCACTGCCCAGAGATAAATACAGTTTCATGCGATTCCATTCTTCAGTCACCTGGGTAACTTGAATCAAACCAAGTCTGGCGCATCCACGCTATGTCCATTCCCTGCTCCAAGGGATAGATGACAGAAAAAGTAAAAGAACAAAAGTAAAATATTGTACATGTAGAAATTGAGGGCCAAACATAGCCAGGCCGCAATAGAAGCCGAGCTATGGATTGCTCTGTTCATAAACTGAAGAAGATGAGAGAACGGTGAAAGTGAAAGGGGGTATCTTGAAAAGAACTGGACACTGGGGTGGAATGGAATCAATGGAGCAAAAAGCTGGCCATAGTAGATCTGATCTTGCTCAGCGCATGGATGTGCATGAAGGGCATGAGGCAATGGAAGATAGAAAAGAGGGTTGCTCTAGAAACAACACCATTGAAGGGAAGGCTTCTTCTTCGAGTCCGAAAATGCAATGATGGAAAATAGAAAAACCTGGAAACATGCACGCAGCGCGATGTAATGCAATGCAATGCAAAAACTGGCTTCAATGCAAAAACATTACTCCAATATGAACGCTGAAACTCCAGGAGAAAAAACGGAGATAGAGGGTAAAGGCAAAGACAAAGGCAAAGGGTATCAGCCAGAAGAGAGATCTATCTCGCCTTCTTCCTCTCATTAGCCCACAGCTGGCCGCGGCAGTTCGGCTCGCCACAAAGACAAGGCACAGCGTTCGGATCGGGCTTGTCGACTCGCTCCATTTTCGGGTTATAATCGAATGTTAACTCTGTACCTGGCTTGATTTCCCTTAGGGCAAAGAATGCCAAATCATAGAGGTAGTCGTCGCCTTGGGTGCGTGATACCGCAAACATGCGGCAGTTAGGGTTGCAGGAGTGGTTGATAAAGCGAGTGGCGCCGCCGTAGTTTGCCCCGTCGACGACGTAGCTGGAATCGTCGTCGATTAGGAAGTCAAGGTTGAAAAGGTACGAGGGGGCATTGCGCGCGTTGGCGATTTTCTCGCGCTGGTCTGCCTTTTCGGTTGTGATGACCTCGCCTAGATATAGGTCTATGAATTGGCCCGCGCGGATGTGGTCGGGGGAGCGGAGGCCTGAATGGTTGATTGGTTAGTTCAATTTGGTTGCTTGCATTCCACTGCGGGTTGCCGTGGCGTATTTAGGGCTTGGGGAATGGGGAGTGTGGAGAGCAAGGCATACCGAAACCCCTCGTCCCCGTATAGAAGATCTCAAACCGAATAGTCCTTCCAAGCTGAATAACGCGGTTCCAGCATTTCTTCTCACATCCACAAAGCGAATTACACTCAAAAATCATAGAGGTCCTCTTCATGAATTCCGGCCGCAGAACCATGAACCGGTCATTGTCAGGGGCGCGTTTGTATGCAATGATCCGCTCATCCGAATCCTCTTCCTGCGCAAGGCACTGGCATTTATCAGGCAGACAGATGGTGTTACAACTGCAGCCAGACTGGAATTCCTTGCCAATAGAGGCAACGCCCTCGCGGATTTTGTACTCATTAATAAACTCAAAGCTGGATGTTGTTTCTGCCAGGCGCTTCTCGTCCCCTTTTGTCACAGATACGGTGGGGCCCCTGATAGAAGATAGTTTCTTCCTGAGATTCTTGCATAGAAGGTCTATGACAGGCCGTCTGTGTTTCTCTGTGAGAAAGGGGCCTGGGGTACCAATAACCAAAGGGACAACAGCGCGGTTGGTCTTGCGGGCAGCCGGATAAGCCCCGTTCATTGCACGTTGTTCATGGGCGTCTGTAGGGTAGTACTTTTCAGACATTCCAGTCATCTCAGTACCAGAATTAAGCTCTGACTCGGAGATCAGCTCGGCAGAATTGATTTCTCTTTTCAGCTGCGCTGATGGTGACGGGATGACCACTTTAATGGCCTCCGGTGCCGGGCTTGGTGTATATGGGGCTGAATGGGAGCCAGAGCGAGGGGTTGAGCCTGTACGTGAGCTTTTGCGCGAGCCTGGAAATGTGCCCAATTGGGGTGCCTGCCCTCCCTGGGGAGCAGGGCCTGGGGCTCTCTGCTTGAATGACTTGACCAGGTTCTCATAGGAGTCATCTTGATTGAAAGCAGCAAAACTGGTGACGCTAGTCTGGGGGGCTGGCTGCGCAACCGCACTCTTGTATGAAGACTCCGAAGTGGTATCAGCGAGATCCTCTACATCTGACTTTCTCTTCAGAGGGATAGTAGAGTTCTTAGTGCTAGGAGAGAAAGGAAGAGTGCGCTGCGCCAGTGCCTGGTGACCATTAAGACTCTTGAGAAGGGGCTTTGAGAATTATTAGCGCTGGTTGGTCTCGCAGAAAATAATTAAAAAAAAACTGTTAGAGGCTTGTTGCGTGGTAACCAGTAATTCAGGGAAACACGCGAAACTTAAGGCAGCAAGGCTTGACTTAACGTACCCGAGGGTGATCCTCGGAATCTGAGTCCAGAGTGAGGTCAATTAGCATATTGTTCGCTGTCATGAAGACCCGGCGTGACAAGGCACGAAAAAGTAAAATTTCAAGAATTAATTGGGGGTCGTTAGCAGCGAATTGGCAAATCGGAGTCTGGGGAACATTGGAGGAGGATAGCTAAGGAGGAGGGATTCTGGTGTTTTCTGCCAGGAGCTCAGTGTTGTCAAATACGCTAGACCCTATTAGGAAAGTGGGCTTTAAAGTTTAGTCACGTGTAGGTATCAACTGGCTTTACTGGAAATTAATTATTCAGTTAATTAGATTAAGAATTGACTTAGATAATAGATATTACAAAAATTATTCATAATTGAATTTTAGATCTATCCTGAAGCATTTATAAAAATATTTTGAAAACTTGACGATCCAATGGCCACACATGGTATGGAAGCGACACCGCGAAAGCAGGTTTAATATTAACAGAGGCGGGTTGATTGGGCGCTTGAGACAGCCCAAAAAACAGTCTCGGTTTCCAGACAACCGCAACACCAAACCCTGGGGCAAAAGCAAATATTAGCGGCATCGGTCGCAAAACTTGACCTTGATGAAATTAAGGTAAAAATTATATGGTTTTATAGAGAAAAATCTTACAAGCACAACGCAGTATTTCTCAATAAAATAACTGCTCTGGATGTCGTGTAATCCTGCGACAAAGATCGAAGGGTGTTTACTGTTTTTTCAAGAACAAAGCATTTTGATAGCGCAACATGACTAATAACTGACTAATCTATACACCGCCTTCTTGTCAGTGTGTCTTACAAAACCGAGCGAATGACTGGCTGGCATTTCGGTCAATTTCAGCAAAAAACTATCCTCTATAAACTAAAGGGAAACCCTAAAGGCGATAACAAGACAGAAAGGTTGAAGCCAATTGGGGAGAAATACATTGTACAGCACACAGGGTCAAGGGTCCCATGATGTTGAAAGGATCACGATTGGCTGGAGAAAAACTCGCTCACACTCGCCTAGGTACAAGCCACTTGAAGCAGACGGACTCGACTGAAATAAAAGAAACCGAAGAGAATAGGAAAATCATGCTCATGTATCAAATGTCATGTCAACCGGCTTGCAACGTTAGATGATAAGGCCGTGTCACTGATGCACGTGGCTCATCGAGAACATCAAAGTCGCAGGGCATCCAAAATCTTTTTCGCCATCTCTCGGTACTGCCACATGCCTCCAGAGACCTTCTTGAACTGGATACCGTGCAGCGAGAACAGCGGCACTTTAACAATGAGGATCTCGAACCGGAGGACCAGGTTCCCGCCCGTGTCACTTTGCACTCGGGTGGTTGTCTCTCCAACAACACGCTCTCCGCTTGTCACGGTGGTATCGCGAGTTTCGAGGTACTCGTCCGATGCGTCAGAGTTCGAAACAAAACTGCGATCTGGGGCTCGTTGACGGCGGCGCGATGTGGTTCGGGTGATCTCCTCACGGCCATCGTCGTGATTCAAAAGTCCGCCCAAGCTGATTCGGCGACGGTGGCTAGAAACCTGGCCTTGTCGCTCTGGACTAGGAGGTCCATTATCGACTACCTTGTCCAAGTCGATGCTGGGCGCATGGCGACAGCTGAAGCCACCTTTGATTTCCTCGTGCTCGACAGCAAGCTGCTTCAGAACCCGGATTATATCGGCGCGAATAAAGGCAAGTGGCTTGCTGCTGGTAGTAGAAACACTAAACAGGCCTTTGAGGTAGACTGGTTTGGACAAGTCTTCTTCATTCGCACTTTCCAACGCAGCCCCTGGTCCGGAGATCTCGCCATCCGTCTCTTCAGGAACATTGGCTTCTCTCGCAGCATCCCGTCGAGCCCGGCGGGCCTGTATGCTTTCACGGCGAGCATGACCAAGGGACATTGTCCGGCTAGCGTGCGTACGCGTCGCTAATTTTTGTTCGCGCCCAGTTGCCGGGTCCTTTGGAACAGCTACATACTCTGAGCCACTCGTCTGCGGCGGCTGGCTCCCAGAATCGCCCTCGGTTCGGCGAGACCGTCGATGCCGTGGTTCGCCTGAGCTGACGCTGGTTGATCTCTCCAAGTACTTGTTGGACCGCGAGGCCGGCTCTGTAGGTCCAGGGGTCTTGAGGAGATCTTGATGTTGGGGCTGACTGCCCGTTGACGGAATTGCCCTCGGGGACGGTTCCGTACGGCGGTTCTTTCGCATGCTAAACCCTCTAGAGAGAGGAGAAGCAGAGTCAGCCGGCGGCTGCACATTGAGCGACGGCTGATGAGGGCTTGCCAGCCTTGATCGTTCGCGGTCGCGGCTCCGGTCCTTCGTTTTCCGCGTGCTAAAGCGCCTCAAAAGTCCCGCGGCAGTGCTTTCTTTCTTGGCAGGGGTCTCTGGTTGGGATCCGGCGGGGCTGTGTGAAGCTTGTCCATTATGGGATGCGAGGCTGGCATTCTTCATGCCCTCTGTAATATCGTCATCACCATGGGTCCGTGCGCGCGGTCGTGATCGCCTTCCGGTATCTTTTTCTCCGGGCACATGGTACTGGTTCGTATGAGCGGCTTCCGGGGGCGCAAGGTCGGGTACTTGAAGCGTGTCCACCGGAGCTTGGACGAGGCCGAGAGCCCCTGGGTTAGCCTCGCTTCGCTCCTTGTCCAGCTTTTCCTTGACCAGGTAATACACAGACAACAACGGACTGTAAGCGTTTAACGGATCGTTTCCTAGCTGGACAGCTTCCGCTGAAGGGGCTGAGAGAGTATCCTTGCTGGCCGAGTTTCGTCGCTTGTAAAAGTCAAAGACGCCGCGCTTCTTATCGGAGTGAGCAGGGGCAGGCTGTTCACGGGCATTGAGTGCAATCGCATGCTGATAATCGTCAGACTCTATGATTTTAGTGAGTTGTGCTGTGATAAACTCCGGTTTTCCAAATTCAAATCCAGTCATCTTCTCGATGACCTCTGGATCCAACGGGAGCTGCAGTGGTTCACGATGAGGAAGGTGATTATCAGGAGGTCCATTAAAACCTTTGTTCATCCATGGGTGATTCATGATCTCTGCCAAACTTGCGCGCTGTTTGGGATCAGTTACCAGCATGCGCGAGATAATGTGGCGGCATTCTAGAAAAGCAAGCATTAGTATCGATCACAGTCAAGCTAGAGTGAAAGCAAGAGATAACTAACCAGCAGTTAGGCCAGGAGGGTATTCGAATGCGCCAGATTTAATCTTCGCATGGAGTTTCGGCATGCTCTGATCATCGAACGGGACCTTGCCGCACACCAAGACGTAAAGCACAATACCAAAACTCCAGACGTCTACTTCGGGCCCAGTGTACTGCCTTGCCTGGAGCAGCTCAGGCGCAGCAAAGTAAAGACTGCCGCAGAATGTTTTCAGGAGGCTTCTCGGGGAGAATAGGTTGCTAAGGCCAAAGTCAATAATTTTAATGTCTCCGGTCTTGCTGATGAGAATGTTTTCGATCTTCAAGTCTCGGTGCACGATGCTGTTGCGATGACAGTAGTCTAACGCACTTGCAATCTGGCGAGCGAACTTCCTCGCCTGTTTCTCCTTTAGCTTGCCGTGGGAGATGATGTAGTCCAGCATCTGACCACCATTGACCAGCTCAAAAAGCATATACCAATGGTAATTGGTCCTTACCACATCTCGCATACCGCAAATGTAAGGGTGATTCACAAGGCTGACAATGGCCGCCTCGCGAGCGGTCCGAACCTCCTTTGAGCGATCTGCCCTATCGGCCTCACGTTGATTTCTATGTTCCTCCGTTGACTGTCTGGGCACGATCTTGATAGCGACCTACAATCGGACAGATTAATCACCAACTTATTCGACGAATATTCGTTAGAGAAATGTAGCTCACCTGTTCCCCAGTCTCCAAGTGCTTTCCAACTTTGACCTTACCCATACTACCCGCACCCAATGTTTTCCCTAGTGCCCACTGGCCCGTTGGTGTTGCGATCATTGTGCGACGCTTAGATTGAGGGTTCACTGCGTGTAGGTGGTGCCCGGAGGCAGCCTGGGAGTGACCAGCACCCCCTTCTGCTGTTGCGGGTACCGCAGAGGCCATGTCTATACTGTCGCGTTGATGGCTTCTGACTGAGAGATTTCTTTGTGGTTTATTCGAGGACGGATCGGCACGATATGCGGTCGATGGGCGTTCCTGAGAGCGTTCCCTCGAGCTCTCCCGACGGGAAGAAGGCTGCTGACTACCCCTGGTGGACTCAAAGTCCCGCCGGGCTATATTGTCGAAAACGGCGTGGTTAGTAGGGGGCGGGCGGCGGTCGTACGACTGCGACTTTGAGTAGGAATGTCGGTGTTGAGAATGACTGTGAGGGATTGGAGCCGGTTGGGACGCCGTCGCGGGTCTCACAGCAACGCTTCGAGTCCGGTGAGGAAGATCAGATGAAGCAGGTCCTATATAGGAGGGCGGCCGAGACGATGTGGAACTGGAGTGGCTGCGATGGACGGCAGAGGTGGACATCACGATGGTGGAGACAGTTTTATCGGAAAACGCGAGTTCAACGGCAACTCAAACCTAGTCGTTTGAGTTGACGCTGTCGTCGATAAACTCGATAGAAAGCCGACCGAGGTCGAGGGTTGGGCCGGGGGAGGTTCGATCAAGCAAGTGGGGGAGACAGGAACTTGCTGACGAGACTGAGAGTCTAAGTAAAATGATCGTCGCCGGTCACAAAGATTCATCTGCGGGGGTTGGTTTCGAAAAAGAAGACGTGTGAACGAGGGAACAGGGATTTGAAATGAAAGGTAGGAGAAAAAGCTGAAATGAGGCCCAAAGGAGCTGCACAGCCAGCAAGACGACCTTGATGGATGCGGCTGCGGAGAGGGACAAAGACAGGGGCCGAAAACATCCACTCAAAGCTCGTCCTCAAGCCTGGATGGCTGTCTCTCCTTCTAAGCTTGTATTGATCAAAACTTAATCTAAGAGTCTGGCACGATATTTCTATTCTTGGGCTGTTGTTTCCTGCCTTATGTATTCTCCCGCTGGAATTTGTGAGTTACTCGCAGATGACATATGTCATGGAGACCAGCCACTCCGCCAATTTCGCGCCTAACCATCCAGTTGTACTTGAAATTGGCTGCTGCTTTGGGCACGTACAAGCGTCACAATATTCCGTAACCATATGGACCATGATCAATGATCGAGACCATTCATAGAGTCACGAGGGACTAGTAGCTCCAAGTGGTGGATCATTGAGCTGGAGCTGCGATAATTGCCCGCTCCATCCGTACTTGCAGTCTTCGCCCTGTCTGCCACCAGGTTTGCTATTTGTCGAGTATATGCAGCAAACACAGGTCCTGTGCGACTCTCAACGGAAATGATAGTCTAGTCCCTGCCTGTAACAAAGCATACAATACTCCGTACACTCTCTGGCCTGCACAAATGAATATCCGCCTGTCTTAATAGTCACTACTCCGTACTTAGCGGTGACGGCCATGGTCTATAGCACTTAATATACTTGGTAATAGTACAGAGAGGTCCTAAAAAATATGCTCTTGCTTTATTATTTACTTTAAATACTTACAGGCCTTGGACCATGTCCAATTTATAGTAGTTACTTTATGTTATGGACATGGTCGATAGATATATTGCTTATAACATGGATACTCCCACAGGTGGATCTTCCTTGTATGCAGGCCAGAGGGTGTACATAGGTGAGCCACACATGTGGCGGTGCATTTGTTTCTGGCGTCCGGCATCACATGTTTCGATCTCATCTTCAACCTCTCACCAGCTCTACTCAAGCTGAAACAACCCTGCTATTTCTTTCTGAAGGTATACTCTTCGCTCTCCACTTACGACGCCCGGCTAATCAACCAGTAACCGCTATGCCTGGCTTTGCCCTATAACGCCAGCGCAATGGCCAGCAAGAGAACCCGCGACGCTTTCGAGGCCGATTTCCGGGCCCAGCAATCTCCCTACGCTTTCTACGGAACCCCCCTTCCTCCACTCGATCCCGACACCCGCGATGATGGATCTTATGTGCCAGTATGGAAGCAGGAGGTGACCGATGACCGGGGAAGGAAACGCCTGCACGGCGCCTTCACCGGTGGATTCAGTGCCGGGTGAGCTCACGATTCGTCGACCTACTGGGACAGCACACTAAAGTGGCCTTCCATCTCAGGTACTTCAACACAGTGGGGTCAAAGGAAGGATGGACACCTGCGACATTCGTGTCCTCGCGCCAGAACCGGGCCAAGGAAGCGCCAAAACAGCGCGCGGAAGATTTTATGGACGAGGAGGATATTCGGGAAGCGGAGGAATCGCGGCAACTACAGACGAACGATGAGTTTGCAGGATTCGGATCAACGGCTACTGACGCAACGCGCCGTGGCGGGCTGATGGATATCTTCAAGACATCGGGTGAAACTATCGGTGTGAAACTTCTGAAGAAGATGGGCTGGAGGGAGGGTCAGGGTATTGGTCCGAAAGTCAGGCGCAGAGCCGACCTGAGCGATGGTAAAGCTCGACCAGGAGATGATACCGACAAAACATATTTATTTGCACCGGAGAATCCACCTATGGTTGCGTTCGTACGGAAGACAGACTATAAGGGACTCGGATTCGAAGGGGAGGCCCGTCTTGGCTCACGCCATGAAGAACGCGACAAATCCGATGAAGAGGGGGATTCTTTCTTTGGGCGACGACTGATTGGCGACAAAGCAAAACAGTCTAAACCACAGAAACCCCGACGAGGAGCTTTTGGCGTTGGCGTGCTCAATGATACTGGGTCTGATGACGAAGACCCATACTCGCTGGGTCCTCAGATCTCATATAATCGCACCATCGGTGGTGACAAAACGAAGAAGAACAAAACAAAGGCCACAGATGAGACGCGAGCCCTGGGCTCTTCCAATCCTCTTTTAAGCAGCAAACCGGTCTTCATTCCAAAGAAGGCAATCGCTGCCAAGGGCGCCGCAGGCTTCAGGAAGTGCCATGACGGCCGTCTACCTCTCGACGGATTTCTACTCGCGGACGGTATTTCGACTCTGTCGCTGTCTTCGGACAAGAAATATGCGCCGCCAGAGATACCCAAGGACTGGAAGTCTAAAAAAGTGCCGTCGAAGCAACAAGCTGCCACAAATTACATTTCTACGGCAGATGCAGCGAGGGCATCCACTCTAGATCCGGTCACGAGGGCGGCCCTATTAGGAGAGGACCAACTGCCCTCGAAATCTATTTTCGACTGGATGACGCCGGAAGGCCGGGAGAAGATTGCGAAACTCACCGGGAAAACGAACCTACCACCGGCACTAGGTGAAAAGGCCCCGAAAGGCTACGAATTATCAGAGTCACAAAAGCAGAAAGATATATGGGATCTTGTTCCCAAGCTAGATAAGCTCATAGCCGTTCAAGCTCTGTCGCGCGCCGCCAGCGGCTGGATGCCCTATTCCTCTGAAGAAGCCAAGCGACAACGCTACCGGACGTTCCTCGAAATTCGGGCTGGCCTTCGAGACAGCCTTCCAGATCGTGTACCGGGTTCCAGTACAAACGAATGGGTCACTGAGCTTGAGGAGTTTGCGCGAGCAGCGGAAGTATTCAGGCCGGTGTCAGGAGTGATGGCATCGCGCTTCACGTCCGCCTCTTCAGGTCCAAAGGGGGCCTCAGACGAAGTGAAGTCCGATACGAACGCGCCGTTACTAAGTAAACCCAGCGAAAGACCAGAAGACCCAGCGATAGCAGCTGCAAAGATTGGCATGTTCGGTCCCATGACACGCACTACCATCTCATTCTACCCCACCCGTTTACTGTGCAAACGCTTCAACGTCAAGCCTCCCAGCCATGTGGCAGTCGATCCGGGAGAGCCTTCAAGTGGATCTTCTGCCTCGGCAGCTCCAGGAAATCGCTTCCAATCTGCGGGTTACCAGACGGACAACAGACCGCGAGAGTTGGTTTCGAAGGATGTCATGGAAGCTCTTATGCTTGCGGCGGGTGGGGGCCCTGGGGGCCCGGGCGGAGCGCTAGCCCAGGCCGGCCAAGACCCGAATTCAACGGCGCCGGCGCCCGTTGTCATCGAAGTTCAAGCGGATCGAAACGAAGCGTTAGAGGGACAACGGCCAGGCGAAGAAGTATTCAAGGCGATATTCGGCAGCGATGACGAGGACGAGGATGACGATGAGGAGTGATAGATTTACTATGACCTCAATATTATATAAATTGTACTACACAGGCGCTAAGATAGAGTAGAGTAGCAAAGTGCACAAATCAGCCCGAGAACCCCGCATAGTAGATGAGCTTACGATTGCACCGCAGTGCAGGTGTGGTGAGACGCAATCGCGGTCAACCGAACCACGGACGGAACTTTCTTTCTTTTGTTAGTCAGGCTGTCCAGCCCGTATATTTAGTCGTCCTACTGTGTTAGATATTTTCCAGCTTCGTCATCACTTACCACCCCCATTATTATTCTTACCTCTTTTCTTAATCCCGCTCCATGCTTTGCTATCGCAGCTGATGGAGTCGACGTCTCTCCGCCAAGATGGTACCTGACCTTTCCCTCCCCCCTCTCCCCTTCGCACCCCGGTATCCCAGGCACTAACCGCAACAATCCAGGGCTGTTGTTTCTCCGTGTCGCGTACGTCGGCCAACGCTCAAACCCCCACAGAAGAGCATCGCGAAACCTCAACAACAGGCGCATCTCCACCGTCATCCCGCCAGGAGAACCCCCGTCGGCACGGCCATGGCCGTCTCACGCATAACCCCTCCTCGTCGTCTTCGCGCGACCAGCAGAGACAAGAAAGACAACCCGTCCCCCTCCCAACACACATCAACGCCCCGATCCGGCCGCACACATGGCAGTCCAAGAAGCGGCTGTGGACTGCCGCTCTCCTAAATCGCGAGCGCAAGGAGTTCTTTGAGACCCGTGTCACGGGGCGGCCGGAAATCTGGGATGCGCTGTCCGCAGCGCTACAGTTTATGCGGGGTGGGGACTTTGAGACCGCGCAGAGTATTATTGATGCGGCGGGCGTGACGGTTCCGACGGGGGATCTGTGTCAGGGGGTCTATGATGAGCAGGGGGTACTTTATCGGCTACCGCGGTGTATCGTTAGTGATCCGGTCAATATTGTTGCTGGGGGTGCGGATGATGCGGAAAGGTCAGATGTCGGGGGGTCAGAGTCTGATGCGGATGGAAGTGAAGATGGTGAGGAGGTTGATGTGGGCTTTGAGACGGATGAGCATGATGGCAGGAAGGTTGGATATGTGCAGGAGAGAGAGGGCGTCGAGTCGGATGATGAGCTGATACGCCGAAGAGACGAGAAGGGCAAGACGAGTGAGCGCGATCTCATCAGGATCCAGGCCCGCTTGAGTGATCGGGATGGGCCCGATATTACCATTGCCATCAAGAAGACGCAGAATGTCGGGTTCCTTGCGCGCAAGCTGCAGCAGGAGGCTGGGGTATGTCATGATCTTACTTTCCCTCTTTCTTCTTCTTCCATCCGACTTGCTGGAGCTTTGGGTTGTAAGATGCAGCTGACAAAGGTATATCCAGATCCCGAAAACTCAGCGCATCCGAATCGCCTACCTAGGCAAGATCTTGAAAGAAAACACATCCCTCATTGACCAGGGCTGGAAACAGGGGAATTTACTGAATGCATTTGTTGTATCGCGGCGGCCCTCGTCGTCCTCATCGTGACAAACCGAGCCCAATGTGCATTGGCTCTATTCGCAGAGGTCCGATATTGACCTTCAATTCCGGATAATGACGCCGTCTATCAATCGCCTACCGTTCCTACCACCTTCAGAACGTCTACACATGACGCCATGCTTCACGATTCACGATTCTACCTCCAGTACCCCTTTTCGATTCCCCAGGCTGCCGGCGTTTCTCCCTATTTGCTTTGTTTGAAGTTCAAGTACACTATCTATTCCCACCTATCTCGTTGTATATACCCCTATCGGTTATTCCACTCCATATATCTCCTCCAGTATCTTCGTTAAACCCCGAATTTCGGAGAGATAGGACATGGTCGAGTTATTACCCTTGACAAACGTTTAATTCAAGCGCAGAGTACATTGAGTGACACGAAAGTAGAACGACATTCTTGTGTTAGGTATAACTAAAGCTGTATACGTAGACCTGCCTAAGCCTTGTGCAGAAGTTGCCGACTCTATTTAGGCCTTCTTCGGTTTCTTCGCCTTCTTCTGACGATACGCTTTCTGGTATCCATTGTTCTTCCTCCGAAACTCTGCACGCTCTTCTTCAGTCATTTTCTTTCGTTCTCGGATCCAGTATCCGGATACACTACCATGGATTTCACCGGGTGAATCGACTATATCTCGAAGATCCACAGTCTCGTAACGACGGTATGATGTGTTGTCCGGGGGCATAGTGTTGTTGCCATCCAGTGGAACAATGTATCCTTTCCTTCATGCTTCATCATATCATACGACGTAGTCTCAAATTTCAGCTTAAGTTGAGGCTGCTCCCCATCACCAATCTTTTTCTGTTAGGTATCTCGGCCTGGGCCACGGTCAGAATGGTATTGAGGCGTGCTCGGCATAGTGCGTTATATTTGTTAAGAGCTATTTTTCATGGTTCGCTGCCTTGAGAAGACATATATAGATCATGGCCAGAATGGTATTAAAGCATGCTCGGCACAGTGCCTTGTTCCTGTTAAGAGCTGCTTTAATAATTTACTGCCTTGAGAAAGTATATATAGGCCATGGCCAGAATGGTATTAAGGCATGCTTGGTACAGTAACTTGTCTCTGTGAAGAGCTATTTTGATAATTTGCTGACTTGAGAATGCATATAAGGGCGGAATTAAGCGCAGGTACTCGATATTCGATTTATTGACTTCTGAGAGTCTCCAGTACCCCCTAGGCACGAATGCAAATTGGCTCCCTCCCATGAAAATGCCGAGCGAGGGTCTCCATAAGGGGAACCTAGATGAAGATAGGACTTGGTCGAAAAGACAGCTTCCGCAATCTACAAACTACTCTAACAACAATAACTCTGGTCGAGGTCAATGGACCCCCGACTGGGAAGGATCCACGAAGGTGGAATAAAGTGCCAAAGTCACAATTCCCTTTAACGAGCCCGTGGACTAATTGGGCGTTGGAAGATGTTTCACTAAATAATATACGTTAGTAGTGACTCAAACTCCGATACGCAAATGACCACTTACACGGTTTTCTTGTCTGGATGATTGTGAGTGTACTGGCCACCATCCAGTCCTGTCTTGCCTTTGCCATCGATGCCAGTTGCCGAGCCAGTGTATGCATAATGTGTGTGTAGCGTTGCATCCGCCATCGTGCCCTCGTACATGGATTCGAGGTAAATCCAAAGTCCGAAGTTGGTTCCAATAGTATACTCAAAACGTCGTCGTATGGGAGCGTCTCCTTGTCGAACTTCTCGAGTATGGCGAGTGTAGACCATTTGATCATGGCATTATCGCGAGCATCCGGGGTATTTTTGGTGAAGAATTCGTCCAAGCCACGATATCTGGGATGTTCCGAGATGACACTCATGCCAAGTTCGAGGCGTTGTGTAGCTCCCGGAAAGAGCTGTCGCCTCCTAAGCACGAAGTCCCATTCGTCGATCAAAGGAGAACTCGCAAGGCGAATCGTAGGGCTCAACTCCATCGATTATATCGTACGGCTAGCGACCGGCTCGGCTGGATGGTTTTTGGCATATGTGGCTGTGTTCATAGGCAGCCATCACCAAGAGCCCTTCTGTCGGACTGAGCGGTCATGTCCAAGCGAGACGAACGATCTCCATCTTCACCATCTGCAGCCCCGGGATCGGCCGCATCGGCGAGAGTCTAGGTCTCCTCTTCATTCCCGGAATCGGGTATCTCCATGCGAGCCGTTGGTTCTTCCTCCTCAGAATCGGGACCCTCTTCATACTCGATCTCTTCTTCCGTTCTAAACTCATGGTGATCAATCGAATTGACAGCAGGTACAAAGTTCACCAGACGAGCAGATCGTCTCAAGCCGCTATGGTTCAAATTGTCAGAGGGAATGTTGTTGGCATCCAATGTCGCAGCATTGTTCCCTAATTCAAATTTGAGCCGCGCTGTGTCTTGCAGTGCTATCTTCCTAAGCTTGTAACTTCAAAGTCCGAAGTTGGCTCCCATGGTATAGATCGAACGTTTTCGAACGAGATTGTCCAGGCTTGTTGAATATTTCATCATAATATTGACGCGGACGTCCAAGGGATTTTTGTCGAAGAGTTTGTTCAACTCGCGGGCTCTTGGGTACGCTTACATAACCTCCATGCTTTGCTCGATGTTCTGTGTAGCTCTTGGGTAGAGCTGCCGCCTCTCGATGACTTCAGAGTCATTCGATGAATGGGAAAAATGTATATACGTGCGTCTTTTTCGACTCCTTCAAGATCTGTTTGTAGCTTGGCCATCCCGAAGGACTTTAATCGAAGAGAAAAAGCTGGTAATTAGCCGAAGAGAAGACCAGGCAAGGACGCAACAATCACAGACGTACCTTCCCCAATCTCCCCCCGAGGTCTGTACTTGGAACAGTGAAACCAGAGTCAGAGTTAGGGCAAGAGCAACTCGCACCGACACCGGCCGGAGACGCGGGTTTGCAGGTGTATAAAAGTATAAGGGATGCGCAAGCTAGTTTACTTTGGAAAAGCCTATTATCAAGTAGTGTTAAATGCAACAGCAACTGGCTCTTGTTCGAGCGTTGCAGAACAAGACGCGGACTCAGACGCGGACTTGAAGTTCGGACATGGCCGGATATTCCACCCGGGGTTCTCGCCACAGCTTCGGCTTCATTTGGGACATGGCCGAGGTCATCGTGATGGATTTGTATATTATCATGAGGGTGGCCGAGCACGGTGTTCACGGCTAACAAAGTCACGAACAAAAGAACCTAGAAAAGAAAAGGATTAGGATAACCCCAGAAAGCCAATAACCCTGGCCAGAACCTAGCAGGCACACAGCCCTAATACAACCGTCCATTCTCCGCCTCCTTCCCCTTTGGCGTCTCTCCAGAGCGCCTCTTGAACACACGGCAAACTACCTGCGCGCCCTGTCTGACGCCGCGTATAAGACTCGTCGGGTTCCAGTGCCGCACGCGGAAAATGTAGTATAGCGCTACTGTGCCGAAGATATTGAAGCCGATATACGCCCAGCCGATACCCCAATTGCGCCAGCGTTGACTGTACTCTATTTCAAATGCAGCAAGGTACTGGTCTGCGTTGGTGAGGCCGCAGTACTGGCAGTTTGACGTAGCATCGGCGTTATACAGCTGCCCTGGCGCAGTGGGGAGATAATCAGCGAGGTAGTCCCCGCAGGTTTGGCCAGATGGCGGATTGAAAACATTCAACTCCTCTCTTGCGCACTCGATTGCGCGGCCATGGAGACCCGTTCCTATCATGCCAGCGATGAGATACGTCAGCGGAGAGACGCGATACATGAAGATCCAGAAGCCGGGTAGTGCTGAGGGCGCTTGCATGACTCCATTGAATACAAGGATAAACATAAAGATCAGCGATGCGATGGTACCGCCGGTTTCGGCGTCTGGGAGAGCGGAGATGACGAAAGTAGCGAAGCTAGAAGTGAAGATGAAGAACTGGATTACGAAAAGAAGCATTAGGCCTTGTCGATGCGGTTCTTGTGAGGCACCGTAGACGGGGAAGTAGTATGTTGCCCAGGAGACTATGCCGGCAAGGATCTGCCAGGGGATCTCGACGGCAACGTTGGCGATGATGAAGGCCGCCCAGGAGTAGGCCTTTGAGGGACGCTCGCGGACTTCGTAAAGGGAGCGTTGGATGACGAATTTGGGCATAATCCTAGTGAGGTTAGGGTTTGCGGATAGGTGGGAAGTGGCAGATGCTTACTGTTGTACTAGAGTAGAAAAGATGGATGTGAGCATGAATGCACTGAAGAGGACATCCTGAAATCCTGTAGAACGTTAGTGTATCTTGAAGCAAGAATAAGCAAAGTGCCAACCGGACGTTACCTTGTTGAGAGCTATCGGGCTTGAAGAAGGTGAACCCGATGAAGAGGCCGGAGGCGATAGCGAGGATCAGCTTTGCCCAAATGTAGACCGGCTCGCGCCAGTACTGCTGGAATACGCGGCTAGTCACGCTCCACAGTTGACTGATAAAAGGCATGGCGTACTCGTCGTGCGTATTATTCTCGTCTGATGAAGCGGAAGCCCTATCTTTATGGATCCGGTCGATCTCCTCCTGGACTTCTCGGAATTGTGGGCTTTCATTCCAAATGACCGGCCAGTCCTTCTCGGACTTTCCAGCAGCACCTGCTCCAATAACCTCTAGCATATACTCCGCAGGCTGTCGTAGTTAGCACATGTATCAAGAATTCGGACATGGACTCACATACATTCTCAGATTCTCCGCATGCGCGGGCTCCATTTCCTTCAAAGTAATCAAGCAAGGTACGAGATTCATCGCCGATGTCCCCAAAATAGACAGTTCGGCCTCCCTTTGCTAGGAACAAGAGACGATCAAACTGTTGAAAGAGCATGGCGCTAGGCTGATGAATGGTAGCTAACACTGCTTGGCCGCGGTCCGCAAGCTGACGTAGGAATGAACAGATTGACCATGAGCTCTGCGAGTCCAGGCCACTCGTAGGCTCGTCGAGGAAAATGAGCAAAGCCGGTTTGGCTGCAAGCTCGACACCTATAGTCAACAGCTTTCGTTGTTCCACATTAAGGCCCTCGCCAGGAGTACCAACGACCGCGTCCGCAAAGTCCTGCATATTAAGCATGTCAATTATCTCTTCAACGAATGCATATTTCTCCTGTTGGGAAACGGCCTTTGGTTGCCGCAGTAATGCACTGAATCGTAGTGCCTCTCGCACGGTAGTAGTTGGAAGGTGCAAATCTTGCTGCTGCACGTAGCCAGTTTTTCGTTGGAAGCTGGGGTCAAGCGGTCTACCATCTACCAGCATCTCCCCCGTCACGATGCCAATGGAGACACGCTTTGCGAGCACATCTAGAAGCGTAGTTTTACCCGCACCTGATACGCCCATCAAGGCCGTCAATGTGCCCGGGCGGACCCATCCATTCACATTCTCAAGCAATCGACGCTGACCACCTTTGACAGGGATATCATAGCACACATTTCGCCAGGTAAAGATGCTGTGCTGCTCTGGGATAGCGGAGGTGTTTGGTGCCACTTCAGTCGGTCTCTCAGCTAGAACAGTATCCGCAGCCGGGCCGTGGCCGTCTTCTTGATCCTTATCAAGATTGCGCATCTGGGGAGGTACCTTACTGCGAGGAAAGACCAAAAACTCCGCCTTTGAGGTCGTCGCCGAATTGAGCTCTGTGGCAACCAGGTAGACAACCGTGAAGAAAATCCAGAAGGCTATCAAAATGCCGAAGTTCCTCCACTCGTGGTCGTAAGTATACCTATATTGGGACCAGATGAAATCGTCTCCAGAAACAGTTCGTTCTCCTGCCACACTGCCGCGCACGGCGCAAATAAACGAATCGCCACTTAGATTCGGATATGCAGGCACCAATTGCGAGCATTCAAACCGTCGCCCGTGAAACTCATTTGCAATCATGGCCTCAAACGTATAATAAACCGGGTTAATCCACCTTATCCAGCTGAACCAGGGAATGGAAGACATTTGAGGAGCGGGAATCACGAAGCCAGTATATATCACAATAGCCAAGACCATCACACCAGCCATGGACATTGCTTGTGACAAGGTTTTTGTAGAGGCTGCCAGAGTCCGGAATATTGCCGACATCGTAAGGGTGCTGAGGAATGTGAAGAGAAAGAAGATGAAGAACTGGGAAGGTTCGTAGCGCTACTCCTGTTAGCTCTACCCAAATCGACGGTGGCACAAACTTACCAAGCCGGCCAGAAAGTAATATATGATGTTGAAAACAGTAGCGGCCACAAACTTGACGGGAATATCGGACACGATCCCACCAAAGGCTTCGGCGAAAGGATGAACAAAAGCGTACGAGGCTTGTTTCTCGACGATTGGCCGCTGGTCATACAGTGAATTGATCTCAGTGATGGATATGAGCGCATTCATCCTAGCCAACGTTAGACATATGCTTTCCAGATCCATAGCCGAGCCACGTACAGAACAGCGAAGAACAGAGAAGCTCCTTTGCTCTGGAACCCGGCGGAGGCGTTAGGAGTCCTAAAGAGATTAGAAAAGCTTTGAGTACGCAAACACAGAAATTACCCATAGTATATCGAACCAATAATGAGAGACATCACAATGCGACCGATGACTGTAATACTTAGCTAACAGGTTTAGTATATACTAGGTAAAGCATTACCTGTAGTCAACGTTGAGGGTTTATCGTTCCAAATCCTGGAGATGGTCAGCGGAGATTATCGACCACATGGGAGAGACGCACCTTTGATATGCACGAATAGTGCAAAGCTTGACCTGCATCGGAACCGATATGACATAGGGACTCTTAGGCCGGACATGGTTCGCTTGTCTCCACTGCTTAGCCTTGTCAAAGGTTTTCTCAACCTCACCTCCCACTGGGAATTCCTCCAGGTGATCGGCGATCTCTTGCTGGAGCTCTGCGAAGTAACGGCTGTTCTTCCAGTACGTCTCAAACTCCGCCGGCGTCCGCGGCACCTGATTTTCCATGCCCTCTCGCGCTTTGCGCTCTTGGGGGTTGGTGACTGATGTCAAAAAATCTCCTGTTGTTTGGCGCGGCGGGCAATAGAAGCCCATCTCAACAAAGTATTCCTTGGCTTTATCGCAGGGCCCGAAGTAGATTTCACGTCCTTCATACAAGACGATGGCCTTGTCGAAGATGTCGTAGATTGCCTGCGAGGCTTGGTAGATGGCCACGGCATGGCAAGAGCCTCCTACGTTTGCCGCGACTCGCAATGCTAAACCAAATTAATCAGCTTCAGGCGCGTTCAGACAGCAATGCCAGAGTTCCCGGCTATACTTACACTTGGCAAATTCTAGAGCGCTCGCAGAGTCCAGACCTCTTGTGCTGTTATCCCAACTTGCGATAGGCGAACGAGATACTGAATGTGTAAGTATTGTGACCCAGCGGAGAAGATAGTTGAGAACTAACAAGCCATTTCCGCAAGACTGAACACTAGTCAGCGAGACAGTACAGCTTCAATAATGCAAAGAGCACCAACCTGACTCGTTTTCTCTCACCTCCGGAGACACCTCGTATATAGTCATCGCCAACTGCGCGCCTGTCAGACATGGAGGCAAGCACAGGTTGAAAAGCAACTTACCCTTGGTATTATACGTGTGCGAGAGTCCAAAGACGGACATCGCAACCTGAGTAACATACTTTGCGTACTCTTCTCGGTTGATGCCCTGAAGCCGAAACTGAGGAGTTCTTGCGGCGGCTGCGAACTCCAGGGTTTGCCCCACAGTGAGATGAGCAAAGTGCTTGTCGACCTCTTGATTGTACACAACCTCCCCCTTGTACTCTTTATGCATAGTCTCCATTGATATCCCTCCATACTGGATGTCGGAGCCTTCCTCAAGTTTAAGACCATGCAGTTCACCACAGATTGACTTTAAAAAGGTCGAACAACCACTGCCAGGACGGCCCAGGACGATCAAAAGCTCACCCTGCTTGACCAGACCATTGAAATCGCGCAGGATGTGCCTTTCAGGAGCTTTTTTGAGAAGAGTCTCACGGAGTCGCAATGGCGCGGCCAATAGAGAGGCCACAGTATCCTGGTACTGCAAAGCTGATCCTGAGCCGAATACGTTGAGATTCTGAAAGCTGATTCCGGTCGAAGGTGGTCGGGGGGCACCCTCCTCGTCCAGGAGTTTCATCATCTTACGCGCCCACTTTAAGTGGTTAAACTCCTTGCTTGTTGGATCAAATGCTGGATCCTCAATGGCCATCTCGTCAACGGTGTCCATTCGCTTGATGCCCTTTCCATCGACAGCGGATGTCGTGGTGGGAGTGCGTCTTGGAAAGTTCGAAGCAATGCGAGTCAACTCCGCCCTACCATCAGGGTTGATATCCTCAAAGAAGGAGATGTCATCTCGATCGATCCACGAGTTCTGTCGACTGCGAGTCTGGCGCGGGATTTCCTGCATTTCCTGGATTTCCTCGCGCTCGTCCAAGCTCAGGCGAGAGCTGCCGCTGTGCTTCTCGCTTTGAGCCATTGCGATGCGAGGCTCAGCAACACGGTGCGGGATATGGACGCTATGCAAGGGAAGTCTCAATAGGCGAAAGATAAGTTGATGCACTCGTAATCTTCGCAGCAGTGCAGGGGTAGATAAATTAGAGAATGAGAACGCGAGCGGTGCGACTCTGGAAGATTATGTATCAACTGAGACAACGGTGACACCGGCCACTGGCAGTGGCAGCTAGTCCGGGGGCTGGATCGCAGGGCAGCTATTTGCCGATAGCAGCATCGTGATGTCATTTGAGACCGATTGGATGCTTGTGCAACGCTGGCAACAACAAATAGAAAAAAAAACAAACATGGCTTATGGCGCTTAGGGGCTTGCAAAGGGGGACGCCTCGGATGCAGATGCATTCCGGATGCGGGCCAGAGCATAACCTACTTACAAGGTACTCCGTAGTCAAGTTCGGTCCAGCTCGATAGTGCCCATTGGTTCAATCCTTAAGGTACGATAGTCGACTCACGGTTCCAGTTCCAGGTTCCAGTCGCCAGAGTTCCCTTTGTTCTCGTGGTCTTCACGGCTCCCGTACGGAGTACCAGGGAAAGGACTTCGAATTTGGGATGTCTCGGCAGTCGGGACAAGGCTCACTCCTAGGGCCGAGTGTTGCAAATGAGCTGTCAATATGCTATAGGCAGCAAGCTATTGCTGGTCGATCTGATGATGGACGGTAGACGGCCGACCCCAGCAATTCTAAGACTCCAAATCCACCCACCAACCGCCAGCTACGTATTCCGTAGATCGATTGCCGGTAAATGATAGCTCGCGCTCCATACTTTGGATGCGGTACGGAGTAGACTACTCTCTGTCAAATGTCAATCCGACAAGTCTCAGCAGCCCGGAGATTCGATTCCGTCCCGAGGGATTCAGTTAGCAGCAGATCAGCGATCAACATCGTGGGCTCCATCATTGGGCTGGTGTCAGGAACTTCCCCACAGGGCCGATCATCTCAAAATAGTGGAGTCAAAACTGCACAATTCAGCTTACTCAGCGGAGTTACGATCCCTCCGCAATACGCAGGCTAGGAACCATCCATTGTCGACCCTGACACCTACTCCGTAGTCAGTAGTTAGACGCCAAACTCATCCGGAAATCATTTCTGATGTCTGGCCAAGCGACGGCGCGGCCAGGATCTCCTCCGAGTAGAGCCTGAAAGGCTCAAGAGCATGCGCCCCCTTGTCACGGATGTTGTACGCCCGAGATCACTATGGAGCCGCACCCAACGGCGAAGAGATCTAGATAGGATCATAGGTCTTTTCACACGGATCGTTTATCATGCGTGGTCCCGAGGCTGAACCCTCATGATACGTGGCGCGGATGTGCTCATCAGGTCTCGGCTCATTGCCTTGCTGTCCCGAATCAACAGCTTTTGGGCATCTATCAGACACGCAAAGTCATCCGACGACCACGGACGCAGTCTGCAAGCCGATTGGCCCTGATTAGGGTGAGCTTTCAATGGCCGGGGTTACTGAGATGCAATGCTCCAGGCTCTTCGTTCAGCGTAGGTGGACCCTCTGGCACGTGACTCAGGGCAGTCTATCCTTCTCCACACTCACTAAGCAAACAGAGCAAACACAAAAAAAAAGTTACTCGGGATGCAACGCTAACGACTGCGTTAATCTACACTCAACGAGACTTGGGTTCTGAATTTCCTCCTGCTGCTTCTCCGACTTGCACCTTGGACTCCAGCTGCTAGTATAGTACACGAACTCGCAGTAGCATCATTCGCCATCACAATCCGCGATTGCTGTGACCGACAAGGCAGTATCCCAAGAATGGCAGATCTTGCGAAAACTCCCTTCGTACGGGAGCTCGCTTCAAGCGGTATACCTTTCCGACCATGAGAATTTGTCAAGTCTCAGTCACTAACATCTAGCACAGACAAAAAGATACGCGACAAAGCCACCGATTCCCTCTCCCTCTTCCTCCGATCAAAGACCGACCTATCGCTGCTCGATCTCCTCAAGCTCTGGAAGGGCCTGTTCTTCTGTACGCACCCGCGGCCTCCTACCATACTCGGCGAACAGCCTGCTAATAGCCTTTTTTTTGTACCAGGCTTCTACCACTCCGACCGTCCCCTCACACAACAAGCCCTCGCCCGCAACCTCTCATACACGCTCGTCCCCTCCCTCCCACGCGCAACAGTGCACCGCTTCCTGCGCGCATTCTGGATCACCATCGGGCGCGAGTTCCACGCCATCGACCGACTCCGTCTAGACAAGTACCTACTCCTGATCCGCTCCTACGTCGGCGTCGGGTTCCAGGTTTTCTTAAAGGGCAACAACTCCGCGGCGGCGGCGACAAACGGCACCAAGGACTGCAACAAAAAACGCAAGCGAGAGGAAACCGCCAAGTCCAAGAAGCGTTCGAAATCCAAGTCAAAGAAGACGACGCAAGACGCCTCCGATGACGAAGAAACCCCCGACTCCACTGCCCCCTCCACATCTAGCGACTGGACAGACCTGCAATCTTACCTAGAGATCCTCTCCGAGGGACCTCTCCACCCATTGAACTTCGACCCGTCGCAGCCCAAGCCTGACGAGGAGAAGGGCGTTATCCCCATGCCCCACGGCCCCGACGGGCTCCGGTACCACCTTCTCGACATCTATATCGACGAGCTGGAGAAGGTTCTTGAGTTTGATGCCGACACTGGGAAGCCTAGTGGTGATGTTCCTGCTGAGATTCTGCTGGCGCCGATTGAGAGGTTGAAGGCGGAGACTCCGCATAAGCCCGTGAGGGTTAGGGCTGCGGAGACGCTGGCGGATGAGAGGCTGGTTACTTGGGGGTGGAAGGAGAAGCCAAACATTGAAGAAAGCGAGGAGGAGGAGAGTGAGGAGGAGTGGGGTGGGTTTGGAGACGAATGATTTAATACAAGTAATTATATGCATGCATATATGCGTCTATATGATATGTTCTTCGCCGGCCCCGGCGGCGGTTTGACTTCCTGTTTTAGATGCCGCCGCTTTTAGGAGGGGCTTATGTAATAGAACAGTTCTTGCTTATTAAATACTCCAGGCACGCACTAAGTGGTCCGAGGGTGGTCTTAAATTAGGCCAAGCATAAATCTAACTATTCTAGGAGTGCTTCCCAAGCACAGTACTAAGTAAGTAACTATAATAAAATCTTAATAAAAAAATTATATAATATAATTATTTTGCTATACAAGCTATTTAAACTACACCTAGTATATAGTTTAATAATTAAAAAAGCTTAAAACCACCTATTTAGTAATAGCTTAAAAAAGTTAAAAAAGGAAATTTATAATCTTATTACTTAAAATTATAAAAATAATAATTAAACCTAGGCCTCTAATACCATTAGGCTTCTTATTATAAAATATATATAGTATAAGTATAATTATATTATTTATTTATAAATAAAGTCCCTCCCTTCCCTGGCACACTTATTTTATTTTTATTAATAAATTCTTTTAATAATATTTTTAATAATATCTTTATCTAAAAATAATAAAAAGCGTGCCAAGTGTTAAGTACTACATAAAAATTAATGTTATAATCCCAAAGAATACAAAGAGAAAGACTTAGTATAATTAAAAGTAAAATATAAGGCACGTTTGTATACTGCGCTGAGCTTAGGAAAACGTGAATTACTACAATAGGAAGGCATTGTGTATTTATGGTAGGAATTAATTGCTAATTTTTTAAGTTAGAGTTTTAAGTTAAACTTAGTATTTTATATATTATATAACTAGCCACTATCTTAGCATATAGCTAATTTAATATTAAAATTTTTTTATTAGGCAGCCTTATGCTACTAAGTTATATTATTATAATATTATATAATTATAATATTAAAATAGTAATAATATTACTTTTTTAAATAATTATACCCTTATAATTTATAAATTTTGTATTTTTACTTTATAAAAAGTAATTTAAATTATAAATTTTATTAAGCATAATAAAATAAGCTATTTTTAGTTATATAAAGCGCCGTGGATTATATATAATTTATATTTAAAGTTTGATATAAAAAAATTAATTTAATTACCTTAATTAATTACTATATTTAAATTTAGCGCGGTAGCTAAGTATAATATTGTGAGGCGTGTTTGTATACTGCCCTAAGTTTAGGAGAACATGAATTACTATAAAAGGAAAGCGTTGTGTATTTATAGTAGAGATTAATTACTAATTTTTTAATTTAAAGTTTTAAGTTAAACTTAATATTTTATATATTATATAATTAACCGCCGCCTTAGCGCGTGGTTAAATAAATATTAAAGTTTTTTTATTAGGTAGTCTTAGGCCACTAGATTATATTATTATTATATTATAATAATAATAATAATACTTTTTTTAAATAATTACCCCCTTGCAATTTATGAATTTATATTTTTACTTTATAAAAAGTAATTTAAATTATAAATTTTATTAAGTACTATAAAATAAGCTATTTTTAGGTATATAAGGTATTATAATTTACATGTAATATATATTTAAAGTTAGGTATAAAAAATTAATTTAATTATTTTACTCTATTATTAAATTTAAATATAATATTACTACCTATAATAACTAGGTATAATATTTTAATTTTAATATTAAAGCACCCTCGCGATTTTTTTTTAAAATTTTTTTAAAATTATAAAGTAAAATGGCCCCTATAAGTATATATTTTTTCATTATATTTTTATTACTTTTTAATTATTTAATTATATTTCTAAAGTTAAAATAGTAATACCCTATATTTATTCATTTTCTATGTTTTTTAAGTATTATATTGCTTATTTTAATAATATTAGTTATATATTAATATTATTAAGCCTGTATATTTTTTTCTTACTTTTTACTTAGTTTTTATAATAAGGCTTTAAGCTTTAAATAACTAAATATTCTTATTTTTATACTTTTTTAATACCTTTAGTAGTTATTTATAATATATATTTATTTTATTTTAATTATTAATATATTACTAGATTAACCTTTTATTTACCTTTTTTATGCCTTGCTATGTACTTACCTTTTTAATTTAATTAATAAGCTTTTTATATTTAGTTTTTTTAATTTTCGCGGTTTTAAAATTATTTTTAGTAGTTAAATTAAATATAGTTTACCTTTATTATAGCTTTTATTATATTTTATATTATTAACCTTGTTTTTTAAGGTTCTTTATGCTTGCCCTTTGCCTTATATTTTTTTACTTTAATATTTAATATAGTTTTATATCGCGCTTTAAATACTATTATTAATAATTATTTAACTTATTATAATATTTGATTTTATATTTTTATTATAATAATTAAGCCCTGGTTTTAGCCTTTACTTTTTATTTTACCTTTAATTTATAAAGACTATATTTCCCCGCCCATGCTTATATATTATTAATTATTAATATATTTATTAAAATTACTTTATTATTATTATTATTATTATTATTATTATATTATTATTACTACTATTCCTACGCCCCTTATTTTAAGTAGCTTTTTAATATTATTATACCTATATATTTAATATAAACCCTGGCCCTGGCCCTAGCTTTTTTAATTATTATATTAAACCCCCTTACTTTATTACTTATTACCCTTTTTTATTTTTATTATTTATATTACATGCTTTTAGCCGCGCGCGGGATTAATAATTAAACTTAAGCTTAAGTTATAATTTATTATTTTAAATATAATAAACCCGTGGATAAAATGTATTAATCTTATATTAATAATTATAAAACCCTAGTAAAATATATTATATTTAATATAATTTAATATTAGCTAAAGGTGTACTAGGTTCTTAAGCTTTATAATATTATATATATAAATAAGAATAAATTATAAAAAAAGTAAATATAATAATATTAAAAAAAGCTTATATATTCTTTATTATAGTTATTTAAGCTCCTAGAATTATAATTATAATTACTTTTTTTTATTAATTTAATTATATTAATAACTAGCTTAGATCTTTTTTAGCTAGTGCCCGTGTGGCTTGTAATAATATTACTACTTATAAATTAAAATTATATTCTATTAATGTTATTTATATTAATATTATATATAATTTTTGTTTAGACCTTTAGGCTATATATTATTATTATTTTAGGAATTACTACCTTTTTTATGCTAGCATGGCTTTTGCTGCTAAATATATATTTATATTTTTAATTTATTATATATTATATTAATAACTTTATTATAAATTTATATTATTTTTAATTAGGCGTGTGCTGCGCTATAACACTATTAAAGGGTTTTTTCTTAATTAACCTTTATACTTAATATAGGGGTGGGTGCCCTGGTAGGTATTATTTTAATATTATATATTTAAAATTTCATATGCCGCGCGGCTCAGTTACTTATTTAAGTTTTATTTTATTTTATTTTTATTAAAAGGCCCTGCGGGCGCTGTTAACTAGCAGAAATAAAATAGATTTTTTTTTATAATTATTTATAGGTTATAAAAGTAGACCTTAAGTATATCATTTTTTTTATTTTTTATAATTTATTTTTATAAAATTACTTAAACTTTCTAAGTATTTTAATGCGAGTAATATAAGCCTTTAGTTTTTATATATCATTTTATATATTGTTTTATTTTTATTACTTTATAAAATATTACACCTTCCTTTTATATTTATAAATATTAAGAATTTTTTCAATAAAGTATTTTTTTTATTATTTACTAGTATAAAATTAATATTTAGCACTTGGGATAGGTTACTATAACAAGGTTTTAAAAATATAATATAAAAATATTATATAGTTAATATATATTTAATAAAAGTAGTAGCTTATATAATTACCTTTTTTATTTTATAATTATTAAAAATAGGCTAATAAAAATTTTACTTAATCTATAATTTAGCCTTGTAAACTTAATATTTTTTATATAAAGTATAATATAATTATTAATTTTAAAGCTTATTTTTTATACTTTTTATTATATTATATAACTATTACTTTTTTTAATTTTTATAAATACTTTTTTAGCTTTATATAAATTTTTTTTTAACTTTGTAACTTTTTAAAGTTTAATATTTAATAAATACTTAGGTTTTTTAATATTAATATATATAATAGCTTTTAAGTTTATCAGAATTTTAATAAATATATAACTTATAAATTATTTATACATATTATTATTTATAAACTATGCTATTTTAATTTAATATAATTAATTATTTTAATACTAGTTAATATAGGCGTGGAGATAATACTTAATAACTTAGTTTTACTTTTTAATTTAGCTTTTTATTTACAGGTAATATATAATAAATAATTTTTATTTTATACCTAGGTAATGGCTTAATATAGCTTAAAATATATTAATAAAAAGGCTTTTATAATTACTAAACATGTTTTTTTAGTATATTAATAAAGTAAAAAATATTATTTATAAGGGTATTTATAAGTTATTTTATGCTAATGCTTTTTAAGTAAGAAATATATTATATAAATTTAGTATATATTTTAATTATTACTAAAATAGTATTATACACGCGCTTATTATACTTTATAAGTAATAAATTAGTAATAAAGTTTATACTAATTTATTTTATAGGTATTTTTAGTAAATTTAGTAGTTTTAAAAATTTATAAAGCTTGTGTTTATAAACCATAATTTATTAATATTTATTATATTTTTTAATATGCCTTTTAATATACTTACTTATATTTAGCTAACAATACCTTTATAAAATATTTATAATAATTATATTAATACCCTATTATTTACCCTGGGGCTTATTATAATTTATTTTTATAGTTTTTTTTATAAAGTGCTACTAACTTTAGCATGTAAACTTAGTTTTTAAAGTAAAATAATTTATTATTTATTATTTTTTAAGATTTAAGATTTTTTATATATTTTAAATTTATAAAATTATTTTTTATTTTTTTAGATTT